CCTTCAAGTCATCAGCAGCAAGACAACTAGCGACCATAAGTAACAACCAACTAGCCGTCTAAATACAAGCAAGCCATCTAGCTATGAAGTCATCAGAGGCAAGTCAAATAGTTGTCACAGCATTAGTATTAAGCTAATGAATCTTCTATTTATTAGTAGAAAATTGTCAAGCCAACAACAGCAAGCCAACTAGCCGTCAACAGCCAGCCAACTAGACGTAATAAGCAGCAAGTCAACTAGCCGTCAAGTCAACTGAAGCAAGATAACTAGCTGTTAAGTCATCAGAGGCAAGTCTGGTAGTTATTGCAGCATTAGTATTAAGCTGATTAAACTTCTTTTTATTAGTAGAAAGTCGTCAAGCCATCAGCAGCCAGCCAACTAGCCGTCAAGTCATCAGCAGCCAGCCAACTAGCCGTCAAGTCATCAGCAGCAAGCCAACTAGCGGCCAAAAACAACAAGCTAACTATCCCTCAAGTCAACACAAGCAAGCAAAATAGCCGTCATAAGCAGCAATTTAGCCATCACGTCATCAGCAGCAAGCCAATTAGCCCTCAAGTCATCAGCAGCACTCAAACTAGCCTTTTAGTGATTAGCTGCAAGACAACTAGCTGTCTAGTCATAAGCAGCAAGCCAACTAAACGTCATTAGCAGTAAACCAACTAGCCCTTAAGTCAGCAGCAGCAAGCCAACTAGCCTTTAATTCAAAAGCAGACAGACAACTAGCCGTAATCTGCAGCAAACCAACTAGCCGTCAAATAATAACGTTAAGCCAAAAAGCCGTCACATAATATAAGCCAAAAAAATTAGCCGTCAAGTCATCAACAGCAAGCCAACATACCGTCATCAGCAGCAAGCCAATTAACTGTCATCAGTTGCAAGCCTTCAATTCAAAAGCAACAAGGCTTCTAGCCAAGACTCCTACAGCTAGCCAACTAGCCGCCATAAGAAGCAAGCCAATCAGCCTTCAAGTCATCAGCAGAAATCCAACTAGCCGTCATCAGCAGCAAGTCAACTAATCCTCAAGTCAGCAACAGCAAGCCAACTAGCCCTTAAGTCAAAAGCAGAAAGACAACTAGCCGTATTCTGCAGCAAACCAACTAGCCGTCAAATATTAACTTTACGCCAAAATGCCGTCACATAATATAGGCCAAACAAATTAGCCGTCAAGTCATCAACAGCTAGCTCATTAGCAGTCCTCAGTTGCAAGCCAAAAAGCCGTCAATTCAAATGCAGCCAGAAATCTAGCCGTCAAGTTACCAACAGCAAGCCAACTAGCCGTCAAGAGAAGCAAGTCAATCAGCCATCATCAGCAGCAAGCCAACTAGCTGTCATTAGCAGCAAGCCAACTAGCTGTCATCAGGAGCAAGCCAACTAGCTGTCATCAGCAGCAAGCCAACTAGCAGTCATCAGCAGCAAGCCAACTAGCTGTCATCAGCAGCAAGCCAACTAGCAGTCATCAGCAGCAAGCCAACTAGCTGTCATCAGCAGCAAGCCAACTAGCAGTCATCAGCAGCAAGCCAACTAGCAGTCATCAGCAGCAAGCCAACTAGCCATCATCAGCAGTAAGCCAACAGCTGTCATCAGCAGCAATCCAACTAGCCCAAAATTCAGCAGCAGCAATCCAACAAACCCTAAAATCATCTGCAGCAAGACAACTAGCCTTCACATAATCAGCAGCAAGTCAAGTAGCCGTCACATAATATAAGCCAAACAGACTAGCCATCACGTCATCAGCAGCAAGCGAACTAGCCAAGTCAAGTCAACAGCAACCCAACAAGCCCTTGAGTCATTATCAGCATGCCAACTAGCCGTCATAAGCAGCAAGCCAACTAGCGGCTATTTGAAGCAAGCCAAGCAGCCTTCAAGTCATTAGAAGCAAGCCAACTCACCGTTAAACCAACAGCAGCAAGTCAACTAGCCAAGTCATCAGAAGCATGTCAACTAGCTGTCAACTTATCAAGGGCAAGTCTAGTAGTTGTCATAGAATTAGTGATAAGCTAATTAATCCTTTGTTTATTAGTAGAAAGTCGTCAAGAAGTCATCAGCAAGCCAACTAGCGGCCATAAACAGCAAGCCAACTAGCCGTCATCAGCAGCAAGCCAACTAGCCCACACGTCAGCAGCAGCATTCCAACAAACCCTAAAGTCATCTGCAGCTAGACAACTAGCCCTTAAGTCATCTGCAGCAAACCAAATAGCCCTTAAGTCAGCAGCATCAAACCAGCAAGCCAACTAGCCGTCAAGTCATCAGCAGCAAGCAAAATAGCTGTCAAAAGCAGCAAGCCAACTAGCCGTCAAGTCATCATCTGTAAGCCAACTAACTTTTAAGTCAGCAGCAGCAAAGAAAACAAAAGCGTACGTCATATGCAGCAAGCCAACTAGCCCTTAAGTCATCACCAGCAAGACAACTAGCGGCCAAAATTAATAAGCCAACTAGCTGTCAATTTACAAGCAAGTCATCTATCTGTCAAGAAATCAGAGGCAAGTCTAGTAGTTGTCACAGCATTAGTATTAAGCTAATGAATCTTCTATTTATTAGTAGAAAATCGTCAAGCAAACAACAGCAAGCCAACTAGACGTAATCAGCAGCAAGCCAACTAGCCGCCAAGTCAACAGAAGCCAGCCAAGTAGCTGTGAAGTCATCAGAGGCAATTCTGGTAGTTATCGCAGCATTAGTATTAAGCTAATTAAACTTCTATTTATTAGTAGAAAGTGGTCAAGCCAACAACAGCAAGCCAAATAGCCGTCAAGTCATCAGCAGCCAGCCAACTAGCCGTCAAGTCATCAGCAGCAAGCCAACTAGCCGTCAAGTCATCAGCAGCAAGCCAATTAGCCGTCATAAGCAGCAAGCCACCTAGCGGCCATAAACAACAAGCCAACTAGCCCTCAAGTCAACACAAGCAAGCAAAATAGCCGTCATAAGCAGCAAATAAACTAGCCATCACGTCATCAGCCTCAAGCCAATTAACCCTCAAGTCATCAGCAGCACTCAAATTAGCCCTTTAGTGATTAGCTGTAAGACAACTAGCTATCTAGTCATAAGTAGCAAGCCAACTAGACGTCATTAGCAGCAAGCCAACTAGCCCTCAAGTCAGCAGCAGCAAGCAAACTAGCCCTTAAGTCAAAAGCATCAAGACAACTAGCCGTCATCTGCAGCAAACCAACTAGCCGTCAAATAATAACTTAAAGCCAAAAAGCCGTCACATTGTATAAGCCAAACAAATTAGCCGTCAAGTCATCAACAGCAAGCCAACATATCTTCATCGGCAGCAAGCCAATTAGCTGTCATCAATTGCAAGCCAAAAAGCCTTCAGTTCAAAAGCAACAAGAAATCTAGTTAAGTTTCCAACAGCCGTCATAAGAAGCTAGCCAATCAGCCTTCAAGTCATCTGCAGCAAGCCAACTAGCTGTCAAATAATAACTTTAAGCAAAAAAACAATCACATAATATAAACCAAACAAATTAGCCGTCAAGTCATCAAATGCAGAAAGAAATCTATCCGTCAAGTTACCAACAGCTAGCTGACTAACCGTCATAAGAGGCAAGCCATTCAGCCTTCAAGTCATTTGCAACAAGCCGTTAAGCCGTCAACAGCAGGACAACTTGGTTTGACAAAAGCTCTGGAAGCAACCAACAGACAAAAACCAACCAACGAACGTAACTAACACCACTAACCGACAACGGACAAACGAACGACAACTAACCAACTAACAGACAACCAACCAACTGACGAAAACCAACCAACGAACTTAAGTAACACCACTAACGGACAACGGACAAACAAACGACAACTAACCAACTAACAGACAACCAACCAACTGACGAAAACCAACCAACGAACCTAACTAACACCACTAACTGACAGACGGACAAATGAACGACAACTAACCAACTAACAGACAACCAAACAACGGACGAAAACCAACCAACAAACCTAACTAACACCACTAACGGACTGACGGACAAACGCACGACAACTAACCAACTAACAGACAACCAACCAACGGACGAAAACCAACCAACGAACCTAACTAACACCACTAACTGACAATGGACAAACGAACGACAACTAACCAACTAACAGACAACCAACCAACGGACGAAAACCAACCAACGAACCTAACTAACACCACTAACTGACAATGGACAAACGAACGACAACAACCAACTAACAGATAACCAACAGACGAAAACCAACCAACGAACGTAACTAACACCACTAACGGACAGACGGACAAACGAACGACAACTAACCAACTAACAGACAACCAACCAACTGACGAAAACCAACCAACGAACCTAACTAACACCACTAACGGACAGATGGACAAACGAACGACAACTAACCAACTAACAGACAACCAACCAACGGACGAAAACCAAACCAACGAACCTAACTAACACCACTAACCGACAACGGACAAACGAACGACAACTAACCAACTAACAGACAACCAACCAAGGGACGAAAACCAAACAACGAACCTAACTAACACCACTAACTGACAGACGGACATACGAACGACAACTAACCAACTAACAGACAACCAAACAACGGACGAAAACCAACCAACAAACCTAACTAACACCACTAACGGACTGACGGACAAACGCACGACAACTAACCAACTAACAGACAACAAACCAACGGACAACAACCAAACAACGATCCTAACTAACACCACTAACGGACAGATGGACAAACGAACGACAACTAACCAACTAACAGACAACCAACCAACGGACGAAAACCAAACAACGAACCTAACTAACACCACTAACGGACAGACGGACAAACGAGCGACAACTAACCAACTAACAGACGACCAACCAACGGACGAAAACCAACCAACGAACTTAACACCACTAACTGTCAACGAACCAACTAACCTAACCTTTAGCCAGAAGTTAAGCAGCATCCAGCCCCTAAGTTGACGACTCTAAGACCAGCCCACGTAACGAGCAGCCCAGGTGCCAACCAGCCAATGAGCCAACCAATCCATGAACCATCCAGCCCAGGAGCCAGCCAACCCAGGAGCCAAGGAGTCTAGGAGCCAGCCAACCCTGGAGCCAAGGAGTCTTGGAGCCAACCATCCCAGGAGCCAAGGAGTCTTGGAGCCGACCAGCCCAGGAGCCAACCATCCCAGGAGCCGACCAGCCCAGGAGCGGACCAGCCCAGGAGCCGACCATCCCAGGAGCGGACCAGCCCAGGAGCGGACCAGCCAAGGAGCCGACCATCCCAGGAGCCAACCATCCCAGGAGCCGACCAGCCCAGGAGCCGACCATCCAAGGAGCCAACCAACCCAGGCGCCAACGTGCAGCCCAGTAGTCAACTAACAACCAGATAATCGAGATAAATAAAGCCACAGTCAGACCACTATAGGACAACCCTGTGAAGAAAACACTAGCTGACGACCTACCGAGAACAACCCAATGCTGTCAACAATCCAACATGAATCACACAAGCCCACGTTAATCAGCATCAAAGCCAGCCAGCCAGCTAGAATATAACCATTAGAACCATACAGCCAGTCAACTAGACAGTTAAACAAGCAGCCAGCCATTAGTCGAAACACATCAGCAATCACCAGCCAGCCAAACTGCCGACATTCACATTAGCAGCCTATAACCAACTAGATGCCAACCCACTTTGTTCAGAACCAACCAGCTACTTGTACGTTAACCAGCCAGCATCAAGTCAGCACATATCCACTCCCCACCAACCATCGTGTAACCAGCCCCTTTTCCGCCAACCAGCTAACATGCATTAACCAGTCAATTCGTGGAAATCCAAAAAGCTAATACCAACCAAATGAACTGGTAGTCAACCCCAAAAGCTGACAACCAGTCTGCCACCAGCATAGAATCTAACCAGCAACCAGCAGCCAACCCACTACCCTAAAATCAACCAGGTGCTAACCCACTTGCTGACTAATAACCAATTGGTCCATAACAGAACTATGCACAACCAAATTGACACAGTGGCCCAATATGTACACACCAAGTTGACACAGTGGCCCAATATGTACACACCAAGCTGACACAGTGGCCCAATATGTACACACCAAGTTGACACAGTGGCCCAAGATGTACACACCAAGTTGACACAGTGGCCCAAGATGTACACACCAAGTTGACACAGTGGCCCAAGATGTACACACCAAGTTGACACAGTGGCCCAAGATGTACACAACAAGTTGACACAGTGGCCCAAGATGTACACAACAAGTTGACACAGTGGCCCAAGATGTACACACCAAGTTGACACAGTGGCCCAAGATGTACACACCAAGTTGACACAGTGGCCCAAGATGTACACAACAAGTTGACACAGTGGCCCAAGATGTACACAACAAGTTGACACAGTGGCCCAAGATGTGCACACCAAGTTGACACTGTGGCCCAATATGTACACACCAAGTTGACACTGTGGCCCAATATGTACACACCAAGTTGACACTGTGGCCCAATATGTACACACCAAGTTGACACTGTGGCCCAATATGTACACACCAAGTTGACACAGTGGCCCAAGACCAGGCACTCCACATGCTTAACTGTACCGTAATGACAAGAGATTTTGTCATCTTGATCTGTTTCATTTCGCCAGCCTTTGTGTGTCTAAACACGTAGTTATCATTTTGTAGACATTTTTCGATTCTATTTATTGTTTTACTACAAACTAGGAATGCAATTCTAATCACTTAATTATGTTTCAAGTCATTTAGATGCTATGTACACCTGATTTTATTATGTTCATTGTTTTACTTCAAAGTAGGAATACAATTCTAATAGTCAAGTCACTTGGATATTACGTATACCCGTTTTCATTATGTTTATTGTTTTACTTCAAATAAAGAAAACAATTCTAATAACAAGATTATTTGTCAAGACTGTAAATGTAATGTATACCTGCTTCTGTAACGCTAATTGTATTACTTCAAATTCGGAATACAATTCTAGTAACTAAATTATCACATACGTTCGTCAGCTATGACTTAAGTTTATCATGTTTAACCCAATGTTCAATAGATTTCAGTTTTCATTTTTCAATATTCAATATATTTCAATATTAATTATTTTTGAATGTTCAATGTATTTCAGTGTTCAATATAATTTAATGTCTAATAGATTTTAATGTGCAATAGATTTCAATGTTCAATAGATTTCAATTTTCATTTCTTTTTCAATGTTCTATATAGTTCAATGTTCAATATATTTGAATGTTCAATAGATTTCAATGTTCAATATAATTCAATGTTCAATAGATTTCAATAGATTTCAATGTTCAATAGATTTCAATGTTCAATAGATTTCAATGTTCAATAGATTTCAATGTTCAATAGATTTCAATGTTCATTATTTTTCAATGTTAATAGATTTCAATGTTTTATATATTTCAATGTTCATTAGATTTCAATGTTCACTAGATTTCAATGTTCAATAGATTACAATGTTCAATAGATTTCAATGTTCAATAGATTTCAATGTTCAATAGATTTCAATGTTCAATAGATTTCAATGTTCAATAGATTTCAAGATTCTAATAATAAATCAAATCTGTATCAATATTTTTAATAAAATAAAGTTTGCATTCTGATTTCACGTACAAGTTTTAGGGTTAGGAGGATACAGAAACACGTATACACAGATGTTATACCTTTCTCTAAATGTTTATGTTTTGTGTTCTATCTTATTCTAGTGATGCATGTCGAGAATTGCTTTATGTCTAAGGCCATGATAGTTTATAAATATGAAATATAAAGTGTAGCAGTAAAATAAAAAGAACAGCTCAACTATGTAGAATAATATATTTTTTGACTTGTCAATGTTTCGAATAATTATTAAACCTATTTTAAAACAAAGTCAATGTGTTGACGATTTGTAATGTAAAATGTCTCTCAAAATGTGTATGTTTTCTGTTCACTCGACCAACGTGTCTGCTGTTGTGAAAGATAAACGAGAACTTAGAATCATGGGCATGGACATAAGGATTTAATCTTAGATGGGTTGGAGACCAAAACTAGAATAATACTATTGAATTATCCACAAAAAAAGATTTTTAAAAATCATTTTTTTTTAGTTCAAGTAACCCCATACTTTGACAGAGTGGTCTAGCGGTAGAGAGCTGGACTGCTAACCCGTAAGTCTCGAGTTCGAATCCGGGTTAAAGTCAGTAGACCGTCCCTGAGTCCACCCAACTCTGATGGGTGCCTAACTCACGTTAGGGAAAGTAAAGGCGGCTGGGCATAGTGCTGACCACACTATCTCTTCATATGCCGAGGTCACAGAAACAAGTAAACTCTACTTCACTTGCCCCATAGACCGTCAGGGTTGATAGGGAAACTTTACTTTAACCCCATACCACGTGACCCGATTCAATTGAACTGGTCGTAGTTTTTTTTGTTTTATAAACTTTAATCACCACTCCACCAAAAGCAGCTTGTTAGGTTCTTAAAGATTTTGGTTTTACAATTATGGGTCTGATCCAGTGGCGTAGCCAGGATCGTCTCAAGGGGGGGTTCCAATTTTTACCCGGGGGAAAATCTTTCGATTTGCACCCCCCTCATACTTTTTATATATATACCGAGGGGTCTATGGGGGGGGGGGGATTATGAGCCCCACCCCCTAACCCCCCCTGCCTACGCCACTGGTCTGATCACATCTTTTTGAAATCCAGTAATTAAAAAAAATAGTTTACAGAGAGTTCTTTCAAGGGCTAGATTTATTTACTTAAACAGTTGAAGTGGTGGGGGGCTTAAGGGAACCATAGACTTTTCCACCTTGGTTACGTCACTAACAAACTGGTTTTATGACGCTGTGTGCCCAACAGTTTTCAAACGGGGTAAAGTGTCTTCCATCAACTGAGGAACAGTAACAAATGAACTGGTGTTATATTTAACAACAAAGATTCTAGGCCGAAATTATTTGACTACACAGGTTTATGGTAATAATGTTTTTCGTTTGTTTATATGCAGTGTGTGTGTGTGTGAGGGACGGTCGTGTGTGTGTGGGCGGGACGGTCGAGTGTGTGTGTTTGTGGAACGGTCGTGTTCGTGTGTGGGGGACGGACGTGTTTGTGTGTGTGTGGGACGGTCGTGTGTGTGTGAGGGACGGTCGTGTGTGTGGGAGTGACCGTCGTGTCAAATTCACTAGTAAATCAGTCATATTTAGAAATAACGTTTTCACAATCGTTAATCCAAGTGGTGTCAATCAGTCATCTCCAATATTCAATCTTTGACCTAAAACAGTTAATCAGTCAAGTCCATCAGTCACTAGTTTGTAAATAATACCTCGAAAAGGAGCAGAGTTTCTTCCAGGCATCTCTCCCGAAATTTTTTTACCGCCCCCCCCCCCCCCGAACGAAATGAAATTTATATAATTTATATAGAAAATATATACTTTTAACAGTGTCCGCCCCCCCCCCCCCGAAGAAAGTCTACCGGCACCCCCCCCCTCGAAATTTTCAAGTGCCCCCCCTCCCCCTCGGAGAAAAAGTCTGGAAGAAACACTGCAAAGGAGGCTACGAGTTAAAGCTATGGAGATGATGAAAACAACATATATATATATATATATATATATATATATATATATATATATATATATATATATATATATATATATATATATATATAATAATATATATATATATATATATATATATATATATATATATATATATATATATATATATATATATATATATATATATATTGGGGAGATGTGAGATGGTTTCATGTCCGTTACCAAATCCACCGATAAATATACATATATACATATGCATTATAATACATTTAGAACAGATTATTTTATAAAACATATTATAAAAGAAAAAAATTTCATATGATTTCTTCAACTTTTGTTATGTAAAAAGTACAGAAATGAAGAGATCTCTTCATTATTGTACTTTTTACATAACACAAGTTGAAGCGCTATTCGCCACTATGTAATTTTAGAGTGCGTCAATAATTTCCGGGAAATGTAGAATCAGTTTCGATTTCGCGCTAATGTGTAGCTGGAACTACACACATGTATTGGTTTAGCTAGGCAGGTGTTCGACATAATTAACTTGGTGTCGATGACGAGGATTAATTGATTATGTTCAAGTAGTTGCCAGGGTAATTTAAGCGTTGGACAGATTGCCAGGTAATTTCGTGAAATACTTTATTTTAACAATTATTTTTAGTACAAGGAAGGCACGATCGACAGAGAAAACACAAACATAAGCTGCATAGGTTTGACACGGTCGATAAGGAAGCCACGATTCACGAACATAGAATAGAGCTGTGTAGATATATTTTTTTTAAAAACTGAAACCAAGTGTCAACAGGAGGGCTACATATACACAGCGACATGAAGAGTGGGGGAAGGGCTTGGGATGGAAGCGAGAACAGTGCAAGGTGATATTGTTCTATGGGGGGGGAGGGGGTGACACCAAAACGAAAAATTGCTTTCTAGCTTTAAAGAACAAATAATAATATCTTGCTATGGTTTAAGGACATTTGCACAAATACACAAACATATATATATATATATATATATATATATATATATATATATATATATATATATATATATATATATATATATATATATATACTAGCCGCCCCGGCCAGGCCCTGCACTGGCCTCAGTGGAAAGCCTATCTTTAAAGGACCGTGACTTATGTATTTATTAAGCAGTATATACCCGGCATTGCCCGGGTTTACGAAATATATTACTTTTCAATTAAATGTCTATATGCGAATCTGGACTTTTAAGAAAATAACACGTTACCATAAACCTAACTCTAAATCTAAACTTAACCCTAATCAAAAACAGCCAAAAGCAAAACACAAACGTAATGCAAACACAAGCGCAAACAAACACAAATCAAACACAAACGCGAGCACAATAGCGAACACAAACATAAACGCAAACGCAAACACAAAGGTAAACACAAACGCAAACAAAAACGCAAACACAAACATTAACACAAACGTAGACACAAAGGCAAACACAAACGCAAACAAAAACTCAAACGCACAAACGAACGCAAACACAAACAAACGTGTTTGGACGTATGGGTGTGGGCGTGAGTCTGGGTATAGGTAAACGTTTACGTATTGTGGTTCATCCATTATAAAAGAATAAATAATTGCATTTTCAATTTTGAACGATCTGAATAATTTAGCTAGCAGTAACGATGCAGAATATGGAAGATCTAGGATCTGAACAAAAAAATAATTTTGAAGGGTCACCTACTTCAAATGATGAGAATAAAAGTAAATACCCACTTCTTCATCGGGAGGTGAGTTACGCAGCTTTGTATTAATGCCCTTTCAATGCAAATTTAAGAGTTTATGTTTTGAATGTAGGGGTGAACATAACAATGTGTAGACCCCAACTAACTCTGAATATTCAATAGATCTAGAACAGCTTACAGTCGGTAGAGATAAAAATCAAATTTAGTGTTGCATTAATCTTAAATTTTTTAGTGTTAAAACAAAATTTATAAAAAAAGGCAACTTTAAAAAGTGAATAATTGTATTAAGTTTCATAAATAATTATTAATTAATTATAGTAAAAAAAAGCTAAAACGATATTGCAAAAATGATATAAATTAATTTTCATAAACAATAAAATAAATCTGTATTATATTTATTCTAAATTTTAATAATACATTATTAGTATTATTGAGTTACGAAAGTGTGATTGATTTTTGTTTAGATTTTCGCAGAAAGAATTGAACTAAGTCACTACGATAAGACGTGCAACAAGTGGACAAGTCCCATTGTGGGATTTGTTAAAATTCTTGAAGTTTCTAATCACTACCGGATCAATATCAAACAAGATGAGGTAGTTATTTCTGTTAACGTTAATATCGCTTAAACAGTTACAAAATTGAAGTTACACTTCAGGATCTGACGGTCGATAATGCAGATGAACTAATATAAAACTGTCTACTACACTCATACTCTCATACCCATTCAGAACACTAAAATGTCATTCACAACAGAAAGAAAATTATTCTTGCTCAAGCTCATTCTCCAATTCTACAAAAAGACAAAAGATACCAGGACAAAATATATCAGGACAAATGATACCATGGACAATTGATCTCAGACAAAATATCTCAGACAAAATATCTCATTTGTCCTGAGATCATTTGTCATGGAACCCTACAACAATTTAACTTTAATCTCTTTAAAACGCGTTGTTCGATTTAACAATTGATGTTAATTTCTATGATAGACATGTACGTTTGCAACAGAAATTTATAGTCTTAACCTAAAATTGGTTTCATTCTTTTAGGCGAATATCACTAGGGCTGACCATGTAATTACGAGTCAAATGGAACTTCAGCCTAAAGATTACAAACAGCGCTCTTTTAATTACTGTGCGAAGGTCAAGGAGTCTGATCTAAATGAAGAATTTTTGCAAGTTAAGTTTGCAAATACAGAACAAGCATCACGATTTGCTGAAATATTTAACCGGTGTAGAGGAGAATTGAAATATACTACAGAGAGTGATGGTATAACTGACACAATAACAGAAAAATCGTTCCCTTTGGGAAGTAGTCTAAACCAGAGCTGTAGAAAAGTCAAAACTGTCAGTATTGAGTGTCAGACAAACAACAGCGATGACGACATAGAAAATGTCAGTTTGACCGACGAAAAAATTAAAGATAAACAAGATGGCAGTAATGTTTTTAAAACTGGTGAAGAGCTAGGAAAATTAACTGTTGGAGACCGAGTTATTTTCCCTGCTATAGCTCATCCGATAACATTAATTGATACTCTGGATAGCTCTGACGATGAACAGGACGAAAATGATATTAATGAAGGTACAGAAGATGAGCAGAATCCTTATGAAGGTGATATAAACATAATGTTTTTTTATGTTTTTGTATCAAAAATCTTGTGTACAATCACGATGTTTCCAAAATAGTATTATACGGTGTACGCTTACCTAGTTGGACTTTACTCGCAAGGCATCATATCTTTTGATTCTTTTTAATTTCGTGATTGTTAATTTCAAAAATGGTAAAAAAAATACCTTAAAGAATATTATTGTGAAATGAAAATAGTATCAGAAGAGATAATTTCTTTTAAACAGGATTAGAAGAATCCAGGACTCCACTAAGGTCATGTTTACGTGATATGATCAAGCCCAACACTGGTAGCTGGGAATGCAGTGGTTGTTACATACGCAACAATGAGGATGTGGCTAAATGCCCTGCTTGTGGTACTTTCAAACCAGGATCAAAACCAGCCAGCACTGCTACAAGTTCATTATTGAGTGAAATGTTTAAGCCCAAAGCTGGGAGCTGGGAATGTGATGGTTGTCTGGTGAGAAACAACTCTGATGTGGTCAAGTGTCCAGCTTGTGGAACTTTGAAGGCTGGCACCAAACCTGAGGATGTGCCTAAACCTGCAGCGGGTGGAATCTCTTTTGGTGCTTCTCTTTCTGCTGGACCAGCAGGTTAGAACTTTATATTTTACATGTAGGCTACATTAGTATCATGGTCGGATGTTAGAGTATATGACTGCAGACCCGAATGTTCCTAGTTCCAATCCCGGGTACGTATCAGTAGAGAGTCCTTGAGTCCACCCAGCTTTGATGTGCACCTAATTTAGGGACGGGAAAGAGGGACGGCGTGGCCTAGCGATAGAGCGCTGGACTGCTAACCCTAAAGTCTCGAGTTTGTATCCGGACTCCAGTCAGTAGAACATCCCTTAGCCAAAGTATAGACAGCATAGTGCGAACCACACTATCCCTTCATATGCTGTAGTCTCAAAACTGGTAATCTTTACTCCACTTTTCCAAGGATGCCACGGTTTGAAAGGGTACGTTTACCATAGTAATTCTTCTTTGATTGTCAAAGATGAATTCAAGAGTCTAAGCTTTGTCTCATCACTTTTTCCAATAATCGAGTGTTTTTAAAGGCTTTTACTTTACTCATTACTCATTAAGTAAGTGTGTGTGCAAGTGAGTGTGTGTGTCTGTCTGTGTATGTCTGTGTGTATCTATCTGTCTGTGTGTAGTCTCGGCAAATCTTGAAATATTAATTTAACCCACTTCGGATTGTCCGACTTAGATAACATTAGACACGGTGGTAGAGATAAGATAGCAATGCAAGAATGGCTTATTTTTAATCTCATTAAATAGACAATTAGTCTTTAAATTTTTATTTAAAAATGTTAATACAATTAATATATGTTAATATGTTAGTACCATTACTGAACATAAGCCTGCGCTTTTTTTTCTGCCTACAGCACTGTATACAAAGGCCACAATTAAGAAAGGATTCAATTTTCGTATTCCGTCCACATCTACAAAGGCCACAGTTACAGAAGGATTTAAGTTTAGTATTCCTGTAAAAGCACCATTTACAACAGCAACAGTTAATGAGGGATTTAAGTTTGGTATTCCTGTAACAACACCATCTACAACAGCCACAGTTAATAATGGATTTATGTTCGGTAGTCAAGTAACCAAACAATCTAAAACAGCCTCAGTTAATGAAGGATTCAAGTTTGGTAGTCAAGTAACCAAACAATCTACAAAGGCCAAAGTTAATGATGGATTCAAGTTTGGTATTCCTGTAACAGCACCATCTACAACAGCCTCAGCTAATTATGGATTTAGGTTTGGTAGTCCAGTAACTACACCATCTACAACAGCCTCAGCTAATTATGGATTTAGGTTTGGTAGTCCAGTAACTACACCATCTACAACAGCCTCAGCTAATTATGGATTTAGGTTTGGTAGTCCAGTAACTACACCATCTACAACAGCCTCAGCTAATTATGGATTTAGGTTTGGTAGTCCAGTAACTACACCATCTACAACAGCCTCAGCTAATTATGGATTTAGGTTTGGTAGTCCAGTAACTACACCATCTACAACAGCCACAGCTAATTATGGATTTAGGTTTGGTAGTCCAGTAACTACACCATCTGCAACAGCCACAGCTAATTATGGATTTAGGTTTGGTAGTCCAGTAACTACACCATCTACAACAGCCACAGCTAATTATGGATTTAGGATTGGTATTCCTGTAACAGCACCATCTGCAACAGCCTCAGCTAATTATGGATTTAGGTTTGGTAGTCCAGTAACTACACCATCTACAACAGCCTCAGCTAATTATGGATTTAGGTTTGGTAGTCCAGTAACTACACCATCTACAACAGCCTCAGCTAATTATGGATTTAGGTTTGGTAGTCCAGTAACTACACCATCTACAACAGCCTCAGCTAATTATGGATTTAGGTTTGGTAGTCCAGTAACTACACCATCTACAACAGCCACAGCTAATTATGGATTTAGGTTTGGTAGTCCAGTAACTACACCATCTGCAACAGCCACAGCTAATTATGGATTCAGGTTTGGTAGTCCAGTAACTACACCATCTACAACAGCCACAGCTAATTATGGATTTAGGATTGGTATTCCTGTAACAGCACCATCTGCAACAGCCTCAGCTAATTATGGATTTAGGTTTGGTAGTCCAGTAACTACACCATCTACAACAGCCTCAGCTAATTATGGATTTAGGTTTGGTAGTCCAGTAACTACACCATCTACAACAGCCACAGTTAATGATGGATTTAAGTTTGGTATTCCTGTAACAGCACCATCTACAACAGCCACAGTTAATGATGGATTTAAGTTTGGTATTCCTGAAACAGCACCATCTACAACAGCCACAGTTAATGATGGATTTAAGTTTGGTGTTCCAGTTATACATCCAACTACAAAATCCACTGGACTTTTTTCCACTACACCATCAACAGACTCCGGCACATCAACTGCTGGACCAATATTCAGATCTTCAACAACACAAGGCTTCCAGTTTTCTTTCTCCAAGTCCCCAGTCAAATCACAGCAGATGCCAGTAGTCCCAGGTTCACCTGAGGTGGATGAACATGGAATGTACATCAACAAAGAGGGAGATGACTCTCATATTCATTTTGAACCAGTTGTTGCCCTTCCAGAGAAAATTGAGGTATTGATTATCTAATCCAAATATTATACATTGTTTATTATGACTTGACAGTGTTTAAAAAAATTAAATGTGATACATGTTTATCAGGTAAAAACTGGAGAAGAGGATGAAGCAATTTTGTTTGAGTCTCGAGGGAAGATGTACAGATTTGTGTCTGGTGAATGGAAAGAAAAAGGAGTTGGTGTTGTGAAAATATTAGAGCACAAAGACACAAAGAAGACAAGAGTGCTCATGAGGAGAGATCAGGTACACAACTTTCAGAATCAATCACTAAAATATTCTCAAAAATAAATACAATATTGTATGATTTTAAAAAAAATGAATGGGGGAGAGGGGAATAGGGCTTGTAAGTAGGTCACAACTTCTCGTTCTCCTACTTGCCAGACCGTAGACTTTCAAGCCCTATAACAATTGAACTTAAGAGATTAACTTTTTTAATAAGCATAAAATACTTGAATTCTTGTAAATACTATGAACTAAATATATTTTAATTATGTAAATTGCTGGTTAATATATACATAGTTTTGATGGTTAAGTTTGTTTTAAATGTGTTGCAAATTTTACAAATCTCCATCAGGTGCTTAAAATTTGTTGCAACCACAAAATAGAACCTGCCCTGAGTCTACAGCCCATGGCAAAAAGTGATGGCAAGGCCTGGGTTTGGTATGTACTTGATTTCTCAGAGGATGGAGATGATGGTAAAATGGAGCAGCTTGCACTAAGGTATTTAGAAGTAATTTTTCATCATTTGCATTAAGTTTTGCATTGTTTTATAATTAGCTATATTTCTTTTTAATAAGCGAGATACTAATTGAAGTTTAATTTTTACATTTGAATTTTATGAAAATGCCTAATGTTTTATAAACTAAATTACTTATTTCAGGTTCAGAAATGCAGAAATAGCAAATGAATTTAAGAAAGTTTTTGAGCAATGTCGAGACAATTCCAACACAAATCAGTCTAGGACCCAAGACTCTGAGCCTGATGTATCCATCAGGGGAGATCAATCAGTCCAAGGTAAATGGAGTTCTCTTTGATCTAAGTTATATCACAACATGCTGGTTGTGGCTTTAAGTCTAACCTCTAATGAATTTTGTCATGTTGAGTCCAGGCTCAATTTATTTATTTGTTTTAAAATGAAGAATATTTTTTTTAAATATGCATTTAACTTCATTTGGAATTTATAACTTTAAACATGGGGCAGATAAAGTAGAGTTTAACTGATACAGGTTGATAGTGTCATCAGCGTTATACTCGGCCGCTTTAGTTTTCCTATCCTGAGTCAGGTATCAATTAGAGCAGGGGTCTCCAAACTACGGCCCGCGGGCCGGATGCGGCCCGCGAGCTCATTTTATCCGGCCCGCGACGATCTTATTGTCTACTGAATAAATGTTTGTTAGAGGTGACTGAGGAACTTTGCACAGAAAATTCAAAACTATTTGAAAATGTAGCTGTGTGTGCAAATACAATTACTCGCCGTGTTGCCGACATTCATGAAAAATAGTGTCTCTAATAGTGAAAAATACAAGCAAGCTTCGCCATTTTTCAATTGCAATGGATGAGTCGCTGGACAGCTGTTCCACTTCTCAACTTCTTGTGTTCATTAGAGGTGTGAAGACATGAACATAACACAAGAGCTGACTTCCCCACATAGAATGTATTACATTGTTACCGAAGAGGATATCTAACCATAGATAGTTCAGAGACAAACACAAAATCGCAAGATTTATTATACTTCACATCAGTAAGATCGCTAATTTTGAGAGAAAGTTCTGAGCAGAGTATTTAAGTTAAGAAAAGAAATAGAGACACGTTCAAAGAAGGGCGGATGGGTTTTCATAAGTTTGTGCACTAGGAAGACTTTCCTAATATTAAAAGTTTTGCATCAAAGTACCTTTCAAATTTTGGAACAACATACCTGTGTGAACAAACATTTTCAAGAATGAAATACGTGAAGAACAATTTGAGAGCAAACATGGACCTCGGGTGGGGGGGGGGGGACATTTGAAATGTGTTTATATTTCTATATAAATTATATTTCGTGGGGGGATGGGGGCGGTAGACGTTCTTCGAGGGAGGGGGGGGGGTGCTGAAACGATGCCTTAAAGCAGTGGTTCCCAACCTTTTTTGAGTGGCGACCCCCTTTTATAAAAAGTAAGTGACCCGCGACCCCCATAGAATTCAAAAGCCGAAATTAGTATAGAAAATACCAAGCACTAAAATAAGATTTTCTTGTAGACTTTCAATATGAACTACCATTGATATCTGTTTTAATACCATGAGTAAAATTGCATACCATTTACTAAACATTCGTGGTTAAGTTTTTGTTAACGCTAACCTGTCATCATCAACATTCAATTTATTTCTTAATTTTGTTTTTAATTGGAGAATAGTGTTGAAAATATATATTCTCGAAAAGTCAATCAATTTTACGTTTGGGTATGAATGGTGAATACTACACCAAAATTGTTTGTGCAGTTTTTCATCTTAAGCGAAATCATTCTGCAAATCAAAGAATTCATCGGGAACTCTGGCAACATCAAAGGAAGCAGAGTATGGGTAATGTGTCAATGCAGATTCTTCTTTTTTCAGCTCAGAGAAATAGCGCTGCAGTTCGTTTACAAGAGATTCAAGATGCCTAGAAATTGTTTCTTTCAAAAATGTAATTATCTCACAATCAGATTCATCTACCACACTGCAGAGTTTCTCAAATTTACAATAGTTCCTAGATTTATTTTCTTCGCCAATTTTGCAGCTTTGATAAAAATGCCCCGAGATTATTATGGAAAGCGATAATATTCTTTCATTTTTCCTGAAGCTTCAGGTTAAGCTTATGTTGATGTTCGGATATTTCTGCTAGGTATGATACGCTCTCCAACTACTCTATGTCGTTTTAAGTAAACCAAAAGGTCTTGATTCGTTTGCACTTCCAAGAACAGTTTGATTTCAGATTTCAATTCAAAAACACGATTCACAACATTTCGTTTGACAGCCAGCGTACTGTAGTGTAGAAAACCAGAACATCATTATCTTTATTCATATCTTTGCTCAGTTCTTTGAAGGCTCCAGATTTAATTTATAACTTTTTCTAGCAATGCAGTCTTGATGGCGTGGGCAGTGGTCAGGGAGCTAAATCTTTTCGGTTTTCTGAAAGCCCGATTTTGACCTAAACATAGATGGCACACCATACGTACAAGCCCCCACAGCCGTTTTAACCCATTTTAATCATCCAGCCTCATAAAACGTGTTTATTGTCTCCATGCTATCTTCACAAAATAGCAACTCTTCTTTGCTAACATATGAATGAATATAGGACCAGCAACAGAGAACGCGAACTCACGTCTGTTGATTTATCAACTTGAAAAGCAAACAATGGTGAAAGCTTGATTTCATTAACACATTTTTATTTAAAATCTACGGACATGTCTGCTATAAGCCGCTGAATAGTATTGCTAGGCAGAGATATTTGTTGCATCTTTATTGCACTGGAATCCCCAAGAATTAACTTCACCATCTTCAATATGCTGCGTTTGATGAGATTTTCTCCTATTGTGCTTTTTTTTTTTGCTTGGCGATTTCTATCGCAACTCCGTTTGATGATTGCACTAATGCTGTGTTTCCTTGGTGAAAACTTCCTGTTCGATCAAGTCTCTGACGTTTGCAACTAGCTTCATGCAGACGAAAGACCTCCATATATTTTTTTGTGTGTTCCGAATGACTCGTCTAAAATGACGTTTAAGTTTTGGAGATTTCATAAACTCGTGACTGAGAACAACTTTGTACAGTACGCATGGCCTCTTCCCTATTCCATTTCCAATGATGTTAGTAAAGCCGAATTTCAGATATTCTTCTAAATATTTATGTTTTGTTTCTCATTATTTAGGTTTAGTTTACCAGTTGGCGACCCCCCAGAAAGGCCTTCGCGACCCCCAGGGGGGTCGCGACCCCCAGGTTGGGAACCCGTGCCTTAAAGAAACTCTGGCCCCCGAACTGATAGTTAATGCGGCCCTCGGGCTGAAAAGTTTGGAGACACCTGAATTAGAGCTTGGTGGACTTAGGGGCGTCCGAGGTAATCGAACGCGTGATGCGAAACTCGGGACTTTCAGGTTAGCAGTCGTAAGTTCTTCTAGCTGACCACGCTTTCCTTTTAAATGTTAAAGTTCCCTTTCAGACCTAACGGTCTATGGGGCAAGTGAAGTAGAGTTCACTTGTTTTTGTGACCTCGGAATATGAAGGTCAGCACTATGCCCAGCCGCCTTTACTTTCCCTAACGTAAGTTAGATACCCATCAGAGCTAGTTTGAATCAAGGACGGTCTACTGACTTGTACCCGGATTCGATCTCGAGCAGTCCATCTCTCTACCGCAGGCCACTCCGTCCCTCTTTTAAATGTATAAGCTAATATTATTTACTGTTGCTTTCAGTAATAGTTCAATGAATGTATTGACTTTAAATGTTTATATAACTTTGTCCAATTTAGATGAAGATGATGACGATGTTATAATCATTCGTGAGGAAAAGCCCACAGCAGAGCAGATCGCCATGGCCAGAAAGTTCCTGTTGCCAGATACATTTTACTTGTATGAAAATAGACCACCATGTCCTGGGTGTATAGGCTGTGAAGATGGGGAACTCCCTAAGTCAGTTGCTCCAGTTTCTGCTGCCAAAACATCTGTCAACAAAAAATTTAAAGGTGAGAATTTCACACAGGTAGTGACTCATTTCAAGCTGGACTGCTAACCTGTAAGTCTCGAGTTCGAATCCGGGTTCAAGTCAGTAGATCGTCCCTGAGTCCACAACTCTGATGGGTACCTATTTCACGTTAGGGAAAGTAAAGGCGGCTGGGCATAGTGCTGACCACACTATCTCTTCATATGCCGAGGTCGCAGAAACAAGTGAACTCTACTTCACTTGTCCTATAGACCGTCATGTTTGAAAAGGGAACTTTACTAACTTTAGTGACTCATTTCACAAAAGAAAGAAACAAACTTGGAAATATCTAATCAGTCTTTACACGCTCCTTTTGAGCTATAACTATAACATACTCATTAAGATATTCTGTCTCTACTACATATATTCATCTGATCTTTGATAATATTAACATTCAAATTTAATAAGAATTTAATTAGAAAAACCCTGTTAAATATTTTAAGATGTTTCCTTTTAAAAATTAAAAATGAAGATTGAAGATTTCAATATAAATGTTCTCAGATAACCTCACAAGCACAAAGCCCCCAACACAACAGACAATATTTGGAGGGGCAGGCAATCTGCCTGACTTTGCTAGTCTGACGTCAGACACACCCTCAGATAAAAAGGATGGCAATAGTTTTGTCTTTGGGTCAGGGGCGTCTCTTGACTTTTCCAGTCTGGCATCAAGCAATAAAGCGGAAGAATTTTCATGGAAAAAAAGTAAGTCATTGCAAAATAATTAATCGGTATGAAGAAACCTGGCTTAACAGCTTTTATAAAAAATCTATATGAATATGAACAATGTAAGATGTGTAACCTTCACGATTTTAGCCGACGCTTCAGCCCCATTCAAGTTTGCTGGAGCTGGGCAGAAGTTGTTTGGTGTAGGGACCACAGGTAAAGAGGCTGCTGATGACGGTGATGATGGCGGTACTGTGGCACCTCTGCCAGATTTAGTGGAGGTCAAAACTGGTATGGAAAACATTATAATTAGGACTTCTAATTAATTACATCACAGAAATGTTTGCTGTTCAACAGAACTGTTTGTTAATTTTAGTTTATAGTATAATTTTTTTTTCTTTTGGGAAAAAGTTTAATTTTGTACAAGAGATGCTTTTCTAGCCCTTCCCATGCTAGTTTGTATGGGTTATAAACATTTAAATTGATTCACTTAATTGGGTATTTTAAATCATATTTACAATTGCTTGTTATTCTAAAAGATAGTTTTTAAAAGGTAAAAAAAATTATTTTTTTTAAAGGGGAAGAAGATTGGAAAGTTTTGTTCTGTCAGCGTGCCAAACTTTACAAGTTTGACGAAGGTCTCTATCAGTGGAAAGAACGTGGCATTGGAAATCTAAAAATCATGCAAAACAATACTAAAAGTAAGCTCATAACTAGGATATTTACAGTTTCACTTTGCTAATTTTAAAAGTTGACAATAATTCAGGACTTAAATCTTTGCTAAAAGTGACATTAGAAAAAAGACAGAGATTGCTTTTATAATGTTAACATTGTGATTTTTTTCTATGCAACAGATATGTTCAGAATGCTTTTATCATGTTAACATTGTGATTTTTTTATGCAACAGATATGTTCAGAATGCTTTTATCATGTTAACATTGTGATTTTGTTATGCAACAGATATGTTCAGAATTCTCCAGCGCAGAGAACAAGTGTTGAAGGTCGCATGTAATCACCTGATATCAGTTGACATGAACCTCAAGCCCTTGACCACATCAGAAACTGCCTGGTGCTGGGTAGCCAATGATTTCACAGACACAGAGCCAAGCGTTGAGAGGTTTGCTGCCAGGTTTAAAGTGAGTCTCCTTCTTATACTGCTAGCCTGAAGGTCTTGAGTTCAGACTGGTTCAGACTTGTGACTATATGACTTCCCTGAGTCCACCCAGCTCTGAAGGGTTCCTGACTTATGTTAAGGAAAGTAAAGGAAGTAGGGCATAGTGCTGACCACAATATCTCTTCATATTCTGAGGCGAAGAAACGTGAACTCTACTTCACCTGCCCAATGGATCGCTAGATCTAAAGAGGAACTTAACTTAGTTTACCTTCTTACACATTAGTCAAATGTACTAATTCAAACTGTTGGAAATATTATGGATAAAACTGTTTAATTTATTTCAGACTAAAGATATCGCAATGAAATTTAGCAAGATATTTACTAGCTGTCAAGAAAAGCTTAGCACTCAGGAAAATGGTACGTTCAAATAAAATTTAAAATTTTGGCTTTAGCTGTTTGGTGTCTTTTAAAATTGTTTAGATGGAATTGATATATCGCACTTTTTTTTAAATTTATGGATTATACCAACATAAAAAGAAATTCTGCAAAAACTATTGCCACTCTATGTTTAGAGCTAGTCGAGAACAAAAATGAAATGATTTGTGCAAAAATTATTAATTATTGCATTTTAAAATTATTTATCTTTTCTGAATTAGTTTCTTTTGTTGAGCAAACTAAGAATTAATTAGCCCTTAAATGCATACCGGTACAAATCTGCAACATACCAGTTACCTTCCCATAAAATATTAGCCTAAACATGTTTTATTTTGTGCATCACGTTGTTTGACTGCTACAATGTTAACCTACAGCTTGCGCATGTCTAATTGACCTAGATTTGTTTTACCGCCAAGCCGATCTCAAATTTGTGCATGATCACAAGGTTTTTTATATCAGCATTTTTGGTTGGTGTTTCAAAGTTCACCAAAGTCAAATAAACTGGTTTTGGAATTTCAAAAAATATGTTTCTGACAACCTAAGGTATGTATTACATATTGTATGTGTTGTTTTGAAAATCAATTCATAATTTATTTTAAAATCTTCACAAAACTTTGGTTGCAGTACTGCAACGTTATGCATGTTGACCTACTTTTGCACTATTTTTTTTTTACTTTATACATCAGCATTGGTGATTATATAGTACCTTGTTGTTCTTCTAGTTTCAGCATAATCATTAAGAAATCAATGTGAATCAAGGTGAAGAATAATATGAAGTAGACGCTCTTGGTGATCCAGAGTATCTTGCTGGATCTTAAGGACCAGTGTGGACCCTAGACATCCTGAACCAGTGTGGAGCCTGGATCTCCTGGACCAGTTTGGACCCTAGATATCCTGGACCAGTGTGGACCCTAGATATCCTGGACCAGTGTGGACCCTAGATATCCTGGACCAGTTTGGACCCTGGATCTGCTGGACCAGTGTGGACCCTAGATATCCTGGACCAGTGTGGACCCTAGATATCCTGGACCAGTTTGGACCCTGGATCTGCTGGACCAGTGTGGACCCTGGATATCCTGGACCAGTGTAAACCCTAGATATCCTGGACCAGTGTGGACCCTAGATATCCTAGACCAGTTTGGACACTGGATCTGCTGGACCAGTGTGGACCCTAGATATCCTAGACCAGTTTGGACCCTGGATCTGCTGGACCAGTGTGGACCCTAGATATCCTGGACCAGTGTGGACCCTAGATATCCTGGACCAGTGTGGACCCTAGATATCCTGGACCAGTGTGGACCCTAGATATCCTGGACCAGTGTAAACCCTAGATATCCTGGACCAGTGTGGACCCTAGATATCCTGGACCAGTGTGGACCCTAGATATCCTGGACCATTGTGGAACCTGGATCTCAAGGACCAGTGTGGACCCTGGATATCCTGGACCAGTGTGGACCCTGGATCTCCTGGACCAGTGTAGACCCTAGATATCCTGGACCAGTGTGGACCCTAGATATCCTGGACCAGTGTGGACCCTGGATCTACAAGACCAGTGTTGACCCTGGATATCCTGGATCAGTGTGGACCCTAGATATCCTGGACCAGTGTGGACCCTAGATATCCTGGACCAGTTTGGACCCTGGATCTACAAGACCAGTGTGGACCCTAGATATCCTTGACCAGTGTGGACCCTAGATATTCTGGGCCAGTGTGGACCCTGGATATCCTGGACCAGTGTGGACTCTGGATATCCTGGATCAGTGTGGACCCTAGATATCCTGGACCAGTGTGGACCCTAGATATCCTGGACCAGTTTGGACCCTGGATCTACAAGACCAGTGTGGACCCAAGATATCCTTGACCTGTGTGGACCCTAGATATTCTGGACCAGTGTGGACCCTGCATATTTTTGAACAGTGTGGACCCTGGATAAGTGTGGACCCTGGATCTCTAGGACCAGAATGGACACTGGATCTCCTGGACCTGTGTGGACACTAAGTCTCGTGGAATAGTGCAATGACAGGTGCAAATTCACATCAAGCTCAAACAGTTTGCCACAAGTGCAACATATATCTTTGTTGTAACAAGATCAACAACTGTCTTAAAAAGTATCACCTTACTACATAATGTTGCAGACATGCAACATTTCGGATTTTAATTAAAGAACATGTTTAAACTAAAAATATTTTTTTACTTGACTATACTCTTCATATACCCACCAAAACAATATAAAAATATTTTTTTCAATCATTATTAAAAAGTCATGCATTTAAGGGTTAGGTAGGTCTTGACTTTTTCATTCTCTTGTCTTCATGATTAATTCCTCAAAGATGTCATTTATTTCAACTTTGTGCTCATACACATACAAATTAGTGTTTGCGTAGAAAGCAATAGTGAAAATTAAATGTGCTGATCATCAAATTTTAAAAACTTAAGTTTCATCAAATGAAAAACCTCATTTCATTTCAACCTACCTTTATTCACAACAATGAGAGTTGTGTGATGGCCCTGGCCAAATTTGATAAAATGCATGATAATTTTCATGTTCTGTTTAGCAAGCTCACCAGAAGCTGCTTTAGAAACTGGACATGCTCAGGACGAGAGAGTTCAGTTGCTGCGCTCTTTGACGCTAGAGGTAGCTGAACAAGATGCTATTGTTCCAGCTACGTACAAGGGCAGTAATGCCCGTTTACTTCTGTGGCAAAGCTTGAGTAGTCTTAGCACTGAGGAGGGTGGCGCGGGGAAACAAATGGATCATAGAGGTGTTGTTGATGCAATGAGCGCTGGCTTTAGCCAAGTTCAAGGGGATAAGGGAAACAGGTTCCATGCTAAAGCTTTAGATGTAACTGGCCAGGATTTTGTTGCATCTTCGTCTTATATAACATTGGGAGAGAGAGAAGTTACTGAAATTGTGAAAAATGATTCGGTGACACCACTAGGGGACAAAGGCTACAGACACCATTCAAAAGCCCTTGAAGTGGTTGGCCAGGATTTTGTAGCCCCAGCAACCTACTCACCTTTAGGTGGCAGTGAAAAAACAGGCAAAGATAAAATGGTGTCTAGCTCCATAACACCACTGGGTGACAAAGGCAACAGACACCATTCAAAAGCCCTTGAAGTGGTTGGCCAGGATTTTGTAGCCCCTGCAACATACACACCTTTAGGTGGCAGTGAAAAAACAGGCAAAGATAAAATGGTGTCTAGCTCCACCACACCACTGGGTGACAAAGGCAACAGACACCATACAAAAGCCCTTGATGTGGTTGGCCAGGATTTTGTCGCATCTTCATCTTATACCCCTCTTGGAGCACAGTTTAGATCATCACAGCCAACAAGTTTTGGCCAGCTTCTACCATCTGTGTATTACAATCAAGGCGATGGAGGAAATCCTTTATACTCTCAGATGTTGAACCTGGCTGGTCTAGTGGAAACAATGACCGCAACAGAAACCAACCCTTTTGGTGATAAAGGAAATATCTATCACACCAAATTTTTAAACAAAGCTGATGTGGGCACAGAGGCAACACTCACAGCCTCTGGTAGATTACTTGAATGCTTGTAGTTGGCATGTTATGCTGCTCTGGCTTTAGTTCTAATGGACATATCATGCGCTGCACCTTGTATACTCCAGTCATTATTTGTATAATTATTTGTTTGGGGACTTAACAACGCTATTTCAATCAGAAATACTTTAACCACCACCACCACTATACGTTAGATAATATAAATTGTACAGTCAAGTTCTAATGTCTTATTTATTTACTAAAATTATTTAACTACATTTCCTAATTGTTAATATTTTTAAAAAATTATAATTCGCTGTTGGATCTAAATTTTTGTCATATGTATTGAAGATTTTAAAAAATTGCTTCATTGTTAACTCCTAAATACTGAACCAATAAGTAACCTGAGTAACCTGTTTCTTATTGCTCTTTAATTCTTTACCCAATCACAGTAGATTTTTCTTTAGCATTTACTTTCAGCATAAGGAACCCATTGTATTGAAACTTGTGTATTTCACTGTGTTCTCTTTTGTCCACTATCTCTTGTTTAACATAGATTGTATACTAATAATTTTTATGGCAATTTCAATTCTAAATTGTTACATTTTGTACATGTAGATTTTATAATATATGATATTGTATATATACAAAAATTTGAAGGTAAATTAGTTGCTAAAGGTATTATGCTTGCTGTAAACCATGTTAAAATCTTATTTACAGCAGTTGCGGTCAGTAGACCAAATAAAGCATAGCATCTAAGCATTGATGCTATTGCCACTGGTAGAAGTTCTTATTTCTTTTGTAGATCAGTAAATTATGTAGGTTACTTATCAAATATGGGGTTTTTATTTTATCTAATATCTGGGTTGTTTTTATTTTGGCTTTTTTTTTTAAGGTTGTATGTGCAGCCTGGCATCATTCTCTGTGTTTATTTTAGTTTTTATTCTGGAACAATATGATTTTATACATCTGTGATGTTACAACTATTTAACTCTTTTTAAAAAAACCCACTAATTTATGACACATTAAGCTAGTGGTAGCTAATCTACCCAAGTGGATTTAGTTTTGTTAAAATTAAACATAAATTATGGAAAACCCTCTCAGTATTTTTTACTCTTTGAAAGTTTTCCTTGATACTTCTTAAATTTATTTCATGCTCAAACTGCACCTTGTTTTTTATTTTTAAAATAGGGTCATTTTTTTTTCTTATAATAGTAATATCACAATTTAATAATATAATGTGATGGTGTGATTAGATGTAGCATGCTTACACTTTATAGAGGTATTTGCTCAAATTAAAACTGTATATTGTTGCTGTTTCAAGTTCATGCTATCTTCCTTCAGGAAGATTATTTGTAAACAGTCAATACCTTTGGGACTTTACTCAGTATGCAACGTAATTAAATTGAGAACTACTGGGTACCACTGTGTATTTTCTGTCTGTAATTTCCTTCTGGGCTATTTCTAATTTTGACTTGTGCTAGTGAAAAAAATGTAATTATCTAATTACCTGTGTTGTATATATCATACTCCTACAATAATGCTTTTTTAGTTTATGTATACACAAAACGTAAAGCACTAAACCACTCATTGTACCCATTTATATAATCAATTTTATAGTAAATGTGTAGTAAAATTTATACTTTTGTATACATATATTCTAAAGAGGCAAAGCACTGATTTATTAACCTTACACTATATGCTTTGAAAAAAATAGGTTTACATTTGTAGTGAGTTAGTTTAAAAATGTTAATTTCATTATATTGAATTTAACTAAGCTATTTGATTTTTTTAGCTCGTTTTTTTTTAAGTATATGGGTCTGTTTTTTTTTAAATAATAATCATTAAAAAAGTTTAAAAAAACCCACGTTTTCTGATTGAACTAAAAAGTAGAAAATAAATGCTATACATCACAATAATGCAAGCGATCACTCTACTATAAGCGATCAAAAACGTGGGGCGCCGAAGTAAAAGTTATATTACTATTGATTAGATAATACTATTGACTTTTATTAGGGAGCTTGTAGAGAGTCAACAGTATTAGAAACTTTAAGAAAATCACGGCGCCCCACGTTTTTGATCGCTTATAGTAGAGTGATCGCTTGCATTATTGTGATGTATAGCATTTATTTTCTACTTTTTAGTTCAATCAGAAAACGTGGGTTTTTTAAAACTTTTTTAATGATTATTATTTTCTACTTTTTAGTCTTTGTCTGTTTGTTTGCATTAAAATCTTGCTATCGATTTTATCTTTTCACTTTTTTTGGGTAAACGAAGACAACTCGTAAAAAGACAACTCGTAAAAAACACGTTGTGTGAATACGTTACTGACTAGAACACATAGATTTGAACCCGTGTCGAGTGGGATAGCAATCGTGTGCCCAACCACTCGACCATATCGTCTCCCCCATACTGGCCACCAGTTGTTACGTTATGGTTGTTTGTACACAAACACCGCGTGACAACTACTCAGTAAGCAAAAAGAGGGGGAGTGCCGAACCTTGTTTTCATCAAATTACAGTTACTGGGTAATGTCCCTTTTTCCCCACGTTTTTTGGTACAATTATATAGCGGTCTAAAATGATCAATAAAATGTTTCCATGGATTAATTTAGTAATAAAAACAATAGAATATTCAATTGTCATCCAAAACAAAGCTTCCCTGAAAATTTCAGCGCGCTAGCTAACTGGGAAGTGCCAGAAATTTCGATCGCAAGATTGGATTGGAAAGACAAACAAACACACAGAGAAAGCAAGTTAAAGAAAACGTGGGAAAAAACAAGAATAGTTATATAAGCAATTGACTAGTTCTAGTTTGTTTTTGTTTTTTAAAGAGGTTAAAGCTACAATTTACATAGCTGTACGTTCTGTAATAAACTCAACTGCTGTCCAAGTAGTACCTCAACCACTGCAACTGTAAATATAGTAAAAACTTTACATGTCTAACAGAATGTTGAAATAATTAAAGTAAATTAATATTTGTACCCACAGTTCAGTCATCCGCTTACGAGGATGAAGAAGAAGATGATGAAGAAGAAGAGGACAGTGAAAACATTCTGTTTGAAAAGAGAGTTACCTTAAGTTCATATGAGAATGGAACACTGACGGTAAATATTTATATAAATTGAAATGTATCTAGCTCAGCTTATATATAAGAATGTGATCTGGTTGTTTGTTAAACCCCATTGATGTTGAAATTTTGTTAGCTTAGTTAAAGTACATTATGATCCTGTCTACGTTTTAAGCTTAACTAAGAGAGATTTTTATCACTCCTTATTTAAAAATTGCTTATGTATTCAATTGTGAAAGGCTAAGCCAATGTTAATTAACTCTGATGTTTTTTGTTTACATCTAGAGAATTGGCCTGGGTAATGTCCAAGTAATGTACAATGAAGACCTCAATGGCAACAGTATAGTCTTCAAAACAGATGATGGAGCCACAAGATGCAGCCATGTTATCTGTCTGGAGCACACCATTTCTTTGTGAGTTGAAACTTGAAAGTCTGTTCAAATGTTAAATGTAAAACCCTTGTCAGTCCAAACTTTTTAAAACAGTTTTAGAAGAAAAAAAGAAATGTATTTGTGCCAGTTATTTCCATGGGGCTGCCAGTTACTCCATGGGGCGAGTGAAGAAGATTTTGTTTCTCTGACCGCTTCTATGAATATTTCCATATTGCCAACTCAGGTCAGATACCCTGAAGTGGACTAGTTTGTCATACAGACGAGCTCTTGACCTTATGGTTAGATAAATACAGTATAAATTTTAAAGTGATTTTTTAACGTCTTTTTTTTTAAAAAAACACTACCTCATACATTCATAAAACAATTTTACATTGTCATTTGAAGCTTTATTGTATCATACAAAGTTAAGTTGTTGTTGTTGTTGTTTTTTTTAGATTATTGGCAGCTTTTTTCATTCTTAAAAAATAATAAATTTTTTGAGAATGAAAATTTGTCTCACTTAGTTAAATGTAGTATCTTAATAAACAACTCTGTTGTAATGTAACGGTTAAGGTATCTGAGAAACTCTCCCATATCCAATGTTTTAGGACCATTTGAACAGTGAATGGTTTTTTAAAGACATGTTTAAAATGTTTTTAACCCACTATATGTTTGTTACAGTGATCCCAAGCGTAATGTCTGTGAATGGAAGCCCATTGACTATTCAACAGATGAGCCAATCAGAAAACATTTCTCAGCTGCATTTAGTTCTCCACAGGCAGCTGAGGAGTTTGTCAAACTTTTTAATGCGGTAAGAATAATAAACATCTTTTTATAGAGTTGCTTTATCAACATTTGAAAGGACATTTTTTTATCACAAAATTTTAATATTTTAATTGTGAAATTGCCTAATTGGTTAGTTATATAAATTGCTTTTTTGAAAAATAATAGCTATGATGAAAAATATTGTAAAGAATAGCTTTTGGATATAGTTTATATTTCGGTGTTCAAAATGAATTGTTTTGGCCTCTATTATTGAAAGTAAACCATTAAAAACATTTTCAGGGCCGAAAGCTAGCAGTAGATTCTGAAATCTCAGAAAAAGTGCCGACAGATATTGATGATCCAGAAATTTATTCCGCTGGAGGAAACTAAAAAGTAAATAAAACTCAGTTCTTTTTAGAGGGTATTCATTGTTAATTACAGTTGATCTTTTTGTGTTGTTTTGATGGATGCTTTAATTTTCTATTTTAACTTTTGATCTGTTTTAATAACAGTAAAAATAATTTAAATTATATATATATATATATATATATATATATATATATATATATATATATATATATATATATATATATATATATATATCTTTGTTTGCTTTCAGATGAAGGGGAAATCCTTTAAAGATTAATTCACGAATAGGACAAAACTGTACAGTGTTGTTTTTTTTACAATATTATCCAAATTTAAAAGTTGATCTCAATTGATGAAGGAACACTAAATATTTGCAATTTATTTTACTCATTTTTATGGATGTAAAACAGCTGTTTTACAAGAATAACTTTTCAAAGATAAAATTGTTGAGATGGCTTGAAATTGTGTTAGGTTGATTTCTATTTTACTTTGAGGCTGTATATGAACCAACTATGCTATGCATTAATTTTTGTCTGTTTAAATCCATCCTGTGTTCACTACAGCTTGAGTTCTGGAAATGTACATGTTTTTTTCTGTATTATTTGGTATAGAAATAAAATCACAGGTCTATTATTCCATTTGTTATGTAGCTATTTTTATATCTCTGTTACTTACTACAATGTTGCTAAAACGAATTTTATTTTTATGCTCTTTCAATAAACTAAATATTTGAGTCTTGCTAGATGGAAATTCCCTTGCTGTCTACAAAAGTAAAGATTTTTAATTACATGTGGTTTTAAGCAATGTAATAAACACTTGAAACAAGAGTTATGTCTAGGAAGTATAGCTTATTCACAGGAAAGTAAATTAACTGCTAAAAAAATAATTTAAAAAAATGTATCAACGTGTGTCTATTTCTGCTTATACGCATGTCTCAAATAAATATATTGAATGAGATTTGGAAATCGGGTATTTTTTTATTTAATAAAACAGCATGCAGTAGTCGAGTAAAAAAATGAAATTCTTTTTGTAATTTAAATGCAACATTTTATCTCATCACCTCATGTTTGAATTTATTTTTAAAAAACAATTCTAAAAAACTATTTGTGGAGGATTTTAAAAACCATGTTGGATTTTTAAAACAGATTATAGATTCTAGATCTAGTTTTGAAAATTCCAGTAAAGTAAAATAAAAGTAACGAAAATTTTGACCATCTTGTCATGGTTTAAGTATAAACATTTTGTTCCTTATTCTCTAATTATATAACATCAAGATTTTACTTCCATGCTTTAATATATAACATCAGTTATCATTTATATATACCCTGGTTTAGTGGATGTAACAATACTATTTATAACCACTCATTTATAACCTCAGCAGTTTAAAAATGTATTTCATTGATTAGCTCTACACATTCCAATAGCTTTGAGAAAATTACGAAGAAATGTCGCACTACATTGTTGACCTTTTACATTTTGTCACACATCCCCCCACATCAACTAGCCACTGCAAGCGGCAACGTATCATAACCTAAATCTAAAGCATTTTGTGGATTTACAATTCTGAAAAAAACAAGATTGTTTTTTATGCACTCACGGCGTATGAGAGGATCACGTTGTCAGGTATCTGTACTGGTCGCCTTTACTTTCTTTAAAGCTTAGTCGCAACTCATCACAACTGGGTGGACTGAGGATTCCTAAGGAATCAAATGGGGGATCCGAATTCGAAACGTGTAGATTAACAATAATGCGCTCTACCTCGAAACTATGCCAAATCAGCCAAACATTTATAAAACAAATCACCTTTTGTTAAATAAACGTTTATCATTAAACACATTTAGCACCCACAGTCCCCATTTTGCAACCACCAACCTTCTCATACAATTAGCCCTTCTATACATCTAATAAAGAATTTTTTATATTCTTTGTTCAGTATCGACGTTTACACATAGCAATTATACACACTATTAGCAAAAACAACTTGGTTGTCCTTCCTTAACAATCGTTCAGCTAATCAATAGATTTCGTACACCGCTAACTTCAAAATTCAACACATTTGACCCCCCTCATCACACATCTAACGCTAACATCGCTATAGATCTTATTTCCTCGTCTTGTATATAGTAGTTCACGGAATCGCGCAGTCTTCCCCCCCTCTCCCACATACACACACCACACACACACAATCTAGCGTTACATAACACTTCTATAGATCTCTTATCCTCAGATTGTATGACAGTTCTCGTAATCCACACCACACACACACACACACACACATACACAAATACACAATTCTTCTTGTAAATGATCCAAATTCATTATTTTCCATGAATTTCCGAAGCAATAGTTTCAATTTCACAGTAGCAGCGAACATTAGAATTCAGCCCTACACCTCTATGTGATGTTAAGAATAATTGTGTTTTTTTTTCATAATCAGACACCGTTACATGATAAATAGACCTCATCGTAGCCTGCTCAATCAGTTGTCACAAGTGTATTTGACTTAAAATGTCCTCTTCCTAAATAATCCAAGCATTTCCCGGTGCGTTAATTCTACAGTTTGTAGTAATGAAACCGTTTTCTTGAAATTTCGGTTGAGTTAGTTTCGTTTTCATTCTAGTGTGGAACACAAGCACACACAGAAACACACACACCATCACACTATACTTCTTGTAAGTGAACAAAATTCAATATTTTCCATGAATTTTCAATGCATTAGTTTCAATTTCACAGTAGCAGCTAACACTATAATTCAGCCCTACACCTCGATACAATATTCATAGTAACTTTTTTTTCATAATTAGGCAAAATTAAATGATAAATAGACCTCATTGTAGCATACCCAATCTGTTTTCGGGTTTATTTGACGTAAAATTTCCACTTTCTAAACGATCCAAGTATTTCTTCATGAGCTAAATTTACAATGTGTTGCTCTGTCGCCATTTCCTTGAAATGTCGGTGCAGTTAGTTTCGTTTTCAGTGTATTGTGTGACACAAGGGCATACCCTACGTCGTCGCTAACACCAATATGTTTGTTGACACAAGCTGGGTGTAAAGGGCTGTGATCAGAAATTATTGAACTCTATAATTACCAGGTTGGTTTAAACGTTCGTCAGCGGGGCAGGTAAATCATTTTAATATAAATTTACCTTGTTAAGTTTTTTAAACTACTAACATCTTATTGGGTTCGACCGCTACCAGAGTTTCTTCCAGGCATCGCCCCCCCCCCCCCCCCCGAATAATTTTTACCGCCCCCCCCCCCCCCCGAACGAAATGAAATTTATATAATTTATATAGAAAATATATACTTTTAACAGTGTCCGCCCCCCCCCCCCCCGAAAGAAAGTCTACCGCCCCCCCCCCCCCCCTAAAATTTCAAGTGCCCCCTCCCCCCGGAGAAAAAAGTCTGGAAGAAACACTGACCGCTACGAAAACTATGGACTGAAACCGAACGGCGGCAAATTGAGGATACTAGGTCCACTAACTATAGGCAGTGGCGTAACAACCAGGTAATCAAGATGGACTAAGTCCACGGTCCCCCGAGGTCCAAGTTTCCCGGGGCATTTAAATACAACAAAAAGTTGTTACGACGCAAGAACCTTATATTGTTTTACCCGGTTTTTTTGTTTATTTTTGTTTTTTGCAGGTAAAGATAAAGGTAAAGTTGACAATCTTGTTATAACAGAATTTCAGATTTCCATACATGTTTATGGCTGATATCAATGATAACCATATTTTAACCTTAAAGTTTAGCCCAAGCATAATCCTAACATTAATCTAAATCACCACTCTCAATGCTTAGATCTATGATGTGGCTAAATTTTACACATTATAAGTAAAGTTCCCTTTTGGACCTAGCGGCACACGGGGCAGGTGAAGTAGGGTTCCACTGTTACAACCACGAATATACATTATTATTATAAAATGCATGAATTTTGAAGATTCCAGTTAATTCATTACCAACTTAATTTACATTCAGCTCCCTATATTTCTTTCCTAAATATTTTGGAGGATATTATTTAACTTACCATTGAATTTTTTTTAACTTGTCTATATATTTATAGGGCAATAAATGATCAGAAACCAATCCACTACTTTCCTAAATTTAAACAATCATTAAGAGTACAAAGAAGAAAAGTAGGTTAATTATCTGACAAACAGTGATATATATTTATATATATAAATTATACATATATATATATATATATATATATATATATATATATATATATATATATATATATATATATATATATATATATATATATATATATTCGCACAAGCGGCCCTCGGTAGGGTGCGAATCGGCGCGCTAAGGCGACTACGTTCGTTTTAAACAGTGGATAGACTATGGATAAGATGGGGCGTTATAGTAATTCATTATGTTGAAATAGTTGCGTTCGCAGGCGCTCAGGCAGGTTGCAATTTGGCTACCCAGTGAGCGCCACGGCGCCTACGTTCGTTTTAAACAGTGCAATAGACTATGGATAGTTCGAAAGACAATACATAAGATTGAGTTTTAGAGTCGTTCACTAAACATATGGGACGGAGTGGTCTAGCGGTAGAGTTCGAATCCGGGTTCAAGTCAGTAGACCGTCCCTGAGTCCACCCAACTCTGATGGGTACCTAACTCCCGTTAGGGAAAGTAAAGGCGGCTGGGCATAGTGTTGACCACACTATCTCTTCATATGCCGAGGTCACAGAAACAAATGAACTCTACTTCACTAGCCCCATAGACCGTCAGGTTTGAAAGGAAAACTTTACTTTACTTTACTAAACATACTAACGCGCGTCCTATGAGCACTATGGCGCCTACTTTAGTTTTAAGGAGCACATACTATATTGACAAGGCGGCACACGGCATTAAAAAGGTTAATATAATCGATAAATATAATCAACGCGCAGGCATTGTTTGCATGTAAATAACTTAGTTTTAGAAAACTAGGTCACGAGTCTAAGAATATGGGATTGGTAACACATTGATGAAACCCTACTTATATATTTTGTCAGACTTTCTTCTATCCCCGCGGCAACGTGGCGGGGGCCGGGAACGCTAGTTATCAAATAAGAGCTTTTATTGAAAATAGTTATTTTAACTTACAAACTGAAAAAAAAATTATTTTGTTATTTCTGATGAAAGTTATAAAAATAAATTATTGTTTTAAGCTGCTAATTGGTTCAACTTCCTGTTTATTGCAGAAAATGAAAGATTTTAGTCCAGAACAACATGACCATCCAGAAAATCCTCCTTCTGGTGAGGAAAGTACTAGTGAAAATGTGGATTACAGGGAGGTAATAATGGTTGAAATTACTACCCTTCTAAGTTTTGTATAATAAACACTGTGTACTGAATAAAGCTTAATATATCGTACAATTTAAATGTGATGTATGCAATAAAACGTAATATAAGGCTTTTTAAGATGAAATAACACTTAGTTCATTATAATAGTTATTTCAGTAGATATTGCATTGTCATTTACTTATTAATGATTAAAGACCTTTTTTATCAACGTATCTATTTCTGTTTAAATAATGTAAACTTACTACATACAAAATATGTATCAATATTAATTGTTATGAATAGTATTTTTTCTGTGTATATTAAAGCTATTTGACCTATGACTTAGTTGCAATCTTACGTTATTTGAATCAGCCAATTCGGACAATGCAGTTCTAACCAAATTTACTTAATGCTCAGATAAACTATCCCATTTAAAAAATTGTATGTTGTATTTTGTTACTAAAACTTTCACATAATTTTGAATTAATTAGTTTCGGATAAAACCTGCATCCCTGCAGATTTTTGCAGAAACAACTCAATTTAGTCACTATGATAAGGAATGCAATAAGTGGACAGAACCCATCATAGGAGTTCTTAGAATCCTGGAAGATCTTGGTCCATATTGGGTCAATGTCAGACAGTATAAGGTAGTTAGCTAATTATTAAAATTTAATAGATATACAACGTCCTTACCCTTGTATAATTATTAATTATTTTCAAACGTAAGAAAATTTATAAATTTCTATATAAAATCCTTTGAATTAATGTATAAATGTGCTTAGAATCTTTGTGAAAAATATAAATTTTTTTCTTATTTTTACATTTTGTTTTAAAAATGTACATTATAATTGCGTTTTCCATTTCATTTACTTCCCTTGATTGAGGTTTTAATATTTTAGGACAACACTGTTTGTGCTGACCATCTAATTAAGTCTGGGATGAAACTACTACCAAAAGATTCCAAACAGCGATCATTCACTTACTGGACAAAGATCAAGGAGACTGATCTAAAAGAGGAATGTTTGCAAGTCAAGTTTGAAAACAAAGAAAAAGCTTAACAGTTCGCTGAAATATTCAATGTGTGTTGTAGGAAACTGAATGAAAATACAATTGAAACATCAAAAGAGAAATTTGTTAAAAGCCATGAAGTGAATTCTAAACAAAAATTATTGACGAAAGCTAAGCCAGATTTTGAAAGAAATTTAGCTACTTTCAAAATGGAATTTAGAGAGGATTTAAATGCTAAAAAGTCCTTTTACAAATGTAAAGACTCAGATGAAGATGATGAGACTGAAATAATTGCTGAAGAAAAAACTATAAATTCGCAACAAAATTTTCAAACATATTTACCAAAGGTAATAAGAAATCAAATCAACACTAACAGTAATGGTTCACAGACACATAAAACCTATAAAGAGATAGACAATATCAATCTGACATCAGCAGTTTTAAGCACTAGTGAAATGGCAGTTACCTGTAAAGTTTTTAAGACAGGTGATGAATTAGGGAAATTAAATGTTGGAGACCGAGTTATTTTTTATGCCACAGCTTCATCTGTGACACTAGTTGATACTGTGGACAGTTCAGATGATGAACAAGAACCTAATCAAGGTATTATTCTTTTTAATTTTAGTACTCATAATTGTTTTAATTTAATTTATTAAAATTGTTGCGACTGTAAAACCAAATCCATGTTAAATAACAAGGATACCAGTGCCCTAGTGCATTATAAATTATTCATATGACACTGTTGTTTCCATATTGTTTATAAATTTGCCTACTTTTTAAAATATTTAGATTCTTTCATAATATATTTATTTCTGTGGAACTTAATTGACAAATTATAGCAAAAAAATGTGTTAATGTAATATAAAATCTACATATTTGAAAGCATTTTGTACCTTTCCAAGTCGGCTTCCCAATCAGTACGTTTGTGCTGATTTATAAGATATTTGGTTAAAACTATATAAAATATAGGTATATACAGTAGAATTTCGGAACATTTAAAAAATTTATTCTGCTAATTATAAAAGGAACACAAAACATAATTTTAGATGAACCAGAATCAAAACCAGCCAGCACTGCTACGAGTTCATCATTGATTGAAATGTTTAAGCCCAAATCTGGGAGCTGGGAATGTGATGGTTGTCTGGTGAGAAACAACTCTGATGTGGTCAAGTGTCCAGCTTGTGGAACTGTGAAGTCTGGCACCAAACCTGAGGATGTGCCTAAACCTGCAGCTGGTGGAATCTCTTTTGGTGCTTCTCTCTCTGCTGACCCTGCAGGTTCGTAGGTTGCACACATCCATTTTACACACACACACACAAACACACACACACATATATATATATATATATATATATATATATATATATATATATATATATATATATATATATATATATATATATATATATATATATATATATATATATATATATATATATATATATATATATATATATATATATATGAAGACTTATATGACACTTGTTATGGCTATTGCAGAAATTATTATTATTTATTTATTTATTATTGTTTTAATACCAAATAATGCGATTACAGTTGGTATTATAGGTTATTTTCTTGTTTGTTTGTTTTTAAGTTAAATCCATTTTTCCAATAGCCCAAGATGGAACATCATCAATAAGATCTTTTGGTGAAAAGGTTTGGAGCTGGAAATGTGGTCGTTGTGTGCTTAAAGAGACAGCTGGTGCCGTGGAGTGTATTGAGTGCGGAGTATCAATTTCTACAAAGGATGGATTTCTTTTTACGGTACCCACTACCGTAGTGCATGCAGTCCCTGTTGGAGTTACGTTTGGTGATTCCAATACAAATATTGTACTGCCTTCGACAGGAGATTTGTTACATACAACAAATGATACGGCAGAGAAGGTCATTGCTGAATTCACCTCAATGTTCCGATAACAGAACCAGCAACAATAGCCAAAGCAAGTGATGAATTAATGTATATTGCTCCTGAATCTACAACAGCTCCAGCAGCCACAGTTACTAATGTGTTTAACTTAAGGGCTACTAAAAATACACCAGCTGAATCTGCCGCAGATACAAATGTATTTAAGTTTGGTAGTCAAGTAGCCAAACAATCTACAACTGCCTCAGTTAATGATGGATTTAGGTTTGGTATTCCTGTAACAGCACCATCTACAACAGCCACTGTTAATGATGGATTTAAGTTTGGTATTCCAGTAACAGCAACATCTACAACAGCCACTGTTAATGATGGATTTAAGTTTGGTATTCCAGTAACAGCAACATCTACAACAGCCAAAGTTAATGATGTATTTAAGTTTGGTAGTCAAGAAACCAAACAATCTACAACAGCCACAGATAATGATGGATTTAAGTTTGGTATTCCTGCAACAGCACCGCCAGTTAATGATGGATTCAAGTCTAACTGTACTGTAACAGCACCAGCTTTAACAGAAAAAGTTACTGATGAATTGACAAAAGCATCTTTCACAACAGCCTCAAAAAGCCATGAAGCTCAAAAACCAACTGAAAGGCTAACTGCTTCTACACAATTAAGCGATGGAACAATCACGACACCATCAAACTCAAATGTCTCAGTATCCTGTACGTTACAATCTAAACATGAATCTACTTTACCATCATCAAATAGTGGACTATCGCTAAATGTATTGTCACACACTAAAGCGCAAACATATACTGTACCTTCACTAAAAGTGCTCTCAACACCCACTGGACCTTTGACACCTTATAGACCATCTACAAACTGTAGACACTCATTATCCACTGGACTATCAACATTTATTGAAATAACAACAGACACTAGACAATCAAATTCTTCAGGACCATTAACAAACACAGGTCGATCAAAAAACACTAAACCATCAACAAACAAACGACCATCAACAAACAAAGAACAATCAACACCCACTGAACCATCAAACAACATTGAACAGTCAACAAACAACGGAGCATCAACTAACCCTGGACAATCAACAAACATTGAACCATCAACAAACACTGGACAATCAACAAACATTGAACCATCAACAAACACTGGACAATCAACAAACATTGAACCATCAACAAACACTGGACAATCAACAAACATTGAACCATCAACAAACACTGGACAATCAACAAACATTGAACCATCAACAAACACTGGACAATCAACAAACATTGAACCATCAACAAACACTGGACAATCAACAAACATTGAACCATCAACAAACACTGGACAATCAACAAACATTGAACCATCAACAAACACTGGACAATCAACAAACATTGAACCATCAACAAACACTGGACAATCAACAAACATTGAACCATCAACAAACACTGGACAATCAACAAACATTGAACCATCAACAAACACTGGACAATCAACAAACATTGAACCATCAACAAACACTGGACAATCAACAAACATTGAACCATCAACAAACACTGGACAATCAAAATTCACTGAACCATCAACAAACCCTACACAATCAACAAACATTGAACCATCATCAAACACTCGACAATCAACATCCACTGATCCATCAACGAATGCGGGAGAATCAACAAACACCGGAAAATCAAAATCCACTGGACGATCAACAAGAACTGGACCATCAATACTCTCACAAAAGAGTAAGTAATATTTTAGTTTAATTATGCTTTTGCTTGTATTGTTTAAATTGGAGATTTTTTATTTCTAAATAAACTGAAATAATTCTTACAGTCATTGGATCAAATTTTTAAAAAACATAAGTACAGAACCCACTTTTTTTTCTAGCTCTCATTTTTCTATTCATATCCCTCTCTCATTTCTAGGTTTTATGTTAATCACTATTTGTTTTTAACATATAATGCTTTAATTGTAATAGATCTTTGATTTATAAACATTCTTAAAATTCACAAACTGTAAGGATTCTGCTATAACATCAATCATCTCTAAAATAAGAACAGCAATCTTAAAATCTCACATTTATTACCAGTAAGTTTTATGAATTACTCTGACTTTTCAACTGATTTCATCTACAACAGCCTTAGTTACTGAAGGATTCAAGTTTGGTGCTCCATCCACACCCTTACACCCAAACTTAAAAAATAGAAGTACAGAAATCACTTTTTTCTAACCCTTATTTTTTTTCTATTCATATCACACTCTCATTTCTAGTTTTTATTTTGATCATTATTTGTCTTTAACATATGTATCATAGTTCTTAAATTATAATTTATCTATGATTAATATAGACTCTTAGTTATTACAAATTAAACAGATTATACTGTATACTAACATCTACAATCTTTAAAATAAGAACAGTAATTTTAATATTGATTTTAAAATGTTGTATCATCTGCAATCTTTAAATCTCACTTATATTACTAGTAAGTTTTAGACAGCAAGAAAGAAAAACAATATCTGAATATTGAACTGCTAACAGAAATTAAAATAATGTTATATTATTATTTGCAGGAATTAACAGCCTTTTCTCTCATTATGCTGTCATTACAAAAAAACAACCAGATACGAGAATCAAAGGGGTATTATCAGTAAGCCTTTAGTAAATATATATATATATATATATATATATATATATATATATATATATATATATATATATATATATATATATATATATATATATATATATATATATATATATATATATATATTCTAAAAAAAAATTTAAGAATGTAAAGTAGTTTTTTATGACATCCAAAATTCTAAATTGTAGTCATTAAGCAATACAAATGTACAGTCACCAACATCTGTAGAGACATGACAAAACTTTCACTTTGGGGGTCAATAAGGGAGTGAGTTTTAACCTTCCATAATTCCCTACTCTCTACTCCGCTGTTGTTTGCATTTGTCCAGATACAAGTGGACAAGAGCAAGAACCATGCTAGTATGATGGTCACCGAGAGAGGAAAGATATTACACACGGTGGACATAACAAAGTTAAATACTGAGCCGTCATCAGAAGAGAACAATGTTGTTTTGATGGTACCTAAAAATAGATCACAGGAACTAGAGGAAGTTACCATCACACTGGAAAGCTCATCACTTGCGTTACAATTAAAAGATGTAAGCTGTTGTTTTTAAATCTATACGTTTGTTTTGACATTTTAACTGGAAATAAAAAAAAACTGTAATGTTTATAATATTTGATACTTCATTACAGAACTTATACATAATATTATTTTGTTCAAACTCAGTAGGTTCACATTTTATGTGCCTTTATCATTCAACAGTTATATTTTCTGAAAACATAAATGCTTTTAAAAGCATTATAGCAACTATTTATTTTGCTGTTGTTCTTTAGCTGCTCTCTTTAAGTTCCTAATATCATATTTTTACATAACCTCACCAGGCCATTATAAAAGCAACATCCCTTATTTAAGGCAAGTTAACGCATCCAGGAGGTAAAATAAAAATTACATTGTTTAAAGAATTACGTATGCTTTCATGCAGTATTTTTTTTAATGTTGTTTTTTTTAAATATTTGTTATCTGTTTGTTAGGGGTCGTACATAAATGACGTCACACTCGTAGGGGGTAGAGTAGTCCTTAATTTTGTGACGGTGTGTGATGACAGAGTTCAGACAAGATTTTAGAAAAATATCTATGTTTCAAAAAACATCAACTGCAATTTTGAGGGGGGTTGTAGGCTGGGGTGTGACGTCATTTTAGGGGGTCTGGATTTTTGTGACGACGTGTGACGGAGGGGGGGGGGGGGGGGTAAAAATCGTCAAAAAAGCGTGACGTCATTTATGGATGATGCCTTATGCAATTTCAATAAGTCTACAATATTTATCCAGCTTTAGTAAGAATATGTGAATCAAAATATACTGACAAAGTTTGTGGTTACAAGGTATATTTAAATACTCTTTTGGATATTATAATCGATATTGCAGATAAAGTTTAACTTTTTCTTTGATCTCGGCTTATAAAGAGATAGTGTGATCAAGCAATATCCCCAGCTGACAAGGAACATGACTACACTTATTTAATCACACTAAACCTTACAATGTATTGTACTATGTGGTTAAACATGATAAGTTAACAAATTTATTTTTAATATCTTTACATGATTAGAATTTGGAGTAAATCACAAAAAGTACTAAGTGGTGATAGTTTTCCAACAATGTTATGTTGTTGTGGAAGCTAAATTGAATAATTATCTCTTTTGTTTTTCATAGTTATTTATTAGCTTTATATTTTGTGATATTAGATTTTGCAAGATTATTTTTTTTTAATGTGTGCATTTCTTTTGAATTTCTTTATCTAAAATACTTTATAAGAGTTGTAGTTTTTTTTTGCATTTGTCTTGTGTGTGTTGTTACAATTAAAATAACTGTTTGTTACTTCTTAATGCAAAAAAAAAGGTTTTTGAAAAAAAGATTATTTTCATATTAAACTATCTTCGATTGAATTCTCTTTTAATGTTTTGTCCCATTCTTAAAAATTACGGATAAAACATATATGACTTCCATTGTTCAAGCTATATTGCCTTATACAATAAAATTATTTACACATTTTTTAATCTAATTTTGGAAACAATAAATATCTATAATGGTATTCAAAAGTTGTTTTTATTTTTTTATGTTTTTTTTTTCCTTTTTTTAAAGCTACTATCAGCAAAATTTTACTTTACACTGTAAAAATAAATATCTTGAAACACTGACAAAGTGTGTATGTATCAGCATGCAGGACATGTCGAAAATAAACCGGGAGTGATCTCTAAACTTTCTCGAATATTCTAATATAACACTACGGGGGATGGCGACTCGGGATGTAAACATAATTTCTAATCCATTTTAATTACTTAAACTTTTTAAAATAGAATAAAATCTCGTGGAAAAAGAATTTCGCACCAAATGAACGCCAAACAATAGGTGTATAATAGTTCCGAATATTATTAGCACTTTATAAATTCACATGCGTTTTTTGAGAAATCGGAAATAATGTAAATTACTAGTTCCGGAAAAAGGAAATTACTCAAAATTTGACAGAAGGCAGAGAATAAGATTTTTACCTGTGAAATTTCATTAATCTATCTGAAACAGTACTCAAGTTATAGGCTTTTGAAAAACTAAAAGTAGAATAAGTTCCACTTTCAGTTACCGAAAATCGCTGAAAATTTGATACAGAATTACAAATTTGATATAATACTTGTGCATGGAATTTCATCAACCTAGCTGTAACGGTACTCAAGGTATCGTGTTCACAGACACACGTATACACACACACACACAAACATATACACATACACACACAGACATACGGACAAAATTGCAAAACTATGTTTTTCCGACTCAGAGTTGTGTCTTCGACTTCTTCTTCTTCTTCGTTCTTAATTTTAGTGTTGGAAGGGATCCCATCCAACACAATTAAGTACACGTTTCAACTGGTTATGCGCCATTGAGGCCATTGACTCCGATTTCAGCCTGCTTTTCTTTTTGGATTTGCTTCCATAACCTTTGTCCAACCAAGAACAAACTACAAGGCAGCAGTTGTTTAATTTTGGAGTTGTCTCTCCTAGAAGAGTGGCTGTCCCCAGCTAACGAGCCTCTTCTGACCTAGGGTTTGAACTCGAAACTTTTTGGTTTAGCAACCATGAGCTTTACCGACTCAACCACGCCGACTCCAGAAAGGTGTAAAACGTCGAGATTTGTAAAAAGTACCCCTTTTTTAGCACGATTACAATACTTCCTCTATACTTTGTATACGAAAAAGTAAAAAACAGCAATTCAGACTAACATAAAAAATACACCCAAAAAAAAACCCCTATTTTAAACCATTTGTTTAAATTAAACAAGTGAGTAAAAAATCGAATACTTGATTATAATAGACTATATATAAAACCTCTAATCTTCTTTTTCCTTCTTAATTTTAGTGTTGGAAGAGGTTCCCTTCAACACAATTGAGTTGTCAACTTGTTATTAACCGTTTCAGCCTGCTTTTCTCTTTGGATTTTCTTACATAGCCTTTGTCCAACCAAGAACAAACCACAAGGCAGCAGTTGTTTGATTTTTTAGTTGTCTCTCATAGCAGAGTTGCTGTCCTAAGCTATCGAACCCGATACTTGTCGCTTTAGCAACCATGAGCTTTATCGACTCGACCACGCCGACCCCCTAAAACGTTTATAAAAACCAGCTTCATAAAAATATAACATACATTTTCTTTAGCTTTAGTTGTTAGACAATTGGTTGCTCTATAAATAATTTGATCTCATGTTAGTAAAGAAAATGCATCATTAGAAATGATGTGAAAATGGTGCACCATACTGATGACCTTTAGCAATTTGACACATTACCCCACATCAACTAGAAACTGTAAGTGGCAACTTGTCATAATCTAACACCAAGCTCTTTGTTAATTTACAATTCCAAATAAAGTTGTGTTTTTATGTAATCACGGCATATGTTGGGATTGCGTTTTCAGTTATTTGTACTGGCCGCCTTTAGTTTCTTTAAAGCTAGTAGCGATCTCGTTCCAACTGAATAGACTGAGTAAGGTCCTAAGGAATCAAATGGGGGATCCGAACTCGAGACGTTTTGATAAAAACCGTTGCCATACCGTTGTCACTCCGCAGATCAGCCAAACATTTATAAAAGAAATCACCGATTTATTAAATAAACGTTTTTCAATAAACGCAAATAGCACCCACAAAACACAATTTCGTAACCACCAACCTTCTCATTAAGAAGCCCTTCAATAATCCAATATAACATAAAAATTCTTAGTTCCAAATCGGCATTTAGCCATATAATGTATACACATATTAGCAAAACAACTTGGCTGATCTTCCTAAACTTCTTCGAGCTAATCAATACATTTCGTGGACTGACAACTGTAAAATTCAACACATTTGACCCACATCATAACACGTCTGACGCTGTTTAACATTTCTATAGATATCATTTCCTCGTCTTGTATAACAATTCACGGAATCGCGCTGACAACCCCCCCCCCCCCCCCCCACCCTCCGCACACACACACACACAGCTTGTAAACACACTTAACTTTATGTAATTATGTTATTAAAATCTCGTATCATTTTTACTCTACTAGCGTGCCCTTCCCCGCGCGTTGCCGCGTGTCTAGAAGAAATTCGTACGAAATATTTAAAGTGAGTTTCATCAATACTTTTCCAATCCTATATTCTTAGACGCGTGACCTTGTTTTCTAAAACTTAGTTATTTAAATGTAAACAATGCCTGCGCATCATTTTTACATTGTTTGGGTGTTTGTCGGGCACTGGTTTGCCTACACTACCGCCCAGCACGCCTCCGGGCTTGATTATGAAAACCCTCAGTGTATATTAATCATTCTTAGTAATAGTGAGTTAAAACATACATCGCGTACGGCCCCTGGCTCAGTTTAATCAACGAATGTCGTGTCGCCGCGTCAGTATTATAGAGTGCTCCTTAAAACTAATGTAGGCGCCATAGTGTTCACGCGATAGCCCAGGGCGTTAAATTGAACAGTACTCGGACGCCGGTGGACGCGCCTGAATCAATTTAGTAATACCATATTTTATCCATTTATCGCACCCTTTAAAACGAATGTATGAGCCATAACTTTCACGGGAAAACCCGGGGAGCCAAAATAACACTATGTGGGGCGCCGAAGGACGCGCCTATTTCGATATAGTCAAAGATTATTGTTGCCCATCATGTTATTAGTATACATTTTTTTAAAAGGAACTTAGGTGCCTTAGTGCTCACAGGGAAGCACAGGACGCTGAGAGACAGGCAATCACCTGGGCGCTTGCGGCTGCGTCTGTTGCGGTTTTACCGCTGAAAATAGTAGTACCCCTTACTTCTATGCAGGACGCCCGATTAACTAAGCTAAGTGCTAACATAGCGGCTCTGGCACTCTGGGCGCCAAAGAGTTAATTGACGAAAAACGCCGCCTCCCTGGCGCCACCCATACGAATTTTTTTTTTCTCCGCAGAAATCTTCTTGGGAGTATCCTATCTGTTTTCTGAAGTTTCATGGCAATTGGATGAACGGGGTCGAATCGCATACGACTTTTTTAAATATATGTATATAAAGAAGAATCGAATCGCCCCCTACCGGGGCTCCACCCTTGCGAATTTGAAATAATTTTTCGCAGATACCTCCCCAAGATTATTCTCAATAACTTTCAAACCCTTCACGATAGGATGAAAGAGTAATAATGCACAAAAGACAGAAACACACACACACACACACACACACCTTTTGCTTTATATATGGAGAGATAAACGTTCTCGTAATTCCCACCCAGTGGCTTGCAGAGCTATGTTGATTCCCGGGGCAAAAACAAGGGAAGATGCCCCCATACATTATATATATGTATATATATATATATATATATATATATATATATATATATATATATATATATATATATATATATATATATATATATATATATATATATATATATATATATCATACGGTGTTAAAAGTGTTAGCCGTACAATCGAAGATAAATTACTACATACATTATGTTATCAAACAGAAAACAAATAGAAAAGTATTAAAAAATGTACTTAGCTAAACTCTTGAAAACACTGCTTACAAATAAATCCAAGCGACTCAACAAATGTTATAATAGGTAGAATTTCGGGGAGGGGAGTTTGGGGACATGCCGAAAGTTTTGTGTGGGGGGGGCTATTTTTCATGCCCTACAAAAGAGTTTTTACATTGCCCTAGCGGACCGAGCTGCGGTCGCAGAGGTAGGGTATACTTTGTTGAGCTAAACTGGGAAAAAAAACTAAGGGTCAAAGTTCACCATTGTTGATTGTTACAACTGAGGCCACGGTTGATGTGAGTTATCACCCACCTGAACTGCAACAGGAAGACATTAGTGTCACACCTCAGTGTGTGCCGGATGGATCGCCGGGTAATTGTTTGACCTGAAATGGCTGGCGATGGGTGAACTTGAGTGAGCCATCCCACCCCATCCCACCCACATTAAGCCTGGTATGTAAATTTGGGAAACCACGCAATTTGATACTCTACTGTATTCGGAACAATGTAGAAGTTTTTTTTTTTAATACCTGTACAAGTTACGGACCTTAGAAATGCTAGTCTTGTCTCGTACGTCGAAGTAGTCGGATACGTAGGAATAAAGCGTCTCGTCTTGGTAAAAGAAAAGAAAACTCGATACATTGAGAAAATATCGATACTAGTCATAGAGAACAGCGATTTCTGCTTGTGCGCTTTGTCGATGTTTCACGTTGTGACTTTTAACCTGTGGAATGTTTCATTGAACTTTTGTATCGCTAAAGACACAACAGGCAAAGATGTTTAGCTGACTGCCAGCAGCACTCGAGAAATATGGCTTAGAGATCAATGAATGTCGAGGTCAGATACATGATAATGAAGGTAATATGAAAGGAAAACGACATGATTATATCGTCGTCATAAAATTAATTCGCTTTGAGGAGAAGAAAAAAACACTACTTTTCCAAATTGGAGATAAAGGTTTCGAACACTTAGAATACTTAATTCGTACACTATTCCCCTGAATTGATACAGCCTTACTGTACATGTTGAAGACACCAATGGTAAACCTTGGTCCCCGCGCTATGGTCGGCCCTAGGCCCCTAGGCTCCACGCATAACGGCTACCAGGGCCTTTATAATTAATTAAATCAACGTGGACTCACTTACTCTACAGATAGCTTTACTATTTATAAAAACAGTTCTATGTTAAGCGCCCATTTACTTAACAGATAGCTCTACTTTGCATTTAAAAACTTTGAAACTTTAGCGCGACTTTTACCATGCCCTACAATTCATATAAAACAATATGGGCACAATTATTCTAATTGATATCACTACAATGTATAAAAAAACAATACTGTGATGCATATTCTTGGGCGTGTCCTTATAGTGTCTCAAAAACAATATGGGCATTCTTATTCTTTAGTATATTCATATAATACATAAAAACAAATTAAGGATGCCCCTAACAATTTATCAAAAATAATATGGGTTTAAGTACTCTGCAAATGCGCTTAAATTTTACCCAAATTTCCCCAAATTTTTTAAAAATTTAAAATTATGATGGGTATAATTACTGTATGGATTGTCTTCAAATATATTATATGAATATAACCATACTTACTTCAAAGATGCCCCTGCAGTGTATAAAAATAATTATGGAAATAATTACTCTACGGATCTCCTTGACTATGAATAACGAATATGGGCATAATTGCTTTACTTTAAAGATGCGCCTACAGTGCATAGAAATTAATGGGCAAAAGTATTCTAAAAGATGCCCCTAGACTATACTAAAAAAATACCAGAAAAACACTTTAATATAAAGACCGCATTTATTAAAGAAACATTAATTACCATTTATATACTAAAGCCCACTTTTTCCATAAAAGTTGTGCTATACATACAGTGATAGACGATTGAGTATTACAATTTGTTTTGGGTGAGATTAGTAAATAAATAAATCAGCCAGCAGTCAGTGTGGAGGCAGATGAAAATTTATGATTACACAGTGACACAACATACCGCAACTTTTTCAATTAACCAAAAATATCAACAAAAAAATAATAATCACCCCCATTGGATGCCCCTCTGAAGTGGATGCCCGGGGCCTTGGCCCCGTCCGCCCCACCCCCTCTGCACGCCACTGTTTCACCACACACACACACACACACACATATATATATATATATATATATATATATATATATATATATATATATACACTAACACCGTCACGCTATATTTCTTGAAAGTGAGCAATATTCAATATTTTCCATGAATTTCCAATGCGTTACTTTCAATTTCAAACGCGCCGCTAACTCTAGAATTTATCCCTACACCTCGATGCGATATTAAGAGTAACTGTTGTTTTTTTTTCATAATCAGACAAAGTTAAATGATAAAAAGATCTCATTGTCACTTACCCAATCTGTTTTTCTGATTTATTTTACCTAAAAATTTCCTCTTTCTAAACGATCAAAGCTTTTCCCAGTTACAGTTACAGTATGTAGCTATGCCGCCGTTTCCTTGAAATTTCTGTTGAATTAGTTTCGTTTTCAATGTATTGTGTGACACAAGGGCATACCCTACGTCGTCGCTAACACCAGGATGTTCGTGTACACAAGCTGGGTGTAAAGGGTTGTGATCAGAAACTATTGAATTCATTAATTGCCAAGTTGGTTTAAATGTTCGTCACTTGGGCAGGTAAATCAATTTAATTTAAATTAACTTTGTTACTTTTTTAACCTACTAGCATCCTGATAGATTTTGACAGACAGTGCGTTAAGGATTATGATTTGAAAATGAAAATGAAACCAAAAGACAGTTAATGAGCATATTAAGCCTACTAACTAAAGGCAGTGGCGTAACAACCAGGTGAGACCAAGGTGGACTAAAGCCACGGGCCTCCGAGGTCAACCTCTCCCCACCCCCTCCCCCCGGGTTTAAATTTGGATACTAGATATATTTTTTTTTTAATTTTTTCTGCTTTATTTTTAACAGAAATAAAACCAATATACATTAATATACATCATCATCATTATATACATGAGTCTTGGAGCTTCCTGTAAATTCATTACCAACCTAATTTTAACCACATTTTTTACTAAATATTTAAGGAGGATTTAATTCAATTTAGTATTGAATATTTTTTTAACTGATCTATATATTTAAAGGGGAATTAATTATCAGAAACCAATCCACTACTTTTCTAAATTCAAACAATCATTTAAAAATATAAAGAAGAAAATTAAGGTAAATTATCTGTAAAACAGTAATTTTCAAATAAGAACTGACATTGAAATTTTTTTTAATGTAACAATGTTATTTTGTTATTTCTGATAAAAGTTATTAATAAATAAATTCTTATGTTAAGCTGCTAATTGGTTCAGCTTCCGTTTGGTGCAGAAAATGAAAGATCTTAATCGAGAACAAAACGACCGTCCAGACGTGACTCCCGCTTCTTGTGAGGAAAATTCTAGTAAAGATCTGGATTTCCGGGAGGTAAGTTTGTAATGTTTGAAATTACTTCCCTTTTTAATATTTTTATTAAATATTTAAAACACCGTGAAATGAATAAAGCTGAATATATCTTACATATTTATTTTGATATTTGTAATAAAATTAACTATCCCATTTAATTTTTTTTCATTGTTTTGTAACTAATGTATTCACATACTTTTGAATTAATGAGTTTGGAAAAAAACCTGAATCTTTGCAGATTTTTGCACAAAAATCCCAATTTAGTCACTATGATAAGGAATGCAATAAGTGGACAGAACCCATCATAGGAGTTCTCAGAATCCTGGAAGATGTTGGTCAATATTGGGTCAATATAAAACATTATAAGGTAGTTAACGTATTATTAAAATTTAATAAATATACAAAGTCTTTAACCTTTTATTATTATTAATTATTTTTCAAACGTAACGAAATTTATGAGTTTCTTTTTAATTTCCTTTGAATTAATCTATAAATATCCTTAGTATCTTTTCGAATGTATCATTTGTTTTAGTTATGTCTTTATTTTTACATTTTGTTTTACAATTTTATATTTTAATTGTGTTTTCCATTGATTGAGGTTTTAATATTTTAGAACGACACTATCTGTGCTAATCATCTAATTAAGTCTGGGATGAAACTACTACCAAAAGATTCCAAACAGCGATCATTCACTTACTGGACAAAGATCAAGGAGACTGATCTAAAAGAGGAATGTTTGCAAGTCAAGTTTGAAAACAAAGAAAAAGCTTCACAATTCGCTGAAATATTCAATCAGTGTTGTAGGAAACTGAATGAAAATGTTACAATTGAAACATCAAAAGAGAAATTTGTTGAAAGCCATGAAGTGAATTCTAAACAAAAATTATTGACGAAAACTAAGCCGGATTTTGAAAGCAATGTAGCTACTTTCAAAATGGAATTTAGAGAGGATTTAAATGCTAAAAAGTCTTTTTACAAATGTAAAGACTCAGACGAAGATGATGAAACTGAGATAATTTCTGAAAAAAAAACTATAAACTCGCAACAAGATTTTCAAGCAAATTTACCAAAAGTAAAAAGAAATCAAATCCGCACTAACAGTACTGAGTCACATACAAATAAAACCTATAAAGAAATAGACAATATCAATCTGACATCAGCAGTTTTAAGCACTAGTGAAATGGCAGTTACCTGTAAAGTTTTTAAGACAGGTGATGAATTAGGGAAATTAAATGTTGGAGACCGAGTTATTTTTCATGCCACAGCTTCATCTGTGACACTAATTGATAATGTGGACAGTTCAGAGGATGAACAAGAACCTAATCAGGGTATTATTCTTTTTAATTTTAGTACTCATAATTGTTTTAATTTAATTTATTAAAATTGTTGCGACTGTAAAACCAAATCCTTGTTAAATAACAAGGATAACATTGCCATAGTGCATTATAAATTATTCATATGACACTGTCGTTTCCATATTGTTCATAAATTTGCCTACTTTTTAAAATATTTAGATTCTTTCATAATATATTTATTTCTGTGGAACTTAATTGACAAATTATAGCAAAAAACAATCTGTTAATGTAATTTAAAATCTACATATTTGAAAGCATTTTGTACCTTGCTAAGTAGGCTTCCCAACCAGTCTGTTTGTGTTGATTTTATGTGAATTATAAGATATTTGATTAAAACTATAAAAATATAAGTACTTACAGTAGAATTTCGGAACATTTAAAAAATTTATTTTGCTAATTATAAAAGGAACACAAAACATAATTTTAGATGAACCAGCCAGCTCTGCTACAAGTTCATCGTTGAGTGAAATGTTTAAGCCTAAAGCTGGGAGCTGGGAATGTGATGGTTGTCTGGTGAGAAACAACTCTGATGTGGTCAAGTGTCCAGCTTGTGGAACTTTGAAGGCTGGCACCAAACCTGAGGATGTGCCTAAACCTGCCGCGGGTGGAATCTCTTTTGGTGCTTCTCTCTCTGCTGGACCTGCAGGTTCGTCAATTATTGCACCTTATTTCGTTCGCTTATGAATAGTTATTTTTTTAAATACATATTAATAATACATATTATTTTTTTAAACTTAAAGTTGCCTTTGTTCATATATATTTTGTTTTGTAGCTAATTTTCAAGTTTCATTTTAAGTGCTCTTCAAATTGTTTCATTAGTTACCCAAGATGCAAGACTGGGACATTACAGTGATCATTTTGAAACTAAACAATGGAACTGGAAGTGTGGTGATTGTATGCTGAAAGACAATTTTGGCGTTATGGAGTGCTTTAGTTGTGGAACCTTGATGTCTACAAAAGATGGATTTATTTTTACAACAAATGAAACCAGTATGCCAACAGTCCATATTGGACTTGGATTTGGAGCATCTAGTTCACAACTTTTAGAGCCTACATCAGTTGATATGCCACTTATAGTACCTGCTACTAATGTATTAACCGATGTTGGACTCAAGTTTGATGCTACTGTCACCTCCACTGCACCAACCCATGGAATTGGGTATCCAAATGATTCCAGTAATAATCAGAAAACAGCCAACAGAAAAACTACGAGCGCAAAAGAGTTTTCTTTTGGTGAAATTACTACAGAATGTAATGGTACTGCTGGGACAAAATCAGCAACAAAGAAACAATCAACCGATCTTAAGTCATCCATTGACCCTCCACAGTCATTAACAACCGCTATGCCATCAACATTCACTGTAAAATTAGCATCAACTACAACAACAAACAATGTACAATCAACAACAACTGAGCAACCACTGAAAACTACACAATCAACTACTGGACATCCAACATTTACTTTAACATTAACAACCTCTGGACAACCAACATTTACTTCTACATCAACAACCTCTGGTCAAGCAACATTTACTTTTTCATCAACAACCTCTGGACAACCAACATTTACTTCTACATCAACAACCACTGGACAACCAACATTTACTTCTACATCAACAACCTCTGGACAACCAACATTTACATCTACATCAACAACCACTGGACAACCAACATTTACTTATACATCAACAACCTCTGGACAACCAACATTTACTTCTACATCAACAACCACTGGACAAACAACATTTACTACTGCATCAACAACCTCTGGACAACCAACATTTACTTCTACATCAACAACCACTGGACAACCAACATTTATTTTTACATCAACAACCACTGGACAACCAACATTTACATCTACATCAACGACCTCTGGACAACCAACATTTATTTTTACATCAACAACCACTGGACAACCACCATTTACTTCTACATCAACAACCACTGGACAACCAACATTTACTTCTACATCAACAACCACTGGACAACCAACATTTACTTCTACATCAACAACCACTGAACAACCAACATTTACTTCTACATCAACAACCACTGGACAACCAACATTTACTTCTACATCAACAACCACTGGACAACCAACATTTACTTCTACATCAACAACCTCTGGACAACCAACATTTACATCTACATCAACAACCACTGGACAACCAACATTTACTTCTACATCAACAACCACTGGACAACCAACATTTACTTCTACATCAACAACCACTGGACAACCAACATTTACTTCTACATCAACAACAACTGGACAACCAACATTTACTTCTACATCAACAACCTCTGGACAACCAACATTTACATCTACATCAACAACCACTGGACAACCAACATTTACTTATACATCAACAACCTCTGGACAACCAACATTTACTTCTACATCAACAACCACTGGACAAACAACATTTACTACTGCATCAACAACCTCTGGACAACCAACATTTACTTCTACATCAACAACCACTGGACAACCAACATTTATTTTTACATCAACAACCACTGGACAACCAACATTTACATCTACATCAACGACCTCTGGACAACCAACATTTATTTTTACATCAACAACCACTGGACAACCACCATTTACTTCTACATCAACAACCACTGGACAACCAACATTTACTTCTACATCAACAACCACTGGACAACCAACATTTACTTCTACATCAACAACCACTGGACAACCAACATTTACTTCTACATCAACAACCACTGGACAACCAACATTTACTTCTACATCAACAACCACTGGACAACCAACATTTACTTCTACATCAACAACCTCTGGACAACCAACATTTACATCTACATCAACAACCACTGGACAACCAACATTTACTTCTACATCAACAACCACTGGACAACCAACATTTACTTCTACATCAACAACCACTGGACAACCAACATTTACTTCTACATCAACAACAACTGGACAACCAACATTTACTTCTACATCAACAACCACTGGACAACCAACATTTATTTTTACATCAACAACCACTGGACAACCAACATTTACTTCTACATCAACAACCTCTGGACAACCAACATTTACTTCTACATCAACAACCACTGGACAACCAACATTTACTTCTACATCAACAACCTCTGGACAACCAACATTTACTTCTAAATCAACAACCTCTGGACAACCAACATTTACTTCTACATCAACAACCTCTGGACAACCAACATTTACTTCTACATCAACAACCTCTGGACAATCAACATTTACTTCTACATCAACAACCTCTGGACAACCAACATTTACTTCTACATCAACAACCTCTGGACAATCAACATTTACTTCTACATCAACAACCTCTGGACAACCAACATTTACTTCTACATCAACAACCACTGGACAACCAACATTTACTTCTACATCAACATCCTTTGTACAACCAACATTTACGTTTACATCAACAACCACTGGACAACCAACATTTACTTCTACATCAACAACCACTGGACAACCAACATTTACTTCTACATCAACTACCTCTGGACAACCAACATTTACTTCTACATCAACAACCTCTGGACAACCAACATTTACTTCTACATCAACAACCACTGGACAACCAACATTTACTTCTACATCAACAACCACTGGACAACCAACATTTACTTCTACATCAACAACCACTGGACAACCAACATTTACTTCTACATCAACAACCTCTGGACAACCAACATTTACTTCTACATCAACAACCTCTGGACAACCAACATTTACTTCTACATCAACAACCTCTGGACAACCAACATTTACTTCTACATCAACAACCTCTGGACAACCAACATTTACTTCTACATCAACAACCTCTGGACAACCAACATTTATTTTTACATCAACAACCTCTGGACAACCAACATTTACTTCTACATCAACAACCACTAGACAACCAACATTTACTTCTACATTAACAACCACTGGACAACCAACATTTACTTCTACATCAACTACCTCTGGACAACCAACATTTACTTCTACATCAACAACCTCTGGACAACCAACATTTACTTCTACATCAACAACCACTGGACAACCAACATTTACTTCTACATCAACAACAACTGGACAACCAACATTTACTTCTACATCAACAACCACTGGACAACCAACATTTACTTCTACATCAACAACCTCTGGACAACCAACATTTACTTCTAAATCAACAACCTCTGGACAACCAACATTTACTTCTACATCAACAACCTCTGGACAACCAACATTTACTTCTACATCAACAACCTCTGGACAACCAACATTTACTTCTACATCAACAACCTCTGGACAACCAACATTTATTTTTACATCAACAACCTCTGGACAACCAACATTTACTTCTACATCAACAACCACTGGACAACCAACATTTACATCTACATCAACAACCTCTGGACAACCAACATTTACTTCTACATCAACAACCTCTGGACGACCAACATTTACTTCTACATCAACAACCTCTGGACAATCAACATTTACTTCTACATCAACAACCTCTGGACAACCAACATTTACTTCTACATCAACAACCACTGGACAACCAACATTTACTTCTACATCAACAACCACTGGACAACCAACATTTACTTCTACATCAACAACCTCTGGACAACCAACATTTACTTCTAAATCAACAACCTCTGGACAACCAACATTTACTTCTACATCAACAACCTCTGGACAACCAACATTTACTTCTACTTCAACATCCTTTGGACAACCAACATTTACGTTTACATCAACAACCACTGGACAATCATCATTTACTTCTACATCAACAACCTCTGGACAACCAACATTTACTTCTACATCAACAACCTCTGGACAACCAACATTTACTTCTACATCAACAACCTCTGGACAACCAACATTTACTTCTACTTCAACATTCTTTGGACAACCAACATTTACCTTTACATCAACAACCACTGGACAACCAACATTTACTTCTACATCAACAACCACTGGACAACCAACATTTACTTCTACATCAACAACCACTGGACAACCAACATTTACTTCTACATCAACAACCTCTGGACAACCAACATTTACTTCTACATCAACAACCACTGGACAACCAACATTTAATTCTACATCAACAACCTCTGGACAGCCAACATTTACTTCTACATCAACAACCTCTGGACAACCAACATTTACTTCTACATCAACAACCTCTGGACAACCAACATTTACTTCTACATCAACAACCACTGGACAACCAACATTTACTTCTACATCAACAACCTCTGGACAGCCAACATTTACTTCTACATCAACAACTACTGCACAACCAATATCTACAACCTCTGCAACATTGACTTCTAATATGTTTAGCCAAAATCCAATAAGATCTTTTAACACGCCGCTAGCGATAAATGGAGCTTTCAACACTACGTCAACGCCATCAACTTCCAATGGACCATTCGGCACGAATAATTTCAGTAAGAAAAATTACTTGTGTATCATCTTTCTTAACGCGAAATATTTTCTTATTACAAGCTTCTTTTTAAATTTCATTATCTGGGTGTTTGTTTATTTTTGGTAAGCGGGTTTTTGACAATTTATAACTCAATTTTAACCCACTTCTAATGCAGTGATCTGGTTTCCGGATACATTTCTCAGATGACAATGTAAGAACATCTATTATTTGATCTAACTAGCCCCGAGATTAGTCATAAAAGTGCAATTAAAATATTACTAAGCTCGATCATAAATTGGTAGATAACAAGATTAAGTACCTGCGATCGCTCAAATCAACTAGGAACCGACGGTGATTTGTTGGTGACAATTGGTTGGTTTTTGCATGAGAGTCGACCACGGAGTAACATTGGGAAGATAACTGTATTTTAGAGATCTCAGTCTGCTGATCGAATTTTATAAAGCAAATCTTTTGTCGCGTGTGGAGTTGACTTCATTTAGACGAATTATTAAAGAGTAATAAAAAACACCTTTATAATAAAAAATTTTAAAGTCATTGAACATTAAAAATTAATAATAAAACAAACTTTATTTCTTTAATAAAAGTATTAGTCGTTCATAAATTCTCTTACATAAAATATCAACCAATGATTTTTTAAAATTAAGCAAGTTTGTTTGATTAATTTTTAAATGTTCATTAATTTTTAAAGCTTATTATTAATAAGGTATTTTATATTTTAGTATTTTTCAATTTTAAAACGTGTTTTTATTAAACTATAATTGTTTTTATAAATATTTGTTCAATATAAGTGGACAATTCAATCTATATAGAGTGGTATATCCGCGGATTTCACAGTTTATGGAAAAGAAACACCCCAAAATGTTGCGATTGATCTTTTATCGTAGTTATTTAATGACTCATTTTATGAACATTCTGAAAGGGAGGAAGAAACAAACACCTTAAATTATCAAGTAGTATTTTAGTTCAACTATGTTCAGTTGTGGAATTTTGATCGCTGGAATTAATTAAATTCGTATCTTGAGGTATCACTGTATATTCAACTGACAAAATATCAAGTCCATAAAAACTCATTTCTGAAAAAAAAAATTCTGATGAACCAATTTTCAGATTCTGGATTCTGCTTTGCTAACCTAGCTGACAGGAGTACAGTCTTTGGAAGTGTCACCCCTTCCACATCTTCAACAACACAAGGCTTCCAGTTTTCTTTCTCCAAGTCCCCAGTCAAATCACAGCAGACACCAGTAGTCCCAGGCTCATCAGACTTTGATGTACATCAACAAAGAGATAAATAATTTAGTATCTGTTTATTAAATATTAACCTGGCGTGTACACACATTCACAACTTTAAAGTGTTTTCAAATTTATTATTTAAGATTTTTTTTATTCAAAGAAATTAAATTTTCCACAGGTAAAACCCACCCCAGGACCAGGATTCTTTTCAACTCCGCTGCCATCAGTAGTTCCTGCTCCAGTGATTGCTGCACCTGTAATTACAATAATTATTCTTAGCATTGTAGTCCAACTCTATTTGTTTAAGCAATTCTTGCATTAAAAATAGAAATTCCTATAATCAAGCCATTTAATAAACAGATGAAAATAAAATTATTTTGTTTTATGCAGGTCACTCCCATAGCTGTGTCTAATGTTAAAGGTCCTGTACCTGATACTACATCATCCCCTGCACTTCTGTCAGCCCTTTCTGGCCAGAGATCTATTACTGCAGGTATTGAAAAAAAATTACATTTTTTTTCAATCTATAGCCACAATTGGCCCTTTGTTTTTATGAAATTAGTAATTTGAGTTTATTAGAGTAACCCGATTTAACCACAGCAACTAAATTACCATAACGCCGGTGAATTATCAACAGCCACGTCGTCATCATCAAGCACTTTACCAAACAATAAAAACTCTAATATCATCAACAACCCCTCCTCTACTAACTCTAATAACCCCTATATCATCTACAGTTTCTAGACGATCAATCACAACAGATTTAGTAGCCTGTGACATATGTTGTATGGAACACTCGTTAAGGATTTAAAGCTGTTTGACACACAACTGTTAGGATCACTTAATTCACCTAATCACATTTTTTATTTATTTACAGCGAATACGATAAATTAAACAACAGCAATACAACATCTAAAATTAAAATGAACAACGAACTCTCAAGCTCTTTTCAATTACATACTAAAATTCCCATACATACTTCTTCCAAATTCTGAGACCCTACTAGATCTAACGAGTAGGTACTAAGTCTACATCCTAACCACTCACAAAAACGCCTCCAAAACTTTAAATTTACTTTTCTAGTTATTTTTACCGCTTTTACTTAAGATAATCCCAGTCATACTACTTGCGAATTGTAATTCCACATTCATTCCTTACCACGTTATTTATGATACATATTTAAAAGTAGACATCAACTATTTTTATAGGGGCCTCTGAAATTGGATTGTCTGTCCCATTGCATGCCGATAGTTAAACAACACCCGAGTAATGAATCAAATCTCTCACACATTTTTCACTTTTTTTTTACAGGAGTCGAAACTTTTTTCTGTACTAGAGCAAAAAAGTCACCTGAACAGACTGAAGGGGAAATCACAGTATGTGTTGTTTTTTAAGTTAAAGCATTAGTTTTTGTTGATGTTTTTCAAAAACAAGATTATCTTGGTCGAATTCCATATATTTTAAAACAAATTAATAAGAACATGAGTATCATAAGTACCGTATCTAAGTGGCGTCGCTAGGTCGGGCGGAACCTCACGTTGTCACCCCCTCCCCCCCCCCCCAAAAAAAAAATTGTATATATATATATATATATATATATATATATATATATATATATATATATATATATATATATATATATGCATATATATGCATATATATATATATATATATATATATATATATATATATATATATATATATATATATATATATATATATTTATTTATTTATATTAAGGTCTACATAAAAAGTAAAGTTTCCATTTCAAACCTGACGGCCTATGGGGCAAGTGAAGTAGAGTTCACTTGTTTCTGTGACCTCGGCATAAGAAGAGATAGTGTGGTCAGCACTATGCCCAGCCGCCTTTACTTTTCCCTAACGTGAGTTAGGTACCCATCAGAGTTGGGTGGACTCAGGGACGGTCTACTGACTTTAACCCGGATGCGAACTCGAGACTTACGGGTTAGCAGTCCAGCTCTCTACCGCTAGACCACTCCGTCCCATAAGGTCTACATAGGCCTGTAAATATAGTTGCAATCGGTGTCACCCCTTTCATTTTGCACAATGGCGTCGGTTTGTGCGCATAGCATATTAATCCACCGATTAATTCATGTGGAAAAAGCATCGTTTTCATCATAATTTATTAGACTTTTTGTGTCACCTCCTCATCAGTCTTTTATTGATGTCAGTTATTCAAAATACTCAACAAAACCTTTTTTCTTCTGTAAAGTTTGTAGCTATTGTTACACTCCTTAACCCCCCCCCCCCCCCCCCCCAGGATGATAGTTTTAAAGTGCATGCAATTCATAGTAAAGATGTTTTTCTATAGTCAGTTATTAATATAGGTGTATTAAATCATTAAATCTAATTAATCACTAATCGCACTGGCAAAAAGCATGTTTCTTCTATATATTTTGCAACTTTCGCCATAGTGTCACCCTCCCTAAATGGTGTCACCCTGTGCGGTCCGCCGTCCCCCCTCCACATCGCGACGCCTCTGCCTTATCTATCTATTGTTATTAAGTAAATTAACTATGTATCATAAGTATCTTTGTTAATTTACTACATAGCAATAAATAGATAGGTGGTTTGTAAGACTTATTTGTGTAACAAGAGGTAATGACAATGTTGACGTCTTTTAATGTGTAGATTTTAGTGGACACCCACAACAATCGTGCCACCATCTTGATGATGGGTGACACTAGAGAGTTACTCTTTCATCATGACATCAGAGAGTTGAAGTTTAAGCGGGCTACTGGGAAAAGCAGAATCACCTGGACGGGAACTAAAGTTGGATCACAGGACACGGAGAAAGTAACTGTCTCACTGGATAACCCCTCACAGCTTAGAGACGTATGTGTCTCTCAAAATGTTTCTACACTTTTAGCTTTGCAGAGTTAAAAAATGAAATGTTATTTTCAATTATCTCTGAATGAATATATTTGATCATTGTTTAAACCTTTACAAAATATTCCAATCCGAAATATTTTACTTATGTCTACGTACCTGTTCATTGGACCATTATTTAAAGGATGTATACATTTTTATTTAGTAAAGAACACCGACAGTTTTAAAGTTTAAAATGGTTTGGCTTGTTATTATAAACCCATCCATCCCCCCCCCCCCCACCTCGCACGACAGTGGCTTGAATAAAGAAAAAACAAGATCAAGCTTTAACTAGAATAAAACAACCACTAAACAGCAAAATAAACATAGGAAATACATTATTTTAATTTCAGTCCATGCATTATAGGGTTACTACAGGGTACATTTTTAAAATAGAGATTATTTTCGTGCAAATACTCCGATTTGTGGCATTTATTAAATTATTTTGAATATATATATATATATATATATATATATATATATATATATATATATATATATATATATATATATATATACGTAACAGTTAACATTTGTGGTGTTTCTGCCCAATTATTTTATTGCTTCGTTTAAGGTAAAAGTACTTTGTTAACAGTTTCTATAATAAATAGTTATGTCATAATTAAAGGATTTGCGTGTATGCATGAATAAGTTCATTAGCAAAAAATTTAAATATGAGGTTAAAATTACTTATATATATCAAATGTTATGAAGATAATGCAAATTATAATTAAGAAAACTAATAGTTACACTTATTTTAAAATGCTTTTAGTTAAGAAGTAATTGTAACAAAAATGTATGTGTTGCAGTTTTAGTGATGATTCAAAACATCTAAATATGTTTAAATGTTGTTATCATAAATCCTCTTTTTACAATTAAATAGACAGCATATATTCAATCATATTAGATTCTTTTGGTTTCATAATTCTTTTTTGCTTAAATGACAATAAATATTAAATTGACGTTCACCTTAATATTGATATATTGTAATGTGCTTGATATTTTTCTCACCAGGCTATTAGAAAGGCAGCTGTTTTTTTAAACAATCTATAAAAAAATTCCAAAAGGTAAAGAAAAATCTCATTGTTTTATTTCACTATTATGATCCTCTTGTAAGGTCTTAGTTTTTACTTACTTAACATTTTATTGTTTATCTATTTAAGACTACCAGCTGATTTTTGTGATGATAAATCAATAACAATTAAGGTCTGAGTACTAATTCATTTCATAAACTTTTTGCATGATTTACATAATTATGAGCAGCAAACTAAACATTAATATATTGTAACAATTCTGTGTTACATTTTTTCACAGTATCAATTGGACGAAAATTAATACTCGCTGATATTGCTCCAGAAATGAAGTCCTTTTGTGAAAGCTGAATGAAATATTAGATATTGTTTTTTTTCTTAATTGCTTTATAACTTTAGTATTGTTTGTGTGGCTTGTGTTAGTTTTCACCAGGTAAAAATTATTTATTTTTATAGTTAATTTTTCAAAAAATATTTTTACCTTTACAATTTTTTTTTGCTAATTACATTTCAAACTATATTAATTATTTATATTTTATGTTCATTCAATTAAAATTACAGACCAATTAAATTTGTAATATAGGCACACCTAATTACCTTACCCTTTTGCTAGCAACATTGCCTTCATTAGCATATATTTTTTACAATAATAGTGCAACTAAATAACATAAAAGATATTACAAGAATGTCTTTTTTCATATTTAAAAGTTTGATAATTATATTGTTTAACTATTCAATAATAAATAAGACATTATAACAAATCATGTATTCCCTATTTTCATTTTTATTTGAAATGTTTTTTTTTAAGGAAATTGTGGTTTACTTCATACAAAATGGGAAATTCTTAATATGCAGACTATGTAGGGAAAAAAGTAATAATTACCAATTGAAAAAAACCTAATGATGATAAAAATGAATTTTTAACCATGTGCATAAAATTAGAATAATGAAAATCTTCACCCACATCATAATTTTCATGATAACTAAAACAAAAAAAACCTTTGATAACGTTTTAACTGCACTGGGAAAAAGATAAACAAATTTTTCTTTAGATATACTAAACACATTGTTTGCTCTAGATTATTTTAAACAACATGTAGTATACTAAGTCTTTTGCATATATATATATATATATATATATATATATATATATATATATATATATATATATATACACATATATATATATATATATATATATATATATATATATATATATATATATATATATATATATATATATATATATATATATATATGCAAAAGCATATACATATGCCTATATTTATATGCAAATTTTAAAGGCAGCCCCTCCACTGAGTCCAAATATATAAAAACTATGGTCACAGACCAGCAGCAATTGCAATTTTTTTTAATGTGTCAAAAGTTTCACTAAATTTGCAACAATTCAACACATTTATTCCTTCATATAAATATTATATTACTTACTTAAAATAGAATCCGTTATTTTATATGTGAATTATATATCCATCTCTAGCATTATCACACAGCATATTATAATTTAAGTTTATTTTCAAGTCATCCATAATTTGTTCTCTGCAATTTATTTTAACTAACACTTGAATTATAGTGGTAACTTTTACTCCGTAAAATAATACAAAAAGCAAGGATACAAAAATAATATCAAAATAGTTACACCAAAATACAATAGGTAATTTAAAGTACTAGATTTGGTGAAAATTTGTGTGAGGTATATTGGCCTGCTTTCTGCATTGTTCTGGTTAGGTGCTGTGTTTTCAAGCTTTGGAACTTTAGCATCAACGACAACAGGAGGAGGTGCAGCTTCAACTTTCACATCTCCCATCTGTGACTAGAATAAACAAATCACATATTTCTCAGCTTGATAAATATTTTTATATTGCGTGTATGTTTTTCATAAAGTTTTATTTCATTATTTTGTGATTCCTTTTCAAATTTTAATTAATGCTGAGATTATATTTTCCTAAACAAATTTGAATGGATGCTTTTACTTGACTACCAAAATATAATAATTCCATCTACTCATGTTAAGAAATGTATTAATCATATTATAAATTGAAGTCTAGTACTTACTGAAGTAGTAGTGAAAGATGGTTTGGGGTTTCTTCTAAGGCTATCAGTTTCTACAGATTTAGTTGCTGTTTCCACACTTGATAGATCTGGAAAAGGCCTGTGAGGCTTGGTCTCGTTTTGATGATCTAAAAACGTTACACAATTTATGTGAAAAAAAGTAAAGCAATCGTTATTAGCCTTAAAATAATCAAGTGATTTTATTTTTAAAGCCTTGATTTAAAATAAGAAAAATTAAATAACTATATACATAGCTAATCATTATGTAGCCCTTAAATGTATGTATCGCCTTCTATCAATAATTTAAAGTATTGGTTTTCTTCACAGCAAGAGACGTATTTTTATTTTGAAGTACTTTTATTTTTTGTTGTGTTATTTAAAATTTTCTATTGTATATGTTTCTGTTTAGATGTGATGAATGATTATCCTACCATAACTAAAATTAAAGTAATGATTCAATAGTAACATTTCTTCTTCTTCGCTCCTAATTTTCAATGTGTGAAGTGATTCCCTCTAACGTTATTAATGTTACGTGTCAAGTTGTGTTATGCTCTGTGAATAACGTTGTCTCAGATTTTAGCCTGATTTTCTTTTTGTCTTTGCTTCCATAGTATCATTTATCCAACCAAAAACATACTACAAGGCAGCAGTTTTATTTTTTCATTTTAGAGTTGTCTCTCTAGAAGAGTTGCTATCCCCAGCCCAGGGATTCGAACTCGAGACATTTCTGTTAAGAAACCACGGCTTTACCAACTCAACTACGCTGATCCCAAGTAACATTTAAATAGTTACACCCAAATGCACTAAATTATTTACCAGAGTTAGTTGTGGAAGTCGGTGTATGTTTCTGTGTTGGCTTTTTGCTATCTCCAGCCCGGGAGGTTCGAACTAGAGACTTTTCTGTTAAGAAACCATGGCTTTACCAACTCAACCACTCTGATCCCAAGTAACATTTAACTAGTTACACCCAAATGCACTAAATTATTTACCAGAGTTAGTTGTGGAAGTCTGTGTATTGTTTCTATGTTGGCTTTTTTCTCTGTTCTGGCCAGGTTCTGGTCCTTTAGAAGTTTCTTCCTCCTTAAACTTTGGAGCTGTGTCATCGGTTGGCGGAGGTGGGGATGAAACTTTAAATATCATATCTTTCACCTGTGACTAGAATATAATAAAACAAATCATCAGCAATAATTACATAACTCTTCGACAGTTCATTTTAAAGTTCATTTTTTTGTATTAGTTTGTATTCACTTATAATTTTTAACATAGAGCTGAGACAGTATTTCTCTAATCGATTCTATCCAAAAATACCATCTTTAAATCAAGTTCTATTACTCATTCATCACTAATATATTTGATAACTGGTCATTGTTTAAAGAGTATATAGCTGTTTACTTATCTGCCAAATATAATCGATAGCAATGTTTGTCATTTAATAGTCAACTTTATATTTACATTTATTTCAGTGTATGCAGCTAAAGGCAAAGCTGAATAGTTTCTTGCTTTTCTTTTTTTTTATGACCATTTTGCTTCAATAATGAAAATTAATTCACCTTTAACTCTTTTAAAACTGTTGTCTCTTCCTTCATGGAATCCTAAAAAAATTAACGAAAGATTCAAAAATTAAAAAAGAACTTGATTTTCTAAGTTGATATTTAAAAAGCGACTTATATTGTAAATAAAGACTATTTAAAAATATTAATAAAGATGGAGAGATATGGACAACATGCAGTGTTTCTTGCAGGGGGGACACTTGAAATTTGGGGTTGGACAAAAAATTTCGGGGGGGGGGGTGGCGGACGCTGTTAAAAGTATATATTTTCTATATAAATTCCATTTCGTTCGGGGAGCAGTAGACTTTCTTTGGGGGGCTCTGCTCCCAGAAGAGATGCATCAAAGAAACTGACATGTCAAGTAGTAGAATGTGCTATTATTAGCCAAAATGTTTTGAATTTGGTTTCCAGAACTCTACTGCTTCTGCCCTATTGACCATCAAGCCCAAAAGGGAAATTTAATTATTTTTTAAAGGAGAGATTGCATTGAAAAATATTATTAGACCAATACAATGTAATGTTTCCTATTAAACTAGTCATCCTTAAAATAACTTACCATTAAAGCACATGTAGTGTTTTTGCTCTGTTCGACCAAAACTTTTAACTCTTCATTATTCTGGCGGAACTGCTCGACTTTTTGCCTGGTGTCTTCAAATAGGCCTACAGTATCACACTGTCCAGTGATAAATTCAACCAGAAATTCTTCATTCTTTTTATTCTCATCCACATTTTTTTCAAATTCTTTTCTCAACTTTTGACAATTCTGATTGAGCATGTTAATTTGCGATGGCAGACTATGAGGTGGATGCTGCTGAATGATAGTGTAACACTGAGTTTCTTGGTCCATTTTAGAGCTTTCCTGTAATACACAACAGTAAATTACTTTTTGCAATGTTGAGTTTTTAAACTATTAAAGAACAGAAAAGAAAGAAGATGTTTGAAAGATTAGACATTAAGATTTACTAATTTATCTTAAACAATATAACAAACATATAAAAGGAGAAACATTAAAAAATAAGGGTAATTTATTATTTGTTTTAGTTTTATTATTTATCTGGGCCCACTTTGTGGTCCTGTAATCTCATTACTATCTGTAAATTTCCATTGAAAAAATTTAGAGTATTCAACATAATCAATTGCTGTATCAAAATATTTTTAAACATTACATGTTTTTTATGATTGATAGTCTCAAATAAAGTAAGCCAGTCTATTTAAGCTTGGAAATTAATTCACAGTAATATCCTACATGTGTTGGCTGATTGCTTTTCAAGGAAGTGCTGGCAAAGGGCTGAGTGTTTATTCTAAAGCCACCAGTTTCTAACTTGCTGGATTCTGGGCCCACACTAGATAAATTTGAATAAATTCTGAAAGGGTGTGTCTCACTGGGGTCTTCTAAATATAAAGAAATATAAATCTTGTTATCAGGGCTAATGGTTGTTAAATACATTCAATAAAACTTCATATTTTATATACTTTTGGTTTAACAAAAGAATAGCTATTTATCTTGCTCCTGTACTATTTTTTTAAAAAATGAGAAAGTATTTGTATGTATGCTTTTATAGCCTATATATTTATGTGATTAAAAACTGTTATACTGCTGATGGTCTTTTAAAAACTCGGTAATCTTTTTTTATATATGTAAAATTGTTTTAATTTTTTTTTTCACTCTTCTGTACATAAAGTTAAAAAAACTTACTAAACAAATGGTGCATCAACTGATCAATTTTGTCCAATTCTTTGTTAGCAGGCTCTGTAAACTCCTAACAAAAATATTCATAAAATGTTAATTAAAATTATAAGTCTTATTTGTACATGTATGTGTCGTATTTGTACATGCATGTATTTCCAAAAACAAATTTATTTTTATTAATTGTTGGATTATGTATAATTTTTTTTTTTTTGCTATTAAATTATGACTTTTAAGTTGAACTTAAAAACCAAATGTAATCTGTGTTTTTAAATAAGGATTTATACTAATGTTATTGGATTTCTTAAGCATGAAATGAAACATATTTAAAAAGGATTTAATGAGAGATAAATTGTTTTAAGGGAACTCACCTTAGCTTCGGGGTTTGTAGTTATAGATTCCAAGAGTTCATACAAAGTTTCTCTAGCTTCCTGAAGCAAATTATTTCCTTCGTTATGATTTTTATCAGCAATGTTTTTCTTTGACCATTTCCTTAGCGCCTGAAAAAAAATATTGATACTTCATATTTTCAAGCTTGTATCATAATAGTTTTACCAAGTCATTTCATATACTTAAGTATTGTTAGGGACCTGTGTGGTCTAGCAATAGAAAGCAGGCTTCTAACTTTAAAGTTATGATGTCAAATCCTAGGCTGAACACCACACGGTGTCCCATGGCCAAAGTTTCCCTTATTTCCAAACCAGGTAATGTGATGCACTGCGGCACGATGTAAAATCCTTGTTGAAGCCCACATGTTATGCAGTTGGTAAGATAGGTCAGAGAAATATTTTATCCTTAACCCTGTTCCTGCCTACCTAGCTAGCGAGGGATCCCCTTCTTTGAGCCATTAATGGCTAGCATTGTATTGTAGCTAACGTGCTATAAGTATGTCAAAATCTCTAGTAAAGTGTAGGTTAACAAAACTAGTAAATACAAAAAAAATTGCTATACCCATGATCATATAGGTAGAATTGACTCTTTATTTTTAGAATGAGCCAAATTATTTTTGAAATACAAAAGAATGAAATAAAAAAAAAACTTTTTTTTTGTAAAATACAAATATCAATTCTGCATACCTTTGCCTGAAATAGTTTAGCCTCAGGAGTACTTAGTTGCCTAAAACCATCGACAGCTTTACTGTATTCTGATTTTCTCATTGCTATCAGCGACGTAGCAAAAATAACTTCAGATCTGATATGGCTAATACTTTCTTGGGAGATCACATTATCTCTTGGCTCTTGAAAAATCCTGGCTGATTGAAGCTGGTAATTGTTTTTTCTGTCAGTGAAAATAATGAGTAATTATAGTTACAAGAGTAGTAGTAGCAAATGAAAAAATAAATGAGTTGTTTTTTTTTTTGTGAAATAAAGTGTGTATTATATTTCTTTTTTTGGTTGGAAGAATAAACAAATGTATTGTTTTTGTCGATGGAGTAAATAAAGTTGATTCTTTTATAAGTGAAAAAACATATTTGGTGTTTCTTGTAGTTGGAAATGGAGAAACATAATCGATGTTTTGTGTCATTAAAAAAATATATGGCTTTTATGGTGGAGGAGGGGGTAACAAGATAAAACAAGATATAAACAACTGATGGAAAATAAATCCTACTTTTGGATTTCTTCAATAGAAGATTTGGCATGGTTCCAGAAAACAGCAGCTCTGTTTTCTAGAGCTATGATCTCACTAGAGGAGGAGTCAGCACTTGTTTTAGCCTGGCGTAACACTTTCAACTAATAAAACATAAATATGCTCAGGTCAGAGAAACTGATAAGCATATATATATATATATATATATATATATATATATATATATATATATATATATATATATATATATATATATATATATATATATATATATATATATATATATATATATATATATATATATATATGTATGTATATATATATATGTATATGTATATATATATATGTATATATATATATGTATATATATATATATATATATATATATATATATATATATATATATATATATATATATATATATATATATATATATATATATATATATATATATATATATATATATATATATATATATATATATATATATATATATATATATATATAAGGATATATTTTGCTTTAAAAATATTTATTTTTCTTATTTTTCTAAAATTTAGAAATAAATAGCTTTTAGAGCTACTTATTTCTCTTAAAACAATATGTTTAAACATCTAATATTTTGAAAGCTGTATAGAGTATGCAATTTTATTTTGAGAATTTCTTCAGGTTACCTGAAAATGTGTATAGATCAATTATTAATAATTATAATACTTATTGATTATGATAATGAAGCTGGCGATTGTAAAAATTATAAATATCAACAATGAGCACACCTTTTCATCTAGAGATTTGGCAATGTGCACCAAAAGCTGCAAAGACATTCCATGAGTACCTACAAGCCTTACAGTCTCCATGCCTTGAATGAGTCTGTGTCTGAATCTCATTTCCTTAGGACTTTATGTATGAAGAAAAGAATACTTGTTAAAAAATTTCTTTTGGTCTAGTTTGTCTTTTAATAATTTTTAATGAAATTGAAAAAAAAGGTTTTACTTGAATGATTTAGTGAAGAATTGATAAGCTGCTGACCACCATTTAGCCTGGTCATCTGTACACAATTGTTGTTTTAGACAAACAGGAAAAAGAAAACTCTGCATAATTCTTGTTTCTTCATTTGGATAGTCTGTAAGTTTGATTCTACTGGCTGTGCATTGAATGGTAGCCATAAGAAATACCTAACAATTTAAAGAGAAAAAAAATATGTTTAAAAATGTGAAACGCTTTTTGCATATTTGTATTCAGTTATTAGCTAAATATATTTTGATCAAAATAGTATTTTTTATCTTTTATACAAATAGAATTTTATCTAGTTAACTAAACAAGTTGGCTTTTAAATTGTAGTAATTCTTGTTGCAATATATGATTTTCAATGAATTTCACACATTTTTTATCAATATATTCACCAACATATCTGTTTGACAGAGAGAGCTCATTACACTTGTTTTAATGTTTGACACACCAAATCGTAAATTCTCAATATGAAAAAATGGATCTGTAAGTGAAAGAAGCTTAGTTTGACAAATAGAAGGTATTATTGAATTTTACTATATTTTTTATGACAATTTTTTTTATCTAAACCATGTTTATAAATATATATATATATATATATATATATATATATATATATATATATATATATATATATATATATATATATATATATATATAAATATATATATATATATATATATATATATATATATATATATAAAAGAGATAGATATTTATATAGCTTACAATAAGGTTGCATATGCATGTCTGTTGTGTAGTACTGAAGACACAACCAAACAAGACTTGAAAGATCTTTTATGTGTACTTCAAACGATACTGAAAAAAAAAAAAAATGGCTGACATAACTCAAAATAATCATATATGTGTTAAATAATAAAAAAATTTCAAATGATAAAAGAAATTTTATAAAAATTAATATTTTTAACAGAACAAGTTATGCCTTACTTTTTTTTCTTGAGATTCTTCTTTTTTGTTTAGTTAAAGAGGTCTATAAAGCATTTTTTAAGGTGTTTTGAATTTTTACAAAAATCTTTAAACTTAAAATGTTTGCTAAAACAGCTTTAAAATTTAGAAAAAAAATTACAATTAGAAAGAAAATGTTATTTAAAAATAAGTTTAAAAAAATTTATGTATTAATTATTTATGTTTACATTATATATACATATATTATATTTGAGCATATGTTGGTAGTCATTATGTGTTTGTTTTGTTTTTGTTAATCTAATACAATCACCTTCATCAGCCTTCGGAAGCAGATTTTCGGTGATTAGCTGTGAGAAACTAGTGCTTCTAAATCTTTCACTGGCATTGCAAAGGTACGAATCTTTAAGAATGATTTTATCATAATGTTCATCATAGAGAATTTGGCAGACAGTTTTGTGCCCTTCCACTGTTAATATTTCTGCCTCAATACTTTTGCTCCAGTCTAGGGTATTTCCATTTGCCAAGTTGTGTAGGATATGACCTAGCATTGTAAATAATAAATATTGTTTCTAAGAGGTAAAAATATTAACTTATGCACATTGTTTTAATATGATCTTTACTGTATGTTTATTGATTTAACAAACAATTATTGAAGAAATGATTTTCAACACTTAGAAAAGAAAAGAACTTGTCACTGCTGTTTATAGTGTCTATATCAATGTATCTATATATTTAATTTATGATCCAGGGAGTAGGCCCTATTTAAAAAAAATTATTTTACTAAACAAACTTAAATCATTTCTACAAAACATGTAATAATCATCATTTTTTGCAAAAAAATTTCAGCTTTTCAATTTATTAATACATGCATATTATATTGTACTAACTTGGAAATTAAAGTGCTTTAAAATTATCCACATACCAACTTGTGAATATCGGGCATAGCTTTGCATGCTCCACCATTTGTATAACTTTCTGTCCTTGATCACGGTACTCTCAGGTAGAATAGGGTCAAAACTTAGACTTGCCAGGAAACAGGCACCAGAAAACTTTTCAGCAGCCTCCCAATGTAGAAGACACTGTTCATTTTATATAATATTTACACTTGTTATATTTATATTTTGTAGCTTTACTGTAACATTTTTCTGTTTGTATTCTTTATATCAAAAATAATAGTTAAAACTTAATAATAACCTTATATGCTACAAAATATAATCTAATTAATCCTGTGCTTAACTTTCCTATACAATTTAGAGTCAATATCTTTTTTAATACTACGAGGGTAACATAATTTATCACCTTTTTCAGTGAGAACAAATATGCATAAACTTTACATTTTTCAATAAAATTTATTGGCTAAATTAGTTATACCTTTTGTGCTTTTTTAAGCAATAATACACCAGCCAGAAAGAATAGTTGAGCCTTGGATTCTTGTACTATTGAATTCCATTACAGTGTCATTGAATTTGAGCTCCAATGCGTTCTTTAGTTGTTTGTCAAAACTGTATAATTTTAGATATTATTTTATAACATGTTTAATTTTTGTTGCCTTGTCATCTTTTCAAAGTTTTACATTATTTTACAACAGAATAAAAAATTTTTTTATTAATTATAGCTCATTATCATAATATGCTTTCTTTTAAAGAAAAACAACATTTTATTTTTTGCTTTATCGTAAACAGGGTATAGAGGAAGTATTGTAATCGCACTGAATAATTAAGGATATTTTGACAATTTTCGCCGTTTTACACCCCACCTACTTTATTATATACAGATCATAAAGGGCTTATTGTTACAGTGCAAAAAATCTAATAGAGGTTTTGACAGACTAACGTTTTACAACCTTCAAGAACGGAAAAAAAAGTTGGTTTTGCAATTTTGTCTATGTGTATGTAGGCTTATACAGGATAACTGAGTACCATCGATGGAATTTCATATAAAACTATTATGTCAAATTTGTACTTCTGTATCAAATTTTGAATGATTTCCTCTAACCGGAAGTGGTACTTTACCCTATTTCCTAGTGAACATTTTAACTTAAGTACTGTTTCAGTTAGATAACATTTAATTTGTAAGTAAAAAATCTAATGTTTAATTATTTTCAATTTTTAAATAACCTCCAATAACTGGAAGTGTTACTTTATTTTATTACCTTTTTATTACCTTTTTCTAATAACGTAAGTATCGTTTTTATTTAGGTGAACTAAATTTTATTCAAAGATATGAGATATTATTATCTTAAATCTTTCTTGAGATATTTTCGAAGACTGTGAGTACTACTTTATGGCATTTCCCTTTTTTCAAAAATATCACTTCTACTGGACCGATTTTTTTCAATCTTTTCATGTAGGTAAATACTCAATGATATAAAATGTTTGACTTAATTAAATGTTTAATTAACTATATAAAAATTAATCAATGTTTCCTTTATAACGTACTAACTGTCTGAGCTATTATACACGTATTGTATGCATTAGTTTGGTGCGCAACTATTTTTTAAGTATTAGAAAATAATATAAAATAAAGCGGGATTGATCTCCCATGAACTTTCTCATATATTCGTATACAACACTGAAGGGATTGGCAAATACAGTTTATTCGGGCTATAGACATGTTTCTTATCAATTTTTAAATAGAAATAAATCACAAAGAAAAAATAATTATGCACCAAATGAACAGCAATTGTGTTTAATAGTGGAGAAATTTAGTACTTTATTTGAAAAAGCCTTGATTGATTTTCTAAAAAATTAGTTAATCATCTAATTAAGTAACATTTTAAGTAACTATACATTTTTTTCAAGTAGAATAAGTGCCACTTCCAGTTACCATATTCGTCAACCTAGCTGAAATGGTACTCAAGTTATCGTGTTCCTGTACACACACACACAGACTGGCAGACGGACAAGATTGAAAAACCCCAAGAGGGGTATAAAACGTCGAGACTTGTGAAAATTTATATTTCGATTTTTCGTAATATTACAATACTTCGATAAATTTCGTATCCAAAAAAGTAAAAACATTTCTATATCCCGATTGCACTAAAAGTTTTATATACCAAGATTCGAGAACGTTTAGGGGAGATAACTCCCTCTTAATTCAAATGATTTAATCTGTGTTGCTAATTAAAGTGGGAAAATAAGGTTTAGGTTAATGCTTCTGTTATGAATACCTTTGTACGGCAAAAACACAGTCTTCAACATCTGATGTCCCCATACACAAGTAAGCATAGTTTCTTAAGATGTACAAGTACTGTAAGTTGTAGTTACGATCTTTTTTCATCTCAGACCAAAGCTCGCCATACTCCTTGAGGAAATAAACTAAGATTTATGAAATATTTGTAAAATATTCTTATTACAACATAATTAACAGAAATACATGAATTCTAATTTATCTGTTAAATCAGGTTTTGATAAATATTTAAACTTTGAGACTCGTAGTTATCTAATTTTTCTTATCTTTTATTGTGTCAACACAGAAAGGGTCTAATAATATTCTAATATAATTTATTAAATCTACGTAAAGTAACGCTTGAATTTATTAGTAAATTCAAATGCTAGTTCTAAAATAACCTGATAACTTTATACACTATGCGTTCGTTTTATAAACTTTTAACAAATCATTTAAAATAAAAATGTGTGGACCTATTAATCAAGAATATTAGCAGAATGTGAAGCACCTCACCATAAAGACATACTGCACTTGCTCAAACCAAAGCAGGTCGTCTTGAAATTTTGTCTCTTTGTTGATGGTGAAAGCTGCATCATACGCCAAGACATACTGGTTGGAACTAGTGTAGGAACTGATGAGGTCGAGGTGCATATCTAGCTGACTTTTTGCTGTTGCACTCTGAAATAAGATATGGGTTAATAGTGTTTTGTTCTTTGTGAATCTGAATTGTTGTTTATTATAAAAGGAAAGTTTTTAAATATTTTACTTGATACAAACATGCAAATGAATTTATTTATTTATTTTAAGAAACAAAACATAACTTTAAAAGTATATAATTTATTATTTCAATTTTTTAAATTTATTATCATCTAGTTTTATGTCTACCTGAACATAGATATTGCAAAAATAAATATATTTAAACATTGCATACATTTTCTGATCTTGACATATTGTGTATGTGTGCCTGTGAACAATATAGATAATTATTACATTTTGTGTTTTAGCAAGCTAGAAAGATAAATAGGGATCTTCAATAAATGACATCAATAAATTACGCAGGGGAGAAGAGGGGCGTAATCCTGTGCAGATGTGTGATTTTTAAGTAATGCTAGAAACTGACTTTATGCTGTTTTTTGTCTTTTGAAAATTGTTTTTGTAAATTGTAATAGAAACCGATTAATTTATTCTATGCTAACCTTGCTCAGTCAATATTTTAGAAAGAAAACGATGTTTTAAAAAAATGGAAACTGCAATTTCGAGGGGGTAAAAACCTTTCCAAAAAGTTCAACGTTTTTAATGGATGACCCCTTTATTCAAAAAAGTTCTGAATTAGTTGAATAACTTAATACTTCATGGAAATTTTTAAAAACATTTTTTGCTTTATGCTTATAATGTTTCAAAGTACAGTTGAAATAGAACAGTCATCTTCAGTTTTATCTAGAGAATACGTTAAAATTAACTAACAGCAATTTTTTTAAATTTTAATCAGTACCTTGAGTCTGACTGCTGTGCAACTTTTCGGGTACTCTTTCTCACACTCACTAAGCCAGTACTATATGAGAAAGTAACCAACCACAGTTAAATTACATTAAAATAAAAAAAAACTGTTTATGTTTTATTTTATTTAAAAGTTTAGGCTTTAACACACACATTTTATTTTAACATAGAATTTAAATTATAGAAATGTATTTAAAATATTAATACTGTTTATAAATACTTTACCTGCAGAATGATTACATCAGACTCTATGTCACAGACTAATTCACTTACTGAAAACGTAAAATAATTTTAACAATCTTTTTGTTATAATAGCTGAAATAAAATTTCTTTTTTAAATAAAAATTGACCATACTTTAAGTTCTTTGACTCCAGTAATTTGTGTTAAATATATCATATTTATATTACTTTTTAGTAGTAGTCTTCTGTATCTGGAACCACCACTTTCTAATGCTCTGTGTGTGAAAAAACAAAGAAATATTAAATGTAATTTTATCATTGATATCTTAATAAAGTGTATAATATATTTAAACTAGTAATTTAGAGCTAGAAAAATAGAAACAAAAATGAGGGCGTCCATAATTGACAGTGCGCATTAGGGGTAGGGGAGTTCTACTGTGTTTTAATTTCAGCTTTATCTGGAGGCATGGGATGGGAGAGAAAACTATTTTTGATACGGTAGACATTTTGTATCTCATTAAAAATGATTTTTAAAATGTGTAAGAATTGCGAAAATGGCTGTGGGGGGGGGGGGGGCGGAGGGGGTAAATTTGTTTATGTTCTAAAAGTTATAAGGCTTTTTATGTGACGGTTTGGTTGATGCAGAAATCTTTGTCTACAATAGCGAGGATTCTTAAATAAATTAAATTTTTGTTTAAAATAGAACGATACCCAATATAAATTATATTTTGCCTAAAATAGCACGACACTCAAATTACATTACATTTTGTCTAAAACAGCACATTACATTACATTTTGTAGGATTTCAAAGCGTTTTTCTTGTCTCCCAGAGCTTCGTGTATTTCGGCCAAAAGTTCATGACCTTCTGGATTGTTAGATTCGTCCTGAAGGAATCCTTCCACGTACCTGAAAGATTTATTTTAATTAATTTTTTTTTAAATATCTCAAGCCGTTTTTTGTTTAAGTATATTTAGACGATGCACTCAGTGTTTACTAATGCTGTAGGCAAGTTTATGTTATACTTTTCGAGTTGTTGCTTGTGCTTACTCGAGCACCAGCCTTCCGATGCATCGTTGTGTATATACATGAATTTTTTTTTCTATTTCGATAGGTGGGGTGGGGGTGTAATCTAAATAAAGACCTATACAAAAAGAAAACAACTGTGTCCAAGCTGACAACTCTACTGATATTTTAATCTGTTGCCTTTTAAAAATATTGTCAATTACCTGTTTTCACCCCCCCCCCCCCGCACCCACACACACACGCATACACACAGAAATTCCTCACCCTCAGTGAAAGTGTAAGTGTTATAGAGATATGGATTTGATAAGAATAAAGGATACGGATAAGGAAAAGATTGATGGGGTTAGGGTCAAGCTTGAGGATGGAATTATATATATATATATATATATATATATATATATATATATATATATAATATAAATTTATCTGGGATTAATGGCCGGAGTTAATGAGTGAGGAAGTGTAACTGACACGGTGCAATTGATTTTAGCTTACCGTTTGGCTGTGACATAATCTTTTTTAGTCATGTAAAGCTTAGCAATAGCAAGTCCTGCACCACGTTTCTGACAATTTATATATATATATATATATATATATATATATATATATATATATATATATAAATATATATATATATATATATATATATATATATATATATATATATATATATATGTTAGGTAATATACACATACACACACACATTTATATATGTATATATATATATATATATATATATATATATATATATATATATATATATATATATATATATATATATATATATATATATGCATGTATATTGTAATGAATAAGCGTTTAGGATAGCTAATGTTTAATAAAATAATAAGATATCTAATAGCCTTTCGCGAACGTGCATTACACCAGAGCAGGGGTCTCCAAACTTTTCAGTCTGAGGGCCGCATTAACTATTAAAATTCAGTTCGGGGGCCAATTTCTTCCATGCATGTCTTTGATTTTTCTGGGCAAAGTTCCTTAGCAATCACCAACGAACTATTTTTCCTTGGACAAAAATATCTCCGCGGGCCGGATGAGAGGACTTCGCGGGCCTCATCCGGCCCGCGGGCCGTAGTTTGGAGACCCCTGCACCAGAGCAACAACCAATAAAAATACTTCAGTAACCATTTTCTCGCTTATTTTATTTGAATTAATGGAAACAGAAGTCGTAATGTAAATGTGCATCTATCAGAACAAATACTAGACTGAGCTAACACTAGTTGCCAGTAAATTAACATTGGGTGAATTACTGTATGCAGTGTTTCTTTCAGGCATCTCTTCGGGGTACGTTTAAAAAAATGAAATCGAATTGATATAGATAATATAACCTTTCCCAAATGTCCGCTCCGAAAGTTTCAAGTCCCCCCCCCCCCCCCTCACCCCTCCCCCGGGATAAAAAGTCTGACAGAAACACTGATTGTGTGGCTGTTTCGATCTAACCCAATCCACTAGCGGAGAGGATTTATGTCGACCACCCACAACCAATCGGTTGTGTTTAAAAAAAAAATACCAAGTGACGTATTAAAGAACAAAGCAAATAAAATAATATTACCTTGACATCTTTCCGATATTCTGCTAGGATAGATTGCACTTGTTTATCAATTTTAGCTTTCCTTGCCGCCATAGACGATTCTGTTTTTTTAAACATGGGTGGAAGGGGGAAATGGTAGAAATGTATGTTACGAATAAGAGAAATAAGTGAGAAGTAGAAAGCAGTCTAGCTCTCTACAGCTAGGCCACGCCGGGCCAATTAACAAAATCATTAACATTTTATCTACACTTTATCTATATCTCAGGTTAGGAATCTGATTGAAGAATACCAGTGCATAATCAATTATTAAACGTAGGTTTTACTTTCACTTTCACGTTGCACGTATACCCAGAATCGACACATATCTGCGGGTGTTATCGATTATCGATTATTGAATATGTAGTTCTGGTCGGTCATGGTCTATCGACGAAGTTAGGGGTTGTGTTTTAAAAATATGACAAGGCATTTTATTTTTATTTTTAAAAAAATAAAGCATTTGATTTGGACTACCTTTTGGTCAGTCGTTTTTGTTTTCTTTTTGGCATTTTATCAGGAAAAAAAATACTCGTAAGTGTATTTTATAAGGAGCTGTCAATACCCCTCACCCTACTGACTACTGTAACACATCAGAAAAGTCGCCCCCCCCCCCCCCCCGCCACCCCCTGCACAACTGAATTATTTTTTGTATGTTTTGTGTTAATTGCAACGAAGATTTTTTTTTTTAAATTTATGCCTCTTTGGTGAGAAGTTTCAATTTTTGTTCTGAATATTTTCGTCTTTAAAGTCAAGTAATTATTAAAAATCTATCCATTTATTGTTTTAACTAAATGTATTCAAACACTCACACACACACACACACACACACACACACACACACACACACACACATATATATATATATATATATATATATATATATATATATATATATATATATATATATATCGATATTTTATGTATATATATTAAAAATAACAGACACAATGGACTTGAGGTTTTCCACTTAAGAAAGCATGGGTCGCAAGTAGGCCTACACTCGAAGAAAAGCAAATCCTCATGCAGACCAGAGCTATTTTTGTTGTTGCACAAAGATCTTTTAAAGAAGAACGTGAGTAGCATGTGGCGGCAGACAGTCGTGGAGTCTCCACTTCTGTTGCTAAGCATAAAACCGAGTAAGTGGACTGTGTCCGACTGGATACAACTATCAATATTCAATCGTCATCACGAGCCTACATCCTGAGATGTCTTGTTTGATATCTCAGGATGTAGGCACACACACACACACATATATATATATATATATATACATATATATATATATATATATATATATATATATATATATATATATATATATATATATATATATATATATATATATATGTATGTATATATATATATATATATATAGATATATATATATATGTATATATATATATATATATATATATATATATATATATATATATATATATATATATATATATATGTATATATATATATATATATATATATATATATATATATATATATAAATATATATGGGTCTATGAAAAAATGTGTGTGTGAGTGTCTGTGTGTAAGTATGTGTGTGAATGAGTGTGTGTGTAGGTGTCGAAGTGTTTGTGTTTGTGTCCGTGAGTGTGTAACCAGCGATATGGATAGATCCATCAAACGTCAGTACATAATGAACATATTGGTGCAATATTTATAAGGCCAAAATGTGTGTATATGTGTGTGTTACCCCAAAGTGCGACCAATGCCAGTTCTCGTATTGGCTAACTCTCTTGACCAATGTCCAAAGAGCTTAATATTGACAGTAAATTTCGTACATTAACCGGCCAATGCGCGAACTTGCCGGGATGTCCAAGCTAATAGAATATTAAACAGAATATATATCTGCTAATATAACTAACCTGTTTCACAATACTGCGTCAACCGAACTAATACATCGACCCCTTGAACGTTTCCAGTTAGAACAGAATGTATATTTTTACTACGTTTGATCTGTGTAGCTTACTTCTGGTGTTTTATAATACTGTTTGGGATCAATTTACACGACAGCAGTTTGAGGGTAAAGGGTAGTGCGTGAAATATTCTGAATTTGAAAATGAAACTAAAGTGGTTTCCACGAAAACATGTTATCTTATCCGAGGCTGTTAATCAACGTGTCTTTGTAGGTTTTTCAAGGGCTTTTATTGTTTCAAATTGCATCACGTTTTAAAAAATGTTTGTAATCGTACACATATAAATCATCTACAACGCCTTTATGTTTCATAGATATATTTCATAAACAAAATATTCTTCTTCTCTTTTTTGTTTCCCGTTTGTGTCCAAGGCAGATGAAGTAGAGTTCATGTGTTTCAAAGACCTCGGCACAGAGGGGGATGATATGGTCAGTACTATACTCAGCAGCCTGTCTTTCACTAACGTGGTGGACTCAGTGACGTACTAGTGATTTGAACACGGAGACTTCCCGGTTAGCAGTCTAGCTCTCTACAGCTAGGCCACGCCGCGTCCCATTAACAAAATCATTAACATTTTATCTACACTAGATCTTTATCTCAGGTTAGGAATCTGATTGAAGAATACCAGTGCATAATCAATTATTAAACGTAGGTTTTACTTTCACTTTCACGTTGCACGTATACCCAGAATCGACACATATCTGCGGGTGTTATCGATTATCGATTATTGATTATGTAGTTCTGGTCGGTCATGGTCTATCGACGAAGTTAGGGGTTGTGTTTTAAAAATATGACAAGGCATTTTATTTTTATTTTTAAAAAAATAAAGCATTTGATTTGGACTACCTTTTGGTCAGTCGTTTTTGTTTTCTTTTTGGCATTTTATCAGGAAAAAAAAAATACTCGTAAGTGTATTTTATAAGGAGCTGTCAATACCTCTCACCCTACTGACTACTGTAACACATCAGAAAAGTCGCCCCCCCCCCCGCCACCCCCTGCACAACTTTAAAAGTTTCACCCACCTTCTACTTTCCACTATCACCACCCCCTTTTAAAATAACTATATTTTTTTTAATGGAAATCGGCATGTATTTAGGGGTCATCCATTACGTCAAGCTTTTATTGACGATTTTCTTTTTCTCTCCATTTTCCTCCGTCACACATCGTAACAAAAAGCCCCCCCCCCACACACACACACTTAAAATGACGTCACACCACAGTCTACACCCCCCCCCCCCCCAAAAAAAATTGCAGTTGAATTTTTGTTTTAAAAATTAAACATCGATTTTGTTTTTCTAAAATATTGACTGAGCTCGGTGAACAAAGAGTATTTTAGTCAATTTCTGTTACAATAATTTTAAAACAGTTTTCTAAAGCACTAAATAACGGCTAAAATTCAGTTTCTAATAATTCGGTGCAAAAGCGTGACGTCACACTGTCACCCCCCCCCCCCCCCTCCTCTCCCTCATCACACGTCAAAATTGACCTTTTACCCATACTAGTGTGACGTCATTTATGTACATTATGACTAGGGGCACTAAAACACATGTTGAATTATGTTGCATGTGCCTACCCACAACACTAAAACAAGAAATGCTTTATCTCAGCTGTATTTAAAGACTGGTAATAGTATCCAGGTTTCTGATTACAAGAATCAGTAGGCCTACATGCCGAAAAACATATCACACGTCTTTGAGGAAGGGATATAACCCAGCCATGTGTGAAAGATAACCGAACCATGAAAAGATCACAACTCAACCAGGAAATAATAAAAAAAAAGGTTTGTCAAGTGTGTTGGTGACAGAATTACAACACGCGGTGTTTAGTCTGAACTATTGAATATGCTACGTAGTTGAAGGGTGGCGTGACGTGGAGAGGAAGAGGGCTGTGGGTATGTGGTATTGTTTAGAGAGACATGGTGGCAGCGTGGTAGAAAGGTAGAGCGCGTGACCACTAAAAAAGCTGAAAGCCTCGGGTTCGATTTGTCATTTGTAGACCACCCAATTGAGCTCAGGGGCGTAGCAACCCAGTCCGGCGCCCGGGGTGAGATATCGATTTAACGCACCTACCAGTTATATATATTGTTATTAGAAATAGCGAAAAAGCCCCCCTTCCCCCCCCCCCCCTCCAGCCATTTGAAAAAGTGTGGGGCGCTCCAGTCACTGTATCTTAACAGTTATTTTTGTGTCACACACGTGATATAGAAAACAGAATACAAAGCCGTAAAGTCAAGTAGCAGTATTTTCTTTACTTCTACTGAGTATAAATAATTAAGTAAAGCAGATCAGAATGAGATCTCTATTTCATTTTCCTCCCCAGGTTGGCGCCCAGGGCGGCCGCCCCACCCCCTCCTCCTCTAGCTACGCCTCTGAGTGAGCTCAGCTAAAATAATGTCGACGGGGTCTTTTAATTGGGGGGAAATCTCCTTACTACAAAATCTACCAGAGTTTCTTGCAGGCACATCTTCTGAAAGGAGGGAGGGGCATTACCTTATTTAATACGACCCCCGTCCTCGAAAATTAAAATCGCCCCGCCTCCCCCCCCCCCCCCCACCCCTTTGAAAGAAACACAAGTACCAAGAGAAGAGAAAAAAAGCTAAACTGCATTCACCCTGTTTAACTCTATAAGGTCCCAAAAGCAATACACGTAGTGTATACTCACTGTTAAACAACACTGATACGCCAACGTCTCACACCATTTATTTCCATATTACATAGTCGTTATAGACGTTTTAACTAACCTGGACATTAATTGATCACAACGTTGAAAAAAAAAACGTCTTTTTTCCGTCAATGATTTAAAATCAAACAAGGCAATGCATGCATTATAATGATTGCATATAATGACACGCCTGTCATCACTAGCTGGCTAAGGGAAATAAAAATTCCTATGTGTAAGCCAAGGGAATGACTTACAACTTCCCCGTAACAGTCCCCCCCCCCCCCACATCTCCTCCTTTGTTAATCAATACAGCGCTCAAGCGTTGATACCCGACCCTCTCACAGCCGATACTATCATTAATTAAAATGAAACGAAACACCCGTGTGTCTGTGTGTGTACATGTCTGTACATGTGTGTACGTGCGTGTGTTATTGTGTGTGCGTATCTGTGTGTAATTTCAATTACATGCTTATAATGAAACTAAAACATCAATGTGATTTTGCGTGCGTGCGTGTTTATATATGTGTGTGCGCGTAAGTGTATTTGTATGTGCGTGTGTATATGCCTGTATGTGTGTGTATGCTGTTGCAATCTCATATTCCATTATGGGAAATTCAGTTGCGGTTTGAAAAATCGAAACACAACAAGGTTTGCGTGATTAAAGCACACTCGGCGTTTCCTGGAAAAGTGGATCAATGTGAGATTGGAACAATTATCGCTTCATTGCACGCGAAGATTTCTGCAAATGCTAGTCAATGTCAGAGTGGGGGTCGTATCTTGTCCTCGTTTCTTACCGCAATTAGCGAATATAAATTAGATTGATTTTCACGCACGAAAATAACTGCTTACTATTTAAAGTACGGTAACTCTTGTTTACTGTTTATAGCACGGTAACTCAAACTAACTATTTAAAGTTCCGTAACTCTTGTTAACTATTTATTTATTGTGCGGTAACTATTGTTTACTATTTAAAGTTAGGCAGCTCGTGTTTACTATTTAAAGAACGGTAACTCGTGTTTACTATTTAAAGTACGGTAACTCTTGTTTGAAGTATGATAAATCTTGCTATCGTGTGTATAAACTGAAACTATCTAAGATATGCAAATAGGTAAAATCCAGGTCAATAAATGAATTGATGGGAGAATAAAGGCATGACAGGATGAAAGATTAAATAGAGGATTTGTTAGATGGGAGAAAAAGTAGATAGTTGGATGAGATAATCTGTTGACCAAAAGTTAAGAAACTGCCGATTTGAGATGCGAGAGGTACGGGGATCGATTCCATGCTACCGTTACAGGAATTTTTTTTTATCAAAAGCTGAGCGACAGATGTTGTTAGAGGAATTTCCACCATACTACTAACTTTATCCACGTTCGTCAGTGGACCGTCCCTGAGTCCACCCAACTCTGATGGGTACCTAACTCACGTTAGGGAAAGTAAAGGCGGCTGGGCATAGTGCTGACCACACTATCTCTTCATATGCCGAGGTCACAGAAACAAGTGAACTCTACTTCACTTGCCCCATACACCGTCAGGTTTTGAAAGGGAAACTTTACTTTTTTTTTACTAACTTTATTTGACTAAGATTTGGGTACACAGGTCGCCAAGAAAGGGGGGGGGGGGGGCCCTACCACAGGAGAACGTGAATGTTCACAGGTTGTGATGAAGGTGACTTCGAGATTTGAGTACACAAGACGTCAAGGAATGAGATATATCACTGAAGATCTTGACTATTCACGTGTTATTTGATGATTGATTTAACATACAATCTCGATGTATCACTTTCAGACAAAGAAGGGGGCACTTTATCTTGAGACAACATTACAAGTCAACACTATATTGAAGAGATAACTAAACGCAGCGGCGTAGCTAGGTCATCCGGTGCGGTACTCATGGTGTCAACCCCTCCCCCTCACCAAAAAGTACATATATATATATATATATATATATATATATATATATATATATATATATATATATATATATATATAAAATTGTGCTTGGTCAATAGTAACGATGTTTTTTCTAGTCAGTTACTATTACAACAGTATGTAACATTGTTTTCCGTATAGCTAACAAGTTTGAGTCATGGTGTCAACACACACACACCCATGTCAGAATCTTAAGTTTGTACTAAAAAAGACTTTTTAACTCTAATTAATCATTACGTGAAAACTCTAATTAACCATTAAGTGAATTGGCAAAAGCATTTTTCTTCTATTTATTTTCCTTTTTTTTGTCTTGGTGTCACCCCCCCCCCCCTAAACGATGTTCAGCCTGTGCGGTCCACACCCATCGCCCCGCCTCGAGATGCCTCTGACTAAAAGTAGATGCCTTCTCCCAGCTAAGACTTTACAATAACTTAACACTTTCTTCTGCAATATCACTGTTTTCTATAACATACATTTTAACAATTTTCTAACCAAAAATAAACGTTTAATTTTATATTTTCACAGGATGTATAAAGGATTTATAAATGAATGAATATAGAAGAGGATCTATATAGAATTATAACTGACGCAATAAATGTATAATTGGAAGTATGGATGAATAATTGATGAACAAACTGATGATGGATTTGGTGGATGGATGGAGGGATGAATAATTGAGAAAATTGATGAAAAAATATACATCGATGAATAAAGTAAACAATGATCAATTAAATGGAACTGTTAATAAATAGACCCAAGAATATTTCATAATGTATGGATAAATAACAGACTACAGTAATTAGGTCACATTGATTAAAAAAATATCAGATTGTGAAATAGGTTGGTACAGGTCTTGCTGTGTTTACAAAGAATCAGTTAGTTTTTTATAGTAAGTTTTTACAATTCCCGGAAAGGCCTAGCCTGTAGTTTCATTTTCACAATAATGTTTCACTCGCTGCTGCACGAAAGCCGTTGACTTAATAGCCCAGTGGCGTTATCAACATAGATTCAAATAGCTTACAGTCGTTCATGGCGTCTAGAAAAGCTAAAGTTGATAAACAAGTGCAATCTATTCTAGCCAGAAATCGGACAGATGTGCAGGTAATATTGTTTTTTTTAAATGTCTTTTGTAGTTTAATTTGCCATAAACATGTGAGCGTGTTTTGTGGTGATTTGAGAGAGGTGGGGGTTGGTGACAGTGTTTCTTCAAGACTTTTTTCTCCGAGGGTGCACTAGAAATTTTTTTTTGAGGGGGGGGGGGGCTAAAATTTCCCTGGGGGGGGGGACGACACACACTGGTAAAAGTATATATTTTCTATATAAAATTCTATTTCTTTCGGGGCGTAGAAGTTTTTTTGGGAGGGGGGGGGGAGGAAGAGACCCGAAGAGATGCTTGGAAGAAACACTGGTTGGTGATTATAAAAGATTCAACGGTAAATTGACAATGTTAAACTGTTGTCTAAGGCTGCTGTCGGTCTTGAAGATAAGCACATTTTATAAAGATGCTCTGGCTCAGTTTTTTGTTTGTTGTTTTTCAAATGCATTGTAGATAAGACTTGTGTTAATGGGTAGGCTCAGTAGCGTAATCAGCTCTTATTCGTGTACTGGTTATAACCATTTTATGTTACACTTTTACACATTTGTGTGTGTGTGTGTAAGTATGAATGTAGGCCTATGTACGTATATACAAATATATATATATATATATATTATATATATATATATATATATATATATATATATATATATATATATATATATATATATGTGTGTGTGTGTGTGTGTGTGTGTGTGTGTGTGTGTGTATATACATTATACATAGGCCTATTTTATAAATTTATGTAATTTTTTTTAACTTATAAATATTTTCCGAAACGAATATAACTGGGAATACCCTGGTTTTATGATATTCAAAATTTTAATTAGGTGCAGGGTCCATGGGGTTGACTACTCCATTTTAAGCACGTAAATTTGCATAGAGAGATACATACACATTGTACATACATACACATATACAAAGGTAACAGCGTAGTCGCAGACGACACTGTCCTGAATATGTTTCAGCACTTGTGTCAGGGGCCGATACTGTGTTTTATTTATTGGCCAACACAAAGATAATGGAAGGAAGCGAATTACGGCGTGTAAATAAATCGTGTGACAGGTTTTAGCAGGGTGTGCTATTATAACTTGTGTAGGCAGATATCGTCCCATCATGTTTGTACACGTTGTAAAGGGCGAGAACTGTATGAATTGTATTTTTTTAAACACTGTAAAAATGTGGGAACGTGAATGTATCATTACGAAAAATACTGACCTTACTTCGTACCCCTAATACTACAAAACTGTATTATGCAACGTTTGCAGTAGTCACCATCCCTTTCGAACTATAAAGAAAAGTTAGGCTAAATAAAAATATGAAAAACCACTCATTAATTTTTTTTTAGAATATGTGCACTCTCCTTTGTGAAATATTAATCTCTAAGCAAGTAGTAATTTTTTTTAAAATAATTTATAGTATAGATAATTAAATTGTAAATCAACTATATCAGAAAGCTTTGATAAGTACTTCTTAAAAATTATCTCTTATTTCTCGAATTATCTGGACAAACTTCCTCCCTTTCGCAGTAGCTTAGGTAGGGAAGGGAGCAAAATAGATAGTTCGTCCCGGATACTGCAATGGGTCGTTAATCCTCTGCGTCTATCGAAGATATCGTTTAATAGTATGCAAATAGGTAAACTCCTGGTCAATAAATGGATTGTTGTGAGAGTAAAGGCATGACAGGATGAAAGGATAAATAGAGGATTTGTTAGATGGGAGAAAAGGTAGATAGTTGGATGAGATTAATCTGTTGACGAAAAGTTAAGAAGCAGCCCCTAGATATAAACAGAGTTTCTTCCAGGCATCTCTTCGGGGGGGCTTAGCCCCCCCGAAAATTTTTTACCGCCCCCCCCCCCCCCGAACGAAATGAAATGTATATAATTTATATAGAAAATATATACTTTTAACAGTGTCCGCCCCCCCGAAGAAAGTTTACCGCCCCCCCCCCCCGAAGATTTCAAGTGCCCCCCCGGAGAAAAAAGTCTGGAAGAAACACTGGATATAAACCACTGATGTTTGGGTTGTATAAGCTAAAACATACGTGTAAGATATTAAGCAGCATTGGTATCAGAATGCAGACATTACTGAATACCAAGTGACGAGAAATATCATAAACACCGTTGTCGAAATGTATCCAATGTTGGTTTTTTTGTTGGTTTTTTTTACGTTTACGTGTGTAAAGATAATAATCATGTTAAATTACCTTTATATTTCAGCAACGAGCACAGGGTTATATCATTGCCAAACTGTACTTTGATATTAAAGAATACAGCTTAGCTAAACAGTAAGCTTTGTTGTTCAATAGAATTTTCCTCAATATATATATATATATATATATATATATATATATATATATATATATATATATATATATATATAGGCCTATATATATATAATTATATATATATACCTATTTTTATTATATAACTTAAATGTTTAACTGTCTATAAATTTCTACTAAATTATCGAGGAACAGTTTATTCGATTTATAAATAAAAACTGACTAAAACACAATATTAACCTTTCTCACTTAACGTATAACAAGCTAGTTTTAAATAATTTCAATTTTCATCCATACATCTTTTTTTCCAAACATCAGGTCTTGTGTAGCATATAATTAATGCATAATCCCTAAAAGGACCCACAATTAATAACGTCATTCTTGTTTATTATTTTAGACTATGGTTTATAACTTATATTAACAACATTAAGTTGTCGTTCTTAAACAAAGGGATGTAACTAAACAAATAACATTCTATTTTTAACTAACTGCCAAGAGCGTGACGTCATTTGTGGGTGACTCTCAACTGTACGGCGATTCAATCTGATAGCAATTTTCTTACAGGTATGTTGGAGGTTACCTTGTTGAGAAACCCAGAGATCCTCGCGCTAATGAGCTTCTGGGTGAGATACACGAAGCTCTTGAGGACATGGAAGATGCTGTGGAGTGCTACAAAAAGTAAGCTCAGGGTGAAAATGATAGTAGCCTACTACATTGGAATTTTGTCTTTGTATCTCTAAATAATACTCTTGGTACAAGTACAACCTTTTCCAAAAACAACTAAAATACTTTTAATTAACTCATTCAGGGGTAAATAAAAAAAAACATTCACTTAATTTTTTAAGAAACTAAAATATAAAACTTCCAATGAAGGTATGGTATTTTGTTTTTTCCCTATGAGTAATAATCAAGTAAAAGAAAAACTATTTGTAATAGGCTATAACTTTTATAACATTTATGATACCAGTTAACATTAAACTCACATCAGCATTGTTGGGTTTAGTTTTTGTAATACCAAATTGTATATCAGTCTCCTTTTTAAGTTGTAACTAATGTTCTTTGCTGTTGTTTTTTTTTTTTACTTTAAGAGCATTTGAGAGCGGTGACTCTAGATACAACCCAGTTGTTCTTAAAAGTAAGTCATTACATGTATAAAACTTAAAGACAACTGAAGATAGGGCTACATTTAATAGTTTTATTTTTAAAAACTTGTTTGTCTTAGTACTGGTTTTCCTTGGTTCAACTATATAGTTTATAAATAGAGGCTTATTATCACTTTTTAGTTATTATGAATTTGTTTTCGCAGTACTAGTTTTAATTAATTTCATAACTATTGACAGTTTATTTTATGGTATGTTTTCAAGAAGATAATTTGAAAAATTGCAATTAAATATCCATACATGTTTCTTTATTTATTTTTTTAGTCTGTGAAACTTACTGTGACATTGGAGCCGATGTTCAAATCTTAAAGGTATTTATTTTCAAACAGACACAAACATACACAAAAACACATACATACATACACACTATAAGGGGGCCTATGTATATATATATATATATATATATATATATATATATATATATATATATATATATATATATATATATATATATATATATATATATATATATATATATATCTTGGGCCAATCAGCTCTGTGAAGATTGGGGGTCATCTGGCCTACCTCAATTTGCAGCCCAGGCTTTGTATTTTGATTCCTAGGGCTAATTCATCCAATCATCAATGACATGAATTATATTTGTAAATATTATTTAAATGTTGGAGGTGGGGGGGGGTTAAGTATTTTAAAAATATGATATGATGTTTTCATACTTAGAGACCACCTGGGCTTGTTTTAAACTATTTGTTTTTCGTAAAATGTTAATCTTCTTTAGTACTGGCTTCAAAAGTGTGAAGGTCTCTACCCAAAAAGCTGCACCATAGTCAGGCTCAAGGTAATGTTTTGGTATTTTTTCTGACATATAAAGTAATCCTAGGGTTCTGAACTTAACAATTTTTATAAGTCTCTAATCAAACTGTTGAAGGATATGTGTAATCCCGACAGCATGATCAGTAAACGAATTGTTTTTTTTTAAATTATAATAAATTATGTTCATATGAATTTCTTATGTTGAATAAGTTTCAAGTTTTAAAATAAAAAATTGTATTCAAATAATTATCATGGTTTAACATAAAACTGCATTAAGAAACATTGTAGTTATCAATAGAATACATTATTTTCAATTATAACTAAGTATGTATAAATAAGTTTTATTTTAAAGTTTAATTTCTCTATTGCTTGTATTAGATGTACCTTTCCAATACACTAACTAACTTAATTATACATGATTTAATTTTATTATTTTTAAATCTAAGCAAGTGCAAGTCATTGATCAGTGTGACCTCCAGCTACACATAAACCTTATACAGTCTTACACTGATGCAAATGAATGGGAAAAAGCATATGATATGGCCCTAAGCATTAACAATGATGCAAGATTTCAAGATGAGCTGAGTTGGTTTAAGTGTTTGCAAACTCTTTTTATGGTGAGTTCCAAATTATTTAAAATAAATACACACAGGGGGAAAAATATATATACATATATATATAGGTATTTATAAATACATATAAAATTATATATATATATATATATACATATATATATATATATATATATATATATATATATATATATATATATATATATATATATATATATATATATATATATATATATATATATATATATATATATATATATATATATATATATATATGTATATATATATATATATATTTATAAGTACATATATAATTCTTTTTGCCCTTAGTTTACATATATATTTATATAATTTTTTGTTAGATGGTCAAATTGTCTTATGCATATAAATAAATCTTAATTTCACCACATGTTTCCCTATAGGAGTATGGTGATCTTTGGTCTGTACGCTATTGTACAAGAGTCCAAGTCTCAGCTATTTTTTCTGGCTGGATCATTGCTACTCAAGAAAGCTCAGATGGTAAATTTAATTGAACAATAACTTTAAATTTTAAGGTGTATTGGTAAAAGCCCTAATTGACACTTTTGGTGTCAGCTCACAAACCCCCTGAACATAAACCCCATGTACACAACACCCTGAACATAAACCCCATGTACACAACACCCTGAACATAAACCCCATGTACACAACACCCTGAACTTAAACCCCATGTACACAACACCCTGAACATAAACCTCATGTACACAACACCCTGAACATAAACCTCATGTACACAACACCCTGAACATAAACCCCATGTACACAACACCCTGAACATAAACCCCATGTACACAACACCCTGAACATAAACCTCATGTACACAACACCCTGAACATAAACCTCATGTACACAACACCCTGAACATAAACCTCATGTACACAACACCCTGAACATAAACCCCATGTACACAACACCCTGAACTTAAACCCCATGTACACAACACCCTGAACATAAACCTCATGTACACAACACCCTGAACATAAACCTCATGTACACAACACCCTGAACTTAAACCCCATGTACACAACACCCTGGACATAAACCTCATGTACACAACACCCTGAACATAGACCCCTTTGACAATAACCCCCCTTGCCCCCCTCCCCACCACCACACATACACAATTGAAGTTTGTCCTGAGAGTTTATATAAGGAAGTCTATGACAGAAGCAGAATCTTATTGACTAACTAAATTAATCTCTCAATAAGTATTGAAGGAGACATATATATTTCTTGTCTGAGATTTATACTAGGGATGTTCATGAAAATTATCAATACATTTGTGCAACAGTCATAAAAAAAAAGAAAATTTATTTATGTCAGATGTATGCTAATCAATATTAAAAGGATAACCACTATACTTAAATTTTCTAAACAGTTTTTGATTCCTTGGGAGGATGCTAAAAAGTTTTCTGGTGCCTGTTTCCTGGCAAGTCTAAGTTTTGACCCAATTCTACCTGAGAGTACATGGATCAGGGAAAGAAAGTTATACAAGTGGTGGGGCATGCAAAGCTATCACCGATATTCACAAGTTGGTATGTTGATAATTTTATTTGACTGTGGAATATGAACATTTAGTAGAAAATCTTATTTTACAAATTTTTACACTACACTGAAAGTGATATCAGAAAAAGATATCTTCATAAATAGTATGCAAGAGCTTTAGAGAAATATTACATTTAAAATCAAATCTTTATTGACTTTTATTTAAATGTATTGCCTTGGCATTATTTGTTAACAGACACATATAAGAAACAAATAATATTTCAAATTAGTTAAACTCCTTTTAGTTAATCTAGAAGAAAAATACATATCACTAAAGATGTCTAGTTAGAATTTAGACTATGTTTAATTTGTTCAAGACCATTCAATTTTTCTCTGCTAATTCTCATTTTTTTTTAAAGTACCAATAATTATAATTGTATTGTTTATTAGGCCATGTACTATACAAGCTGGCAAATGGAAATATTTTAGACTGGAGTAAAAGCATCAAAAGGCAAATAATGACAGTGGAAGGCCACAAAAATGTCTGTAGAGTTCTGTATGGAAATTACAATGAAGCTCTTGTGGAGGTTTCATTTTTTTGCAAGGCCAGAGAAATGTTTGAAAGTTCCAGTCTCTCACAGCCAATAACCCTAAGTTGTCTTCTGAAAGTTGATACAGGTAAAGATTTCCAGTAAAGAATAAATTCCTGTTGAAAACATGTGCATTTTTTTTTTTAATTATGATTAAAATGCACATTTATTCTATCCAACCTGTAGATACTTAAGGTATTATTTTAATGGGTAGAATCTCAATTTTCTAAAAACCTAAATTGGACAAAAAAAAGCAAACAATTGTTTATTCTGTGTTGATAAATTGGAATAAATCTATCAAATACTATCTAAAAGAGTTTGGAATATTTTTCAAATGTTATGTATGGTGACCACTAAAAATGTTTTTCAAATATAGGCCTATATACATTTAAAAAGAAAATTCTTTATTGATGCCATTTCATAACTGTTTCAGTGGCTTTTAAGCTGAACATAAAAAATCTTCAATGCCTTGTATGGCTTTGTCTTCAGTACTACACACCAGACATGCATGTGCAGCCCAACTGTAAGTTAATTTTTTTGCCTAAAAAATAATTAAATATCTGCTTGTTTATACATATATGTAGGTCTATATGTATTCATTGGGATTATAAAAAGAATTGTTAATTAAATAAAAATGTATTGTCTCTATTTAACAGCTACTGTGTCTTATTATTTATGCAAAGTATAAAGTGTAAAAAATATTTAAATAAGATTGCATTGAAACAGAAGATTTTTTATTTTAAGTAAGTTTTGAAAAGATTATTGTTTTGTATGCATCAAGCAGACAACCAAGCATACCTCTCTTCTTTGTGCAGCCTAAATATATTCTGTTTACAAAAAAAAATTTTCATTTTACTTGTTACCTTTACAGATCCATTTTTTCTCATTGAAAATATACCTTTTGGTATAAACATTGAAAATGGTGTGATGGACTCATTGTGTCAAATGGATATTTTGGTAAATATTAAACAAAAGTATAGCAGATAAAGGTTTAAGAGATCAGAGACTAATTTTTCCAGAGATTTTTTATTAAAAACATCAAAATATTTTTATATTAAATGGCTTTATAATATTTTATAACTTGACAATATAAAAGTATGAATAACTTTTATCTATAGTTCATTATTAACAAATAGCCTTCTGTTTACTAAAAGATGTAGATTTCTGCCCATTGTTATTTTTACAATAAATGTTTCAGGTTTTCTTGATGGCAACTGTTCAATGCACAGCCAGTAGAATCAAATGTACAGACTATCCAAATGAAGAAACAAGAATTGTGCACAGCTTTCTTTTTCCTGTTTGTCTTAAACAACAATTGTGTACAGATGACCAGGCTAAATGGTGGTCAGCAGCTTATCAATTCTTCACTAACTCATTCAAGTAGGAAGATTTTTCTCATACCTTATTATTATTTTTTTTAAATAATGTTTAAAATATAGTCTAAAAGCAATATTGGTTTTTATTTTATTTAAGTTTTAAGCAGACTAGCCTAAGATGTACTCTTGTTTTTGGCTTGGAGACTGTAAGACTTGTTGGTATTCATGGAATGTCTTTGCAGCTTTTGGTCCATATTGCCAAATCTCTGAATGAAAAGGTAATTTCTTTAAAGTTTTTTTAACTTTATCTACATTTTTTTTACCAGCCTATTAAAAGCTACATAGAAAAAACAGAATTGTATTGTTCCATTAAATTAATCTTAGCTTATTATTAAACAAGTTACAACATATTGTAAGAATAAAATAGATTACCCAATGTTTAAGAAATAAATATTTTTTTCTGAGATTAGGACATTTTGTTAAATTGAAATAAGAAATTGTCAACTGAACCTGTACTTAGAATTATGGATTATTATTTTAAGTATTTATGCTGACAAATTGAGTACATTGACTAATTTTTAACTATTGGCAGCTGAAAGACTTACAAAAATGCACCACAATTCGTCAGAGCACTGCCAGTGAACTTAAACCACTTGAAAATAGGGTTACAAGTTTTTGGAATCATGCCAGATTTGTAATTGAAAAAATACAAAGGTATAGCTTTAATAATTTTAGCAGCTGTTTTATTTTCTATCCAGCTTGTGTTATTGAAATAAGATGTTCAAACAATTTTGTTCAAGTTCGAATAAAAGTATTTTTTTTTACAAATTTGGTGAAAATAACTTATTTTCCCAAAACTGAAAATGAGTTAGTCCTTGCACTGTTAAAAATTGTCTGGATTACCTATGCATTCCAAAATTTAATTTTTAATTTTGCACTAAAGAGAACAATCATTTAGATCACAACACTAGGTGCCATCAGGTTTACATAAGAACTTTAAACAGGTAAATAACCTGCTCTTGCGAACAAGTCATCACTTGCTATGCTCAGTCACTGATTGATGAACACACACTATAAAACACACTCAATGGACATAACTGTAATATAAAGGATGTTATAACCAATACAAAATAAATAACATTAACTTATAAGACATAACGCAAAAGTATTTAATTTAATACATTGTTAGATCAGTTTAAGTGGATTTTTTTTATGAATGTTTATTTTATTCATTTCTTTTAATTAGAGAAAACAAGTATGAGCTCCCACCAACCAGACTGTTTCAAGAGCCAAGAGACACAGAGTTCACCCTAGACAGCTTTAACCATTTGAAATCTGAAGTTATTTTTGCTATGTCTCTGATTGCAATGAATAAATCAGAATACAGTAGAGCTGTTGATGGTTTTAGGCAAATAAACACTCCTGAATCTAAGCTAAACATGGCCAAGGTTTGAAATATGCACTTAATTTTTTTTACTTTTAATATTAATGTGAGAATAAAATATTTTAAAAATAATAATATGATGTTTTTCATCCTTAAAAATAAAAATCATTTGGTCTGCTACGTACCAATTAAATTTTGTATTGTGACCAAATTTATATTTGTAAATGTTAGTTTTAAGCCTACATAATAATATATTTCAGATTTTTAGTTGCCTTTACAAATGATTTACAATCACCCGCACATTTCATGAAGGCTTGATTAATGTTTAGTAACAGTAATTATTTATAATTTTTCGTAAATCCTGTTTAGACTCTTAGATTTTGGGCAGAGAAAGAAATAACCAACAAGGAGAATTATGAAGAAGGACTGGTTAAAAGAGAAGATATGCTTCTAGAAGGAAGAAATATTCTTTATAACTTATTGGATGAAATTAATATTGACTCAAGTGACAAAGTAAGATGTACAATTTTTCCATAATGCATTGTGTAACCAATTTAATCATGAATAATTTTATTCTTAACAATTCAAATGTAACATTATAATAAAATATTGTACATGACTATTTTGTTTTTATTCTCTAATTTCTTTTAATTTTTAAAAAATACAGTTAATAGATCAATACACAGCATAATATGAATTAAATTAAATAACAAAAGTAAAACAACTGACTTTTTAAATACTTTGTGTTTTATAATAAAAATTTAATTGGAGCCTAGAACTTAGTAATTTGGTATTTTTTTTACAATATTCCTATTTTAATTCATGAAAAAGATAGTAGACTTTAGCATCTTCTTTTTTTAATACATGCACATATTGATTATGATCATTAGGATTTCAAGGAAGCTGTCATTAGTGAACTGAATGAAACTGAGCAAATTATTCATGCTAATCAGGAAGGTCAGTTCTTGTTTAAAACTATTCATCTTTAACTAAATTTAAACTGTACACGCAGAAATAAAACTGTTAATAGTTATCATAAAATGATTTTTCAGTCTCAACCTTCATGTTTTAAGTTTCTTTTAATTTAGTATTTTATATAATTTTTTATATAAAATACTTTTTTATATTTTTTGAAATACTGTATTGTGTGTAAGTTATTTATGCTGAAGTTTTAAAAACAGAAGAAGTAGGGTATTTATTTTTGTTAAATAGCGGATTGAAACTTCATGTACTTTCCTCAACTCATGTCACTTACCCACCAGAGCAGGGCATCTAATACATCCTCTTTACTAGACACTGAATAGATAAATTAAGGCTTTACTCGTTGATTCCTTTCCTACCATCAAACTTTGTATTAATTTATTTTTACTATTACAGATGACAAGTCAGAGTGTAGTTATTATAGCTGCTCTTCAACCTCCCATCAGCCTGAGGCTAGAGGCAACAGAGTGCACAGTGCCAGACGAAATCCAAATTCTGTTTTTAAAACTCACTCTAATATTGGGCGAGAACAGGTAATAAATAACTTTAAGAACTATATGTGTTTAACAAAAGTAATATTAAGCCAAATATGCTGAAGATAAATTTCAAGTTTTTTGCTCGGTTTTTTTGAAGAGTAAATTTCTAATATAATTAACCTAAAACTGCTGGATTTTTTTAAAAATTTTTTAAGTTTTTAGAATAAATGTTAATATCTTTTTGGAAATCATGTTATGGTTCTCTAAAAAGACAAATTAAATAGTACTAAGCTCTGAAGATAAATAAAGTTATGGAGATCACTTCCATCTTAAAGGTTATGACAAAGATTTTTTTTTAACTCAGGCAATTTCAGAAAACATATCAGTACAAAATTATGTAAAGCTTTTTTTATTAATGTTTTTTTTTCTGTTTTATTTTATTTTATTTAAATTATCCTATACATCTTCTTAATTATTATATTTTATTTATTAAATTAAACTTGTACAGAACATGCATGTCCAGCCTGGTGATGATGAGGACAGTCAAAGTGCTGTAATTCTAAGGTCACAACGTTCACAAAGGCACTACCAGCACCAGGATGCCCTAAGCAGAGATTTAGCCAATGGTGGTGATACTGGGCTTAACCATGACATGGTGTTGAAGGTGTATGACTCTCTCATAGAAAACACCAAACAAATGGCTGAGCAAGTGTGTGAAAGTTCAAGACTGCTACGTATTGTTGTTGAGCAAAATATCGAATCTTCAACAATTTTCAGGGTAGGTTTAGTCACAAAATTATTTTATTTATTTAATGAGGAAAAGCTGCTTATAATAACTGTTAAGCCCATTTACATTTGTAATTAGCGTAAGTTACCCTATGTACCTGGAAGTCATTGAGCAGAAGAAGTAAAGTTCATTTGTTTTTGTGACCTTGGCATATGAAGAGATAGTGTGGTTAGCACTATACCCAGCCATATTTCCTTCCCTTACTAAGTCAGGTACCCATCAGAGTTGGGTGGACTCAGGGATGATCTACGGATTAAGGCAAGGGACCCAAACTCTTCAGGGTTAGCATCTGCACGTTCTACCATATAACCATACCATCCCATGTAGTTAGCCTAGTTTAAGCCAATTGATCTGGTTTTTCATGAAAAATAAAATAAAATCTGATTTCCCACATGAACCTTCATCTGATAAGTTCCAGACACAATGTACCTGAAGTAGAAGATCGCTTAAAATGTTTACTGTTTACTTACAGAGGCGTAGCTAGGGGGGTGCGGGGGGGGGCGGCCGCCCCGGGCGCCGACCCTATGGGGGCGCCAAAAGGGGTGGGAAAATTTTTTTAAAGCTGATTTTATGCTGCAGTTTTGAATTATAAACTGTCTAAGTTAAGAAATGTAATGGCTACACGCATTTACATACTGATTTAACTGTTTTCTATCTTGATTTCTTAATGTAAAACATATACTCTTAAGAAACAGTGACCGGCAAAACCGCTTTGAAGCTTATCCTAGATGGGGGGGGGGGCGCTTTTTCGAGACTTAAAACGGAAGAATTTACACTAGATTGTTGAGTCGATAAACGTTACCACTATTAAAAGAAACCAATTGTATTAAAACGTATTGTACGATTGTTGAACTGTAAAATACGTTAGTGACTTTTATCAAGATGGTGCAGGGGGGCGCTTTTAGGCTAAATAAAATAGCAAAATTACACAGGATTCTGAGTAAACAACCTTTAGCTCTCAGAAAGAAACGAATTGTACTGTGCATTGTATAATTGTGTAACATTTTTTTTTTAAAAAGTTAGTTACGTTAAAAACCGCTCTACAAACTTTGTCCAAGATGGTTGTGATGAGTGTGTGTGGGGGTGGGGGGGGGGGGCGCTTTTTTCGCTAACAAAAATCGTAAGTATTTGTACTGGATTGGTGAGTAGATAACTCTCTTAACACTTAGTAAAGAAACCAAGTGTATTAACGCGTAATGTACAATTTCAATAGCCAGTTTTGTTAAAAAAAAGACGCGACTAGTTCTTTGTAAGATTCTTACGATTCTCTCAACTTCAACGTGAGAGATCAGATACTTTTGATCAGTGTTTCTTCCAGACTTTTTTCTCCGGGGGGGGGGGGGGGGCACTTGAAATCTTCGGGGGGGAGGGGGGAGGCGGTAAACTTTCTTCGGGGGGGGGCGGACACTGTTAAAAGTATATATTTTCTATATATAAATTATATAAATTTCATTTCGTTCGGGGGGGGCGTAAAAAATTTTTCCGGGGGGCTTCGCCCCCCCCCCCCCCCCCCGAAAAGATGCCTGGAAGAAACTGTGTGCGAGAAGGCAGGGCAAATCTGCGAAATCCAAGACAACGAGCTGTTAACATCCGTTGGATTCCAGTTTGTTTTCTCTAGCTTGTTTTGTCATACCATCAACCAATCAACGAAATACCCATGTCGTATTCCAATGTGAACAATAAATATTTCTGATAACTTCTTCTTGTATGTCACTTGTGTGTCCTTACTCTAACAAACTTCGAATCCAACTATGTACCATATCACAACAGAGATCGTTCAAAACTAGAACATAAAAGGTTGGTCTAAACATATTAGCGTTAGCTACAAACTACCCTCTAACACAGATCAGGCTTATTTTTTTTAACTGACATTACTAATCTTTCGCAAAAAAAGTTAAACGCATCTTAATGGGAATTAGATTGTCGTAAAGTTTTAAGGAATGAAAATCATACAATGTAATTATTAAACCTTGTCCGGACTGTAGCATACACGCTTACACACACGCTTACACACACAAATACACTCTTACCCACACACAAGCTTATATATAAACACACTATCACACACACATAATTATACACACACACACACACACACACACACACACACATATATATATATATATATATATATATATATATATATATATATATATATATATATATATATATATATATATATATGTATGTATATATATATATATATATATATATATATATATATATATATATATATATATATATATATATGTATATATATATATATATATATATATATATATATATATATATATATATATAAATAAGCGGGGGGGGGGCGCCAAATTGAAAGTTCGCCCCGGGTGCCGGGAAGGGTCGCTACGCCTCTGTTTACTTATTCTCTCATATTGCATGAATTTACAAAAAAGAATAGCTCTAATAAGCTGTTGATAGATTACTCATAGTCATTTAATTATTTGTCTATTTTAATGATTCTTTAAGCTTCTCTCCTAATTAGAAGAAAAATAGAAAATTTTATTTAAAATATGAATTAGTGTCTTTAAAGTTTAAACGAAAAAATTAAAACTTTATTTAAATTACATGCTTTTGCACATATCAAGGCTAACATTTAACATAAGATTTTTCTCCTATATTTAGGAGTTATTGCAGGAGAACAAGTCAATTCTTCATGAGTTAAAGGTAAATTGTTATTTTGTAAACATATTAATCACTGGTATCAATAGTCTAATTCTAATGGAGTTTTACCAATAGTCTAATTCTAATGTAGTTTTACCAATAGTCTAATTCCAATGTACTTTTACCAATAGTCTAATTTTAAAATAGTAGTAACATCAATAGTCTAACTCTAATTATAATGTGTAAATAGTATTAGCTTTGCTTTTTTTGTGTTCAAAGATGAAAGGTTTTTTGAATGAATAATTCACTTAATTTTGTTCAGCAACTTTTCTATATTTTTTAATAGGCTGAAGTATCTGATTTGAAGTCCAAATTTTCATCGCCTCAACTTCCATATGCCTCAAGTCAAAATCAATCCCAAATGTTTGAATCACTTGATGAAGTAGACAGCAATCAACAAGGGGCTAACATTAATTTGGGACAACCTAGAGGCCTAAGTACAAATGGACCACATGTTGTAACCCTTGATTACCCACAACCACTACAAATTAACCCATTATGGCAGTATCATAATACGAACCAAATTCAGCAAGGATATTCTCATCCCTACCCAAATCCTTACACAAGTGCAACAAATATCCATGGTCAGCCACCGTATCTAACTAACCCAAACACTCCTTGCCAGGTAAAGCACATTTTTAAAATAGTTTTTTAACACCATACTTTGTAACAATTTGTTGACACTAAATACCTTTTACCAATCACACAATGTTTAAATTTCCAACCATTGACTAGAATTGTGGTTTGAATAAGCCCACTCTAATGGTTTGATTGTTTTTTTCTTCACGATTTGTATTCTAATTCTGAAAAACATTTTTAAGTTGAAGTTTTATTAAAACAAATCAGCCTATTCACATAGAGAGAAAAAAGTATAGTGACATGTATTTCTTACTAGGTAATTTATATAACAGTCAATGCTTATGAATTAAAAAATATTATATACTTTAATTCATTCTTGTTAAATTATATTTATTTATTTTCTAGATAAGAACAGAAAACTCTATAGGACAAGCAGAAATGCTGACACCAGAATATGGAACAAAACTTGGTTTTGGCATTAACTTAACTCCAAGTCATGTGGCAACTAACCCTAACCCAACAGGACAAGCATCAGGACCAATACAAAATAAAACACTGTTGAATACCTCTACTTGTTTCCCAGCTGGAAATCAAAGTCAAGTAACGTTAGGACAAGGAATTTTTTCTACTCAACATGCTGAAACAGCCTTTACAGATCACATAGCCACCCCAGCTGTAACTCAAAGTCTAGCAACATCCTTCAAGGGACTAATATCACAACAAGAAAACTTTTCTAATGGTGTCCTCCTTGTAACTCAGCCATCAAAACATGGACAAAGTGCAGTATCTACTGGTGGAGCTACACTAAACAATACAAATTTGAGATCTATTGATGGAGCTACACTAAACAATACAAATTTGAGATCTACTGGTGGAGCTATACCAAACAATACAAATTTGAGATCTACTGATGAAGCTACACTAAACAATACAAATTTAAGATCTACTGATGGAGCTATACCAAACAATACAAATTTGAGATCTACTGATGGAGCTATACCAAACAATACAAATTTGAGATCTACTGATGGAGCTATACCAAACAATACAAATTTGAGATCTACTGATGGAGCTATACCAAACAATACAAATTTGAGATCTACTGATGCAGCTATACTAAACAATACAAATTTGAGTCCTACTGGTGGAGCTACACTAAACAATACAAATTTGAGTTCTACTGGTGGAGCTATACTAAACAATACAAATTTGAACCCAACTGTTAATCAAAGCCAGACATCAATTTTTTCTTTTGGTGCACAACCTGCTTCTGATCAAAAACACATCTCAACTCCACAGATAGGCACAGCAATGCCAACAAATACAAGAAAAGATGCAGTCCAGACTCAAGCAACAACCTTCAAATTCAGTACAGAACCAGGAGGCTTTTCTGCTCCATGTACTGATAGAGTTGCACCCCCAGCCAATACAAGTACCAGCACCACAGCAAATCAGCCCAGTGCTTTTTATTTTGGTTCAGGAAATATATCAAATTCACGACAAGTGGATACATCAACTACTAAAGTAACATCTCTAACTCAAGCCCCGTGCTTTACTTTTGGTGCAGGAATTACATCTCGACAAACTGCGACATCAACTAACGGGGCAAAATTAGACAACGCAATCTTTGGCACTAATGTAACTCCAAGCAAAGCAACATCCTCAAATATCAGTGCAGGGGCTACATCAGGACAAGAACAAACAGCGACACAAAATAAAAATGAACCATTGAATATGTCAAGTACCGGCACAGCTAAAACTCCGACAACAAACTTTAATTTTGGGGTAGGATTTAACACAGGACAATCTCAACATGCTGTGACACCTTCAAGTGTAAGCAACACAATAACTCAAAGCCCGGCTTCATCAGTTACACCTGGTGTAGTACCTGGTACAGCGCAGCACACCAACATCAACAACACAAATGTCAGCTCTGCTCTAACTCACCAGCAGTCTTCAATTTTTCAATTTGGTGCAGCCAAAGCTGCTGATAAAGGGCTCAATACAACAAAGGTTTTTGTCCAACAAATTTTAATTCATTTAATTCTATTTAAAGTTTTTAATAATTTTATTTGTGATTTTATGGGATGGAGTAGTCTAGAGGTAGAGAGCTAGACTACCGACCCGAATGTCTCGAGTTCGAATCTGGCTTCTAGTTACTAGAATGTCCTTGTCCACCCAGCTCTGATGGGTACCTAACTCACGTTATGGATACAAAGACGGCTGGGAATAGTGCTGACCACACTATCCCTTCATATGTCAAAGTCTCTGAAGCAGATAAACTCTACTTCATCTGTCTCGTGCGTTTTTGGCACGACAGGGAAAATATGATGATTATTTGTGATTTAATCTATAAAAATTTTACACTGTAGTAAATGCTAATAATTTTTTTAAAATCTAAACTTAGAGTATCATAGTAAGCTCAGTTATCATTTTACCATTCAAAATTTCAAACCTTGTTGTATAAAGTGCATTAGGTTAAATAATAATTTACTTATTTTGATCACAGCCAACTTCAACCAATGTAGCAGATGCAGCAAGTCAACAAAAACCTGGAGTGGAAACATCAAAAATTGGCACTAGCTCTACTGCTGCTACAACTCAAAGTATGTCACCTCAATCCAATAGCCAATCAACATCGAGTAATGCAGCAGCAAAGGCTAACAAAACTGTGCTTAAACCAGCTAGTTTTGACATTAACGTTTCACCTCCTGCTCAAGGTCCAACTGGCGATCTAAGAGACACAAAACCAGTACATTTAGTAGCAGCAGCTACCGACACTGTACAGAGAGAGAATTTAGTACCAGCCACTGCTAACAATATTCCTACTGTCGTGTCTCCAAAAAACATTGCAACTCAAGAAATAAACCAAAAACAAAACAACAGCCTTAGCACAGAGCAAAAGCAAAAAGCCAGTCCCGATACAGAACAAAAGCAAAAACTCAGCCCTAGTTCAGAAAAAATACAAAAATCCAGCCCTAATACTGAACAAAAGCAAAAAGTCAACCCTAGCTCAGAACAAAAGCAAAAAGCCAGCCCTAATACAGAACAAAATGTGCAATCATCTGCTGAAAGTACTGCAGATGGAGCTGAAACTCCCCAAATTGGTCCATCACCTGTGATGAACAAGGTGAGTGTTAACTCTAATTATATCTAAACCAACCTCGTAAGTTAATTAGCCATTAGTTATATAAAAATATAGTTGAAACTTATTCAAAAATTGCTCAAGTTTTGACACTTTAGCATGCATCAAGTTTTAACTTATGAACTTACTACAAATCTTCATCAATAAAAGGCATCACCTTTTAAAAAAAAACTATTTGAATACTTTTAAAAACGATATATTGATGATATGTTCATTTATCTTTATTTTGTTCTAGGGGATTAGTACTACCACAGACGCTAAGTTTCAATCACCACAGGTGGACAGCCAGAACATGAAAGTTACGGGTCATCAAGGAAACAGTAAAAGATCAGATGGTAATTCTCTAGATGAGCGTAAGAAGCAAATACCCATTGATGGGGTGAAAAATGTGAGCCCAGTCATACCAGTAAGCAGTTTATCTTCTAAAAAACAGCAAGAAGATGATCACGCTACAGGAGTTAAGTTGAACACAGAAAGTGGTGAGTTAGATGAAGGTGGTGAAACATTTAAAGAGAGAGAGGCCAAAAACAGGAAGGAGTCTATGCAAGTTGGCCAGATAATTTCAAACAAAGCTGCGCCAGATTCTGTAAGACTTTTGTCTGTTCATACATCTGATGAGGATGATATGAGTGATGAACACGAGATATCGTCTCAAGAAACTGGGCAAGGGTCACTACAGTTTGGTCATAGGGTTTTGTTTCGGGCTAAGCCAGATTCTGAAGTCTATTTGAAACCTTATAAAAACGAAACTCATGCAGACTCTACAGATACAGATTCAGATCAAACAGATAGTGATGAGCCTCAGCCAGATACTGACAGTGTGAGTCAAGTATCAGAAGATAAAACTATTACAGAGATGACTGATGAAAATGACCGCAAGATTGTAAATCAAGATGATGAATCAGGTACATTATCAAATGAAGATAGAATTATTGTTCACCCTGTTGTTACTGTTAAATCTATAATTTCTAATGAAAGTTTGACAACAAGAAATACTCAATCAACTTTACAACATCAAAGTAGACACGATGAACACAACGCTGAGGTTTATGATGAGGAACAAAATGGACACCCATCTTTTTATCATGATACAAGAGTTAAACATGTGCCAGGGCACATTTCAGCTCAACACACAGACACAATGACCTCAATAAACAGAACCAGTAGTGAATTGGATGATGATATCAGCAGTGAAACATCCAGTACACAGTGGAGTGAAGAGGCTAGCCAAAATTCATTTTATGTTGGCCAAAGACTTTCAAGCATTGCAATGCCAAATTCAGAAAGTAATTTGCTTTCTTGTGCATCAGAGGAAGATCAAAGTAGTGATAAAATGGAAAGATCCTCTCAAGACAGTGGGGAGAATGTACAACATGTTGGTCAAAGACTTTTGTTTCAGGCGAAGTCAGATTCTGAAGTTTATTTAAAACATAATAACAACATAAATCATCCAGACTCTACAGATACAGAGACAGATCAAACAGATAGTGATGAAACTCCGTCAGAAGATACAGATACAACTATTGAAGGGATGACTGATGAAAAAGGCTGCAATATTGTAAACCCAGATGATGAAACAGACCAAGTATCAAATAAAGATAGAATTATCATTCATCCTATAAACTCTACAGTTTCTAATGAAACTTTGACAACTAGGAATACTCACTTATCTTTACAATATCAAAGTAGACAAGCTGAAAACAACACTGATGGTTATGATGAGGAACAAAATGGACATCCAGCATCTCATTATGATACACGACCGAAATATGTACCTGGACATATCTCATCTCAAGACACAGACACAGTGACTCATGTAAACATAAGGAACAGTGGAATGAATGAGGATCCCAATACTGAAACATCTAGCGAACACTGGAGTGAAGAATCGAGTGACAAGTCATTTTGTATTGGCCAAAGACTTTCAAGCCAAGCGATGCCAAACTCAGAAAATAATTTGCTTTCTTGTGCATCAGATGAAGATAAAAAAGTAATGGAGAGATCATCGCAAGAAACTGGGCAAGGGTCACTACAGTCTGGTCAAAGGTTTTTGTTTCAGGCTAAGCCAGATTCTGAAGTTTATTTAAAACCTTACAACGAAAACCATGCAGACTCTACAGATTCAGATCAAACAGATAGTGATGAGCCTCAGCCAGATACTGACAGTAAAGACAATATGAGTCAAGTATCAGAAGATACAACTATTACAGAGATGACTGATGAAAATGACCGCAATATTGTAAATCAAGATGATGAATCAGATAAATTACCAAATAAAGATAGAGTTATTGTTCACCCTGTTAACTCTACAGTTTCTAATGAAGTTTTGACAACAAGAAATACTCAATCAACTTTACAACATCAAAGTAGACAAGATGAACACAGCGCTGATGGTTATGATAGCGAACAAGACAGATGCCCGCCCATTTGTCATGACACTAAACCTAAATTAGAACCAAAACGCATTTTTTTGCAACAATCTGACTCAACTCCACTAACAAAAACAAGCAGTAGTGAGACATCCAGTGACACATTGACAGACGACAGTGAGCAAGAATCACTTCAAGTTGGCAGAAAATTAGTGTTTCAAAATCAGTCAGGAAGTGGCGGGCCATCATCTCCTCACCTGGAGCAAAACTCATTAAGCCCTGTAGATTTCTGGCCGGCACAAGACAAGCAGGATGTCAATACAATGGACTATGACAGTGTGTCTTCAACAGATTCAACCATGACAGGGTTATCAGAAGAAAATAATCATCGAAAATTTTACACTGGAGAAGAAACAGAAACAATGGCTATAGGGGATAGAATTATTTTTTATTCTAAAGACTATATCCGTCCTGTTACCTTGGGACATTCTCGGTTGCCTAATCATGGTGAAACTCAAAACACAAGGCAGCTTTACCAAGGACTAGAACGCGCTCCTGTATCAGAATTGCCTAATCATCGTGAAACACTAAACACAAGAGAGCTTTATCAAGTATCAGAACGGGCACCTGTACATGAAAATGTATCTGTTGAATGCACTTGTACAATCGACCCCTCAAATAGAAGTAGTTGTTTTGATAACATCTCTGAAACATCTAGTGATTTGCTGTCTGAAGAGAGTGGTTCAGAGTCTATTCCCATTGGTCAAATATTTTCAAGCCAACCAATGCAGGACTCGGAAAGAAAATTGTTATCTTACAGCTCAGGTGACGATCTTTCCACGGTGAAAATAAATGATAGATTGAGTGAAAACAGAAGGGAGGAAATACTACGTGGTGATAAAAAGATTTTAATGGAGAGATTTGAAAGTGAAAGGTCATGTAGTGTAGGCCTGGAGCAGTCAGAGCGTGGCAGACATCTACCTTCATACAGAGATCAGGAAGAAAGTAGATCTATTTATCATAGGTCTGAGTGTGAAACTGCTGATGTAGCATTTAATAACCTGGGTTGGACAAAACAAAATTCTCAGACATCTCTGTGTAATACAGGTGAACAAGATGAATCCAGATCAGCTGATGATGAAATAGAATCCAGCAGTGAGGATGATAAAAGAGGGCAAACCAAGCATAAACAGGATAAAAGGAATCAAAAGCAAAGCTGGCGCAACTCAAATAATAATAATTATGAACAAAAAGGATCCAGCTTTGTGGATGGTGGATGTAGTTCTAAAAGGGATGGACATGAGCTAAAAGAACACAGGAATGATAAACAAAATGGAAACAGTACTGACGAAGATGAAAATAAACAAAAATCATACAGTGCTAATAAAGACAATAAAGAGCAAACAGAACACAGTAATAATGAACATGTTCAAGAGCAAGAATCACCCAGTGTTGATGGAGAGGAAAATGAGGAAAAGGAACAGATCTCCAAAACAAATGAAAATGAACAAACATCAGACAGTGCTAAAAAAGATGAAAATAAACAAATCAAACACAGCAATGAAGATGGTGAACATGAACAAAAAGAACATCATACAGGAGAAAATAAGAGTGAACAAAAATCACACAGCGCTGAGGATGATGATAATGAGCACACAAATTACAGCAATGAAGAAGATAAAAATGAAAAAATATCACACAGCACTAAAGATGAAAATGGACAGAAGGAACACAGTGCTGAAGAAGAAGAAAATGGACAAAACAAACACAGTGCTGAAGAAGATGAAATTGAACAAAAGGAACACAACACTGAAAATGAAAATGTTCAAAAGGAACACAGCACTAAAGATAAAAATGGACAAAAGGAACGTAGCACTGAAGATAAAAATGGACAAAAGAAACACAGTGCTGAAGTAGATGAAAATGGACAAAAGAAACACAGTGCTGATGAAAATGAAAATGGACAAAAGGAACACAGTGCTGAAGATAAAAATGAACAAAAGGAAAACAGTGCTGAAGAAGATGAAAATGGACAAAAGGAACACAGTGCTGAAGATGAAAATGAACAAAAGGAACACAGTGCTGAAGAAGATGAAAATGGACAAAAGGAACACAGTGCTGAAGAAGATGAAAATGGACAAAAGGAACAAAGTGCTGAAGAAGATGAAAATGTACAAAAAGAACACAGCACTGAAGAAGATGAAAATGAACAAAAGGAACACAGCAAAGAAGAAAATGCACAAAAGGAACACAGCAATGAAGAAGATAAAAATGGACAAAAGGAACACAGTGCTGAAGTAGATGAAAATGGACAAAAGAAACACAGTGCTGAAGAAGATGAAAATGGACAAAAGGAACACAGTGCTGAAGTAGATGAAAATGGACAAAAGGAACACAGTGCTGAAGAAGATGAAAATGGACAAAAGGAACACAGTGCTGAAGAAGATGAAAATGGACAAAAGGAACAAATTGCTGATGAAAATGAAAATGGACAAAAGGAACACAGTGCTGAAGATGAAAATGAACAAAAGGAACACAGTGCTGAAGAAGATGAAAATGGACAAAAGGAACACAGAAATGAAGAAGATGAAAATGGACAAAAAGAATACAGCACTGAAGAAGATGAAAATGGACAAAAGAAACACAGAAATGAAGAAGATGAAAATGGACAAAAGGAACACAGAAATGAAGATGAAAATGGACAAAAACAACACAGTGCTGAAGTAGATGAAAATGGACTAAAGGAACACAGTGCTGAAGAAGATGAAAATCAACAAAAGGAACACAGTGCTGAACAAGATGAAAATGGACAAAAGGAACACAGTGCTGAAGAAGATGAAAATGGACAAAAGGAACACAGTGCTGAAAAAGATGAAAATGTACTAAAGGAACACAGCACTGAAGAAGATGAAAATGGACAAAAAGAACACAGCACTGAAGAAGATGAAAATGAACAAAAGGAACACAGCAAAGAAGAAAATGCACAAAAGGAACACAGTAATGAAGAAGATGAAAATGGACAAAAGGAACACAGCACTGAAGAAGATGAAAATGGACAAAAGGAACACAGCACTGAAGAAGATAAAAATGGACTAAAGGAACGTATCAATGATGAAGGTGAAAATAAACAAATATCACACAGCCATGAAGAATATGAAAATAAACTAAAAACACTAATTGTTCAAGAAAATGAAAATGAACTTAAAGAACAGTGTATTGATAAAGATAAAAATGCACAAATATCAGATAGTGATGAAAAAGATAAAAATGACCAAATTGTACACAGTAGACCTACCACAAAATCTGAAAATGAACTAAAAGCAGCCAAAGATTATGAAAATGTACAAAAGGGAAACAGTACTGAGGATGATAAACAAAAAGCATCCACTACTGAAGAACATCAAGCTGATAAAAAAGACTCCAGTTATGAAAATAATGAAAATAAAGATACAACAGACACAACAGTTTCAGTACATAGTTTTCCAAAATCTGAGCACACAAACAAATCTGAATCAAGCTATAATGTGAGTCATCATGAAAATGAAAAGAAACCAAAAAATGCATCTTTGAAAGAAAGTTTTGGTGAAAATCAAGAAAAACAGCCAACTGAAGATGCAGTAAACAATGATTCAATTTGTGACACAGAAAAGTTCAGCAGCTCACAACAATCACATCTGGACAAAGAAATAATTAGAAATGATGAGACTCATGAACAATCAACAGTAGTAACAGACCAAGACAAATTAAGTATAGAACAGAATACAAGGGATCAAAACAGTGATGAAAAGCAACTTGGAAAGTCGCCAATAAACAGCCATTCCCAACATGCAACAGCATTGAAAAACAGCCAATCACAACAGAAAAAATTATCTCAAAATGCCCATTTAAAAAAGAAAAAAGAATCGCAAAACAGTTCTTCAAAACAAGGCGCAGATCTATCACAAAACAACCAATCACAACAATCCATGCAGGATGATCAATTGCAGCATCAGCATGACACCTTAGAACATGGTGCTTGTGATTTTCCTGGTGATGAAAATTTACCCTTTAAGAGACAAGTTACACTTTCTAAAAATAAGGAGGTAATTCAAACATATTATTACTTTTTAAATAATTATGTGGCTTTTATAACTATTTTTAAACTGCATCAAATTTCAAGAATTTATCATGAGAAAAAGTTTTTAAACATTATAAGTGTAGTAATGCAAATCTCAGACAACCGAAATTATTTCTGGATACTTTATGTTCAACATAATTAATGATAATACAGCTAGTTCAAGTAATGTTCATTGATATACTAACTTCCCGTTGGTTCTCTACAGTTTATTTTATTTTTACTTTTTCAAATGAGTTAACTTTTTCTAAAATAAAACCTTATGAAAAATAAATCAGCAATTATAAATAATACAAAATACAACTTTTATTATTAGATTCGAACAAAAAATAACTTTATTAACAAATGTTTTTTACAGGATTTTGGAAAGGTAGCTCTTACTTTAACTAAAGATGGTGTAAATTATGAACTGCGTTTTGATGGTGGAAAAATAAATACCATAAGAACAATTATTAAAAAAGGAGATATCACTAATTTGTAAGTATTTGATCAAGTGCAAAAAGAAAAATGATCTAAATGATATTTTCTATAAGATTATTCTTTTTATACATAGAATAGATTCTATAGGCAAACAAAACTATTCTTGCTAAATATCTATATGGAACTGACATCTGACATGAAAAATATTGAAAATGTGTTTAGTGTAAAAAATTATAATACAAAATTAATTTATCAAATAAATATATAATAAGAAAGAACATTCATTTGATATTTTGCAATTCAATCATTAAATAGTTTTAAATAGCTAAAGTAATAAAATACTTTTTTTCAGACAAACTAGAGGATCAACTTGTTCATGGGAAACTAGTTTTAATGATTCTGAAAAAGAAATGAAAATACATTTTTCTGTATGTTTTAATAATCCATCACCAGCCAGGATATTTTACAATCTTCTACAGAGGTGAGGAAAAATGTCTTTTTAGTGCTGTGCCATAAGTTTGAAATTGTTTAATGTTTCTTGTATGAGGTGTTTGGAAAAGCTGGATCCCCTGTCATTTTGCAGTATTTTCAAGATGTTATAGTCAACCCAATCCAATATTATGTACAAACATGATAATTTTAATATCAATTGGATGTCTATTTGGTAAAACTAACAGTTTAGAAATAAATTACTAACAAAATACTGATGTTGTCTAGTGACAGCTCAAAATAATTTTTAACTTATTTAAAACCTACAGAATAGAAAATAAAATTTCAAAAAGTTTATGTTTACTAATATCATAAAATAATCCAATAAACCTGGATACTAAATGACAATATTCTAAAAAATAGTATTATTATATAGAACAGAAATATGTGATAGGGTGGCATAGTAATATTAAAATCATATAATTTGATCTATTTTGTATTTTATTAACATCTTTTTATTTATTTTAAAGCTACTCCACTAATCAGCAGTAGACTTGATGAAATATACTTCGAGATACCCAAGTGCAGCATGTCGGAATTCAACCCCACTATTATTTATTTATATAGAAAATGTTGTTACCTTAACACCAGTCTTGTTCTGTTATGACTCTATAACATAAATTTCCATTATTTTGATGCTAGATGGAAGTGATTATTTAATTATTACATGCAACTCATTTAAACACCATATTTCATCAACATTGTTTTCTAATTGTATGTGTAGTAATGCCAATAGCTGACTCATTTTATATCAAATTTTAAACCTTAATATTAGATACACTAATGTTTCACCTGATGCAAAAAAAAGTAGGAATCTTATTTAGTGTTGAAATGAAAGCTACTGTCTTTTACTTTTTACATGTGTCATTGATATTTTATTTATTTATTGCATTTTTATTGCTTAATTTTTGATAAATGATATTTTAAACTTTTTCTTTTAATTTTAACTGCTTTTATTTCCATAGAAGGAATTAAAAGATGAAATAGTTTTGCATTTTGCAGGTGAAATGTACTCTTTTTATCCCATTGTATTTTTCAAAGGATTGTAGAAATAGTTATTGGTTTTTTAATGAAGCAATAGCCTTGTTAGCATCATACAATTTCATAAGTTAAAAACTTGGCTAAAATAATATATTTTTTTTTATAAAACTACTTTATATTATATTATATAAAATATTATAAATCATTATAAAATAAACGTGTGATTAAAAGTTATATTGTAAACTTTAAAAATTATTGACTTTATTTACAAAACTTAATGTTTTCAATACTCAATATTGTAAGAATTTTTCTCACATGTTTCAAAAAAAGATTTTGTAAATATATTTTGAAATTTATGTTTGTATTTGTCATTGTATGTAATACTAATTTTCAATTCTTTATTTCAAGTTATTAACAGATGACATACGATAAAATTAAAAATTATGTTCATGGAAGCATTTCAACCTTAAAATCAATCATTAAATCATGCAATGATGTATATGCAGTAGTGACCTCATCATATAAAGAGATATTGTGTTCAGTTTTTGCCCAGTCATCATAACTTCCCCTAACTATATATGTATATTAGTACGACTAAAATGGAGTTTTACCCTAGTGTTATTAGAGTTAAAACTAAAACTTATGAACTCATGACGATACACTAACAAGATTACAAACAAATATTGGAATTGTTTATTATAGATGTTATACTCTTAGAGTAAGGGGGCATCCATAAATGATGTCACGCTTTCCTTTGACGATTTTTACCCTCCCCTTCCCTCCGTCACACATCGTCACAAAAAGCCAGACCCCCTAAAAATGAAGTCACACCTTAGCCTACAAAATTGCAGTTGAATTTTTCTTAAAACATCGATATTTTTCCAAAATCTTGTCTGAACTCTGTCACAATTATAATTTATTAAAACAGTTTTCTAAAACGCGAAATAACGGATAAAACTTGTTTTCTAACATTGCTTTTTAATAATGCAAATGTGTGACGTCACACCATCTGAACCCCCTCCCCCTCATCACACACCGTCAGAAAATTACTGACCCCCCCCCCCCCTACGAGTGTGATGGACGACCAGTGTTTCTTCCAGACTTTTTTCTCCGGGGGGAGGGGGCACTTGAAATTTTCGGGGGGGGGGTAGACTTTCTTTGGGGGACGGACACTGTTAAAAGTATATATTTTCTATATAAGTTATATAAATTTCATTTCGTTCGGGGGGCGGTAAAAAACTTTCGGGGGGGGGGGCGGGGCTTGGGCCCCCCCCCCCCCCCCCGAAGAGGTGCCTGGAAGAAACTCTGTGGACGACCCCTAAGTTAAGGAAGGCCTTTAGTGCCAATCTGCAACGAGGTGAGAGGGTAAAGAAAGATGACTTACTAAATTGAATTTGACAAGAACTTTCGTATTTTTAAACTTTTGCTAATTGTTGTAAAAATTAAACAATATGCCTAATCTTCACATATTTTAATAATACTTCATTAAGGTAACCAAAAGATATTTATTTATTTTGAAAAAAAAAACAAATTGCAATGACTGTTCGTAGGGATCGCGGGTGAAATTTAGGACAACATACTAGCCAACATACAGTAGGCCTACAGATCAAGCCCAAAACAAATGATTATTATAAACATTCAAATTCTAATATTTGCTTCAAATATTTTAAATTGTACATTTTCAGTGTATTTATTTTAATAGTTAACTCAAAGCCAAGTTTTATTATGTAGAAGTCGATGTGTCTGTTTGAGCAGCTTTTTTCAAACGCTGTCTCTCTTCTCTTGCCGTCTGCAGCCTCCTGGCCAATGGCACTGACAGGAGAAGACCACTCCCAATTATATTTAGCACACCAACATACTGAAAGGTCGCCACGAAGTTTCCGGTGTATGCAATCAAAGCACCTGAAAAATTCAGTTGCAAGAAAATATTGTTTATAGGCCTACACGTGTAGACAATAAAATTTTATAAAATGAATTATATTGGTTGACGATGCAAAACTATCTCGCGAGTGCTATTAATACTTATAGAATGCGCTACTTTTACTATTACTGATGTCTAATAAAGACATTAATATTTTTAGTTGACACTTGGGACGTCCATAAATAACATCTCACTCCCAGGGAAGTGGGTTTGGACTTGTGTGAAGAGAAAGTATGACATCACATTTTTTTTAAACAGTTTTAAAATGAATTTTTGCATTTATGTTCCAGCATTTTTTAAATTATCCTAGAAAATTATTAAATTTTTACTGACTCAGCTCAGTTAATGTTTGAAAACTTATAAAATAACTGTAACAAAATACAAAGATTGCAATTCATGGATATCGACTAGTCTGTAGTGTGGCATCATTATATATATGGAGCCTCCTTTTGTGCTCACCAGTGATTATGGGAGTGGGTTGTAAAATTCACCCAAAAGTGTGACGTCATTTGTGAATTACTATCATAGGTTTTAAAGCGAAATGAAACAGTAAGAACACTATGTCTGAAACATTTTTTTTTTACCATTCTTGCTTATTTTTTTTAATTTCAAAAATAGACTTATTATTAATTATTTCTTTTGAAAATTTAACTAACAATACTAAATGTATAACTGTTAAAGAAATCTCAATTTTTAAATTAAGGGAGAAATGTGCATAATGTAAAAAAATATATTCGACGCCGGTTTTCATCTTACTTATCCAACCATTTTACACAGCGTATAGGCTATTTTTTGGAGGGGGGGGGGGGTCATTAGCGGTTGTGTAACATCATTCTAATTAGCAAATAACTAAAAAAAAATTAAAAATACTTTAAATATATGTGCACGATCCCTTAGAATACTTAAAAATATATTTACCCTGGATAGGATGCTGAATAGTGAGTGAAATGCTCAAACAGAAACTGCACATGGCTAGAACTTTGGCTAAATGTTTTATTCCCATGACATCAACAATCAAAATGGAGTCTAAGTTTGAGTTTATACTGGAAAAAAATCCTTGCATGGCGGCAAAGAAAATGAGCAGTTCAAATTCTTTGAAAAAAGAAATAAACTGACTAATTATTCCTAGTGAAAACGTTGTTACAGCCAAAATTTGATTTGGTTTTACGATTTTCAGATCCGCAAAAATACCGGAACTGATTCTTCCAAACATATCCGCGGCACCAACGATGGTAAGAAGATAAGCTGCCTTTTGTGGAGTCACGCCCGCCTGAATTGCCAGAGATGGTATGTACATGATGGAGAGAATACAAGCATTACAACAAATATAGATAATAAATAGGAGTATACACAGGTAGTTTTTGATGATGGAAACATCAATGATTATCCGTAGCCACGAGCAACTGTATTTTTTGTGACTCTTTTGAAGTTCAGTCTCAGTCGTCTGATCGTCTGCTAGAGACGACGCTCTGGAACTCCAAGTACCGTGAGGGAGACGTTTTATAGGAAGTTCAACCAGTTCTCGGTTTGATATTTTTATTTTGTTTGAATTATTTTGCGAATTCCATTTTTTAACCAAACAACTGTTGTGGCTACGTATTTGTAAGTTTGAATTTTCACTTGACAAGAAAACACGTTTGTTTTCTGTATTTAGATTATCAAACGTGTGCTCTTCAGAAATTACTTCTTGCTTCGCTTTGGTGTTGTCTGTTTGGGGTGAAATTTTATACAGCGTCAACTCAACACGTGGCTCTAAAATGGAATCGTTGTGCTTTGGAGAAAGTGACGCATGTATTGGCGGTGGTGTGTATATTTCTTTAACATTCAGAACTTCTTCTGTGCAAACAACGTTTTTATTTTCAGAGATTGAGATTACTGTACTACTATTGTGAGATGTTTCATTTACTTCTGTTTTCATTACACATGAATCGTAATTGGTGTTAGAATTTCCCGATTCATTAGGTCGACAGCCCAGCTTTTCTTTCTCAATCTCGAATGGTGCAACATCTGTTTTTAACATATCTGAACATTCACTTACTTCTATATGTTTACTATCAACATAGGTTTGAGGCTGTATTTTTGGGACTTCGCTGATATACCCCGGCCTATCAAACTTTGTTTCAATCACCGAAGGTGTCAATGGTTGTAAAGCACTATCTTTTGGTTGGTCGATTATTTTCATTTCATAATCACCTTTACAATCAGGCGGAAGAATAACACTTGGGCACGTCAATACGGGGTGAGAATATAATTTTTTCTTAAAAATTTGGTCCGCTGTTTTTATGTGAGTAATTTGTTCGCATTCCAACAAGATCGAGGAATCTTGTGTTTTTATGCTGTTCTCTGTTTGTTGAGTATTTTCTGAGTTTTCAGTATCTTGACAAGATAACGGAAGTAAAATTTGTTTTTCTTGTGGCGTGCTCTGTTCGGAAATTACAATTTTCTTTTTCCGGTAACTGCTCAGAGGTCTAAGAAGAAGGGTTGCCAGGATACCATGCATCTGAGGACCAAAATATCGAATACATATTTTAACATTCACTTCTAATTATGATATGCAAGTCTTAGTTGGTAACGCTGTTAACAAATTGAAATAACTCTTTCGGAAAATAGTATCGTATTTTTTTTTTGTCAGTATGGCTGTAAGGGTTAAGTATACGTTTTGGATGTGGAACAGTACTGGAAACAGGTGTTAACATATTGATAGACCGTCTGACAAGAATAGTTTTAGTGTGTATGAACGACATAGAATTTATTTATATACTTTTACCAGTGTCTACCAGTGCCCCCCCCCCCCCCCCCTCCGAAAATTTCAGGTGACTCCCCAGAGAGAAAAAAAAGTCTGAGATAAACACTTTTTAAAGACATATTTGTCTACGCCAGGGGTCTCCAAACTTTTCAGTCCGAGGGCCGCATTAACTATCAAATTTCAGTTCGGGGGCCAGTTTCTTCCAGGCATGTCTTTGATTTTTCTGAGCAAAGTTCCTCAGCCATCACCAACAAACGTTTTTTTCGTGGACAAAAAGATCTCCGCGGGCCGGACGAGAGGACCTCGCGGGCCGCATCCGGCCCGCGGGCCGTAGTTTGGAGACCCCTGGTCTACGCGAATTAGAAAACATTTTTATAAGCTTTTATTCATTTTATAATGTTTCATGAGACAATCTATATTCGACGAGTTAGATATTATATTTGTTTCTGCAAAAGTACCGTAAACTTGGCCCTTAACCTACACTATAATATTTTCAACCGATGAATCACCATAGAACTTACGGGTCATAGGTAGGTCGGGTTAGAATAGTCTAGACGTCAGTTGTAAATAAATAAAACTGAATAAAACAACTAAAGTGTGTAGCATTCTGTTGAATTAAATTAAAGGCACACTTAACAGCAGTAAAAATGTATTAGTATTCTTCAATATCCTACCGGCGTTTAAGCACCAAAGAAAATTTTTCAATGTACTAACCTCAAGGCCGGCTATCAACAAGAAGCTCCCACGGAACCCGTAGTTCTCCCGCAGATAACGCACCAAGGGAGGGACAGCTACGATGCCGAGACTGCCCCCAGTGAGACCAAAAGCAATAGCTAGAGCTCTCCGTCGTTTGAAGTAGAATCCAATCAATGTTATTGTAGCAATTAGAGTCAGTCCCTTTGCTATACCTGTAATGTTATTGTTAAGTAGCGTAAAAAAATTGCAATAAATTCATCTTTAGAAACGACTGCGGTATTAGGCCTTTGTTACATCCTTAATTTTAACGTTCGTGTAAATTCACATGCTGTAACATTTCTTTTTGGGTATTTACTTTTAATGCTAGCTACTATTACAGAAACATAGTTCAACAACTTAAATCCTATCACTAATCTTAACCTAAACATCAACTAGCACTGACCAAATTCTAGACGATATCCATAAGCCTAGTCCTGACTATAACGCTTACCAAAAACGTTTAAATAATAATTAGGTTAATCATAACCTGTGCAGGAACAAATATGACTTAGCAAAGATGGGAATGTGTTTACACATCGGCACCATTTCTATACAACAAATTCTATATAAGTAGAAAGTCAATAAGCTCAACAAACAACCATTATATCACACTATTTAGATAATTTCAACTTCAAAATTTCCAATGCTAAAATAGAAAACATTATTATGTTCTTTATCTCACCCTGCGTACCTTGCAAAACGTAAAGTGCTAAACATTATCCATATCTGGCTAATATTAGAAAAAAAACGTTAAGAACCTTTCGGCCAAGATATTGATTGTGTGTGAGGGACATTGCTAAGAAAAGCTGACCACTTACTTTTGATAAAGTGTGCGATTAAAAACGAGGTCAAATTTTGGCTGACGACAAAGAAGAGCGACGCCCCGACGTTGAGAACAGCGGCGCATGTTTCCACGCATCTATTTGAGAAGTGGAGTAGAAAGAAATTGGCCGAGAGTTGAGCTGTTGAAAAACAAATGCACTATGTACAATTCAAACATTATTTGCTTTTGTGTTTACTGCAAGTAGGAGAAGGGGGATTTCAGAAAGTGCGATGTCACATTTTTGCATTTTTAAAACTAATGTATGAAACTGAATTTTAGCCGTTATTCCGCATAATTAAAAGAATTTGAAACTTGTGATCGACTTTGATAAATGTACTAAATGTTGACCAAGATCAGAAAATGTTTTTAAAAGAAAAACACGAAAACTGTCATTTTAAGCGGGGGGGGGGGGCGGCGGGTGTGTAGGCTTAGACGTGAGGGTTGCGGTCTGAGTTATCCTGATGATGCGAAAGAAGTTGGGGGGGTGAAAATTGCCTAAAAGCATTACATCATTTATGGATGAAAATTTAGTCGTCGCCCCCCCCCCCCCCCCCCGAAAGTTTCAATTGTCCACCCGGAGATAAAAGTCTGAAAGAAACACTGCGTGCAAGTGTCTCTAGCCTGGCTCGAATCAATCTAACCCTAGCGTGACGATGACCTTAATCCTGACCTTTTATCCATTATCCTAATCCAAACCTGGTTTTAAAAACAGTAACAGCAGAAAAACTCCTTACAATATAATACACATTATGTTTCTTATGTGCTAATTTAAGGAATCATTTTAATATGAACGTATAAGAATTGTTGAAGCTCAATGGACACCAGCGAGAAAAGTCTCAAAGGTATTTGAGAGGTCCATAAATTACTTTAAAAATCATGCACAGCGTAGTTACAATTAATATGGTTATAAAATCTTGCCTGTCTGGTTTTTTTTTTGGACTTTACTGAAGATTGGATGTATTTGATGTTTTTAATATTTTCGGTAACTAAATAAAAAATTTAAAAAAAGCAAAAACAATTTGGTTTTCACGTGTAATGGCGACATAAACAATGGCATCCTGCTATTGGATAGGCCGCCATACATTTTATTGTACACATTGTAAGCTAAAAATAGAAAACTAGGTCATGGGGGTTTTAAATTTGCATTGTTATTTAAAAACTTAATCTGCAAAGTTTTGTAAACAAATAGTTATCGATCACTAAGTAACTGTACAGCCAATCAATATTTGTCTTACGAAAGTGAAACATCCGGTTATAACTTAGGCTTGATGAAAATAAATAGAAATTATTTTCAAGTTCTCTGGATTTGCAACTTTTATAGCATTTATTCTAAAAATATAAAATTTCTAAATTAATTTTAGGCTTAAGTTTTTATTTTTTATTTTTTTTACGGTCTAAATCTAAAAAGCACGTTTTTATTCCATGTCAACAACATTATGGAAGGAATCTCGTCAACTCGCTGGTGTCCATTAACAAATGCGCATAAAACAGAATAAGAGGAAAAAATAATTCTAGCTGATGCAGAACAGTTGATCTCGTATTTTACTAACATTTTTTTCATTAACTTTTATCTTATCAATAAAAACTGAAAGAAATATTACTTTAAAAAACAGATTGGAGAGACAGTGTAGTTATAATATGAATGCCCTATTATTGATTGTGTTTTATATCCACAAAATGGTAAAGCGGACATAAATAATAGTTTTATAATCCGGACACGCTCCTGTATTCTCTGTTTGAAAATAATATCTTAACACCCATCTTTTTATGTTAATCAGGAAATATTTAGTTCTTTTAAAGGCCAGACAGACATGAGTTTTATAACAGTTGAAGCAAAAGATACCGTAATGTTCAATTACACTTTTAATTAAACTGTCACAACAAAATAAGTTGGATGTTGCGGCTTTTTAAATTACCGACCAAATATTTGTGATTCTTTAGTGATTGTTCCACGAGTTGTTTTTTTATCGCTCCAGTGTATGCAGAACATTACATACCGCAAGTCGAGTTAGGATCAACAGTTCTTAATCAACAGTATGTGTTGTTTAGTGTAAGCAAAAGTAAAGTGATTATCGGCGGATAAAAACTTAAACCGTACTCAATATTACAGTAAACGAAACAAGACTAAAACTTACTAGCTACACAGTAGAGGAAACTTCCAACAGAAAACGTGGCCGAGATGACAGGGACTGTAGTGTCTAGAGTCTCCGAGATTTCCAGCAATAAAACAGAAATCAACTGCTCGTATGCAAAGTAGACGAAAAACAAAATGAAACAGCCTGTAAAATGAAAGAAAAAATATGTTAACAAATAATATAAGAACGATTTTAAGTATTGATGTTTGGTAATTGATAAAGAAAAATAACTCTTAATTTTATTTTGACTCATAGCTCAAAGTTATGTAATAAATTAATTAAGATACACAGTACATTTTACTTTGTGGTATGGTTAAATCAACTATAAAAACTTACTAAGGGAGATCATCCAAGCCCAGCCTTCATCATAGGGTACGTCAAACTCCTCCCCAAAAGTGCCGCCCCCTCCATCACTTCCAGTTGGTTCTTCCAACGAGTCGGATTCGCTGGTGTTAACTTCGTCTTCCGCACAATCCTCGGCATTGCGCCTTGAAAAAGCACCGAGATATTTAATCCTTGAATGGCTATGGTCGCTATAATGGAGCTCTTGGGCGTCAGAATTACCGTCTCTTTCATTTAAAGTGTTAAAATTGTTCGATGGTATATTTGAATTTTCTGACATTTTTCAAGATTGCCCTAATAAGTTAACATTATAATAAATTATAAGCAAATTAATTAAAGATTACATTATTTCCACGGCCAAAAGCAACTATTATGTTTTTCTAAACTAAACTGTGACGTACCTAATCTATATTACATCACGCACATTTACAATCTTGTCAACTTGGTATTTCGGTTTTAGCACACTGATACCTGTTTTACTTAAACCAGGAGCTAGGTAGTTATCTCACCAAGAATGTGATTTTGGTTTTATCTGATTAACCAGTAAAAGCGGGGATTCTCAAAAAAATAAAAGAAAGGCTTTTTGTCAATATTAAGTTAAACTATCTTTAACAAACAAATTTGTTTAAACTTTTTAAAGTGAACGTTTCGTTAAAAAATAACTTGTACAAAATTGTAATTTGTAATTAAATTATTGGTACCAATATTTTTCTGGAATATTTAAACCATTGTGAGATCCAGCTGTAGTTTGTGATAGTGTACTTAAAACCAATGTAAGGCACTTTCTTTTACTACAAATTATCTATCGTACAAAGTATAAACACGTGATATAATATAAAACAGGTGCATGCGTGAGGGTGTATAATATATACATATGTTTATGTTTGTGTGTACATGTGTGCGTGCTTTCGTGTGAGAGTGCGTGTGAGTGCATCGCGGGCAAGCGTGTGTATATGTGTGTGTATGTTACACGATAAACTGAGTACTGTTTCTATTAAGCTCTGAGCTTTTATTACGTTCTTAATTGTAATGATGGAAAGGAATTTCCTTTAACACAATTAAGTATTATGTGTCAACCTCTCATGCGCCATATAGGACTTTAATATCAGCCTGATTTTCTTATTGGATATGCTTTCATAACTTTTACCCAACCAAAAACAAACTATATGAGTTGCTGTCCCCAGCTAACAAGCACAATGATCTGAACTCGGCGCTTTTCGGTTTATCAACCATGAGCTTTACAGATCCAAACCCTGTTTACCCGTGTATCCTTTCATTTAGGCTGCGAGATTCCATATATAATTATTAATTCTTATGCGTAGGTTTCTATCCATTTTAAACGAGTTCCGGCAATGGTGCTATATTCTATTTCCAATGTCTCAAAACCTTTTAGAATGTGATAATTTTTATATCGTAACCTCATTAAGCAGCATATTCTAAAAATGTTTTTCATCGAAAAACGATGATATCGTCAAAAACCTAAAATCATTTTTAGAGCCCGATTTTACTGAAAGGCCATTCTAACCATTACTGTTATATAAGAATATATGAGAAAGTTTAGGAAAGCTCACTCACGTTTTTATTATTGGTGATTGAAAATTCTTTTATAAAAATGTTATTATACTTTTTCTAACTGTGGTAGAGGCTGAATTCTCTTTTCCTACAAGCAAATGCGCTGTCGTCATCAAAATACTTTCAGACCATAGCTCAAGAGGCCCCAAGATATGTGGAAGTTTTTTGTGACTTACGTGCTTCTGTGTAGTATTGTTTCATCATATTTTTTTTTCTTTTGTGCCCAAGAAACATGGGGACGCCAAAGAAAACTCCCTCCACTTTTGTCGGTCTCCGGCAATTTTCTTGGCAGTCCTCCATGACAGTCCTGCCTCTCCCAGCTGCTTCCCCGCCGTACTCATCAACGTCTCCCTTTGGCATTCCCTGCTTTCTTTTTCCTGGAAGCGTCCAGTTTACACCATTCCTGCGATATTATCTGCATTCTATCTTAGGACGTGCCCCATCCATCGCCATCTTCCTTTTTTCGATTATTTCTGAAACTTTTTCCATTTCCATCTCTCCTTGTAGTTTATCATTAGTGATGGTGTTAGGCCAGTGTATGACTTTTATCCTTCACAAACACTATAGTTTGGAAAGAGTCCAGTGATCTGCTGGTGGCGGTTGTTACTTTCCAGCATTCGCTGCCATACAATAGGACGCTTGAGGAAATTGTTTTTGAAAAGTCTGCATCTGGTCTTGGGGGGGGGGGGGATTTTTTCTTCGACCGCCATGTTGTTTCCATGGGCGCAAAAGATTGTTTGTATTTCGAGATGCGTGTTTTAATTTCAGCGATGCACTCTCCTTCAAACTTGAGAGTTCTGCCAAAATATGTGTAAACTTTTACTTCAACTACTTTGTGTGTTTTTTATTTTAATATGTTCTTGACTATATGTATCTCCAGGTCGGGGGTTTGAAGATAAGACCAACAACCTTTTTTCGTAAAAAAAAAACGGCTATAGAAACCAAAACAGAAAGCAATATCACATTAAAACCCGGTGAATGGGAAACCGTTCTTCAACATATCACAAATACAAATGGAAGATGTAGTATTAATCAGCTGCTCAAATTTTTTTTCTATGTAAATTTGTATGTGTGTTATATTGGTAAAACTACTATAATGATAAATATATTTTTAACTTTAGTTTCCTTGTAATCATGGATTTTTATGTATATTGTTATTTTTTGCAGAAGATATTAAATGTAATGTTTTGTTGAAGATATTAATTAGCTGACAATACAAATGAAATTAAAAAGCATTTTCATAGAGGCATTTCAACGCAAATCCAATAGTTAAAATGTTTAAACCATAGATATATGTTTAAATAAAAAATAATGAATCCTATATCGATAGACAAGAAAAGTTGAAGAGACTCCAAAAGTCCATAATACCTACTGATAATGAATATGCAATTTTAATATTACCTATTGAAGTGATACAAAATGTTTAATATTAAAAAGGCGGCTGTTGTTTAAATATATTTAATACTGATCATGCTAAAAAATTATTTTAAAAAATATGTATGTGTTCAACTAACATGAGAGCCAACCCATAATTCATTATCATACATGACCAAAACAAATTTCAAAATTATAATAAAACTTAAATTGCGGTTGTCCAGAAAAATGACTTCACGCTCCAGGTAGGTTGATCTTTGATAGTGATTACAGAAGAGGAAATGGGCATTTTGAGTAGTATTTTTTAAACCAAAGTAATTGTTAACCAAAGTAATTTTTTAATTATTTAAATTTTATTTCTAAAGAGTTTTTGTGAGTGGTTATAAAAATTAATTAATGACTAATTCTTGACCCATACCAATAAATATTTCAGAAAGATATTGCAACTTTCGAAAAAAAAATATAATTGTAGGCAAAAGTATGGCGACATTCTTCGATAAGGGGTCTATTTTGATATTCAAATCTCATGTTTTGTTAATGGTTTGAATAACATGCTATCATTTATGATGTTTATTTAAACCGAGGTATAGATGAATAATTCAAAACCAAGTTTTAGTTCATAGAAGTCGATGTGTCTGTTTGAGCAGCTTTTTTCAAACGCTGTCTCTCTTCTCTGGCCGTCTGCAGCCTCCTGACCAATGGCACTGACAGGAGAAGACCACTCCCAATTATATTTAACACACCAACATACTGAAAGGTCGCCACGAAGTTTCCGGTGTATGCAATCAAAGCACCTGCAATAAAAATTTAAAATAATATGTTTAGATATGTGGAAAATAAAATTTTAAAAATATATCGATTATTTTTGTAGAAGATGCAACACTATCTACCAAGTTATGTTAATATTAAGCTAGATCTATTTCATAACCCTGTAACGAAACTAGTGTTTTAAATAGACAATGGGAGGGGGTGTCAATAAATAACAACTGATTCCTCTAGGTGGGGATTGTGTTTAAAATTGTAAGGAAATGAATTTTACAACAGGTTTCTCAATTTTTGTAAATTATAAAAACATTTTACCCAAACAGCTCAGATAATATTTTAGAAATTATAAAATTTAGTAAAACGTCGTTAACTGATAACATAACAATTTTTGAACTCATCTTTCTTATTTTAATAGTTTTAAAAAATGGAATTAGTAATTATTGTTTTTGCAAGATTAACTAACACAACTGCTACTCACTAGTTAGTAATTATTGCTTTGACAATTTTAACTAACGCAACTCCTACCCACTTCATTTAGTATTGCTAAACGATCCTATAGAATACATTAAATTATATTTACCCTGAATAGGATGCTGAACAGTGATTGAAATACTCAGAAAGAAACTGCACATGGCTAGAACTTTGGCCAAATGTTTTATTCCCATGACATCAACCACCAAAATCGAGGTTAAGTTTGAGCTTATGCTGGCGAAAAAGCCTTGCATGGTAGCATAGAATACCAACAGTTCAAATTCTTTGAAAAAAGAAATAAACTGACTAATTACTCCTAGTGAAAGCGTTGTTACAGCCATAATTTGATTTGGTTTTACGATTTTCAAATCCGCAAAAATACCGGAACTGATTCTTCCAAACATATCCGCTGCACCAACGATGGTAAGAAGATAAGCTGCCTTTTGTGGAGTCACGCCCGCCTTAAGAGCTAGAGATGGTATGTACATGATGGAGAGTATACCAGCATTACAACAGCTATAGGTAATGAATAGGAGTATACAAAGATAGTTCTTGACTATGTTGACGTCTATGATCATCCGTAGCCAAGAACATCGCCACGGTCTGTATTTTGTTTCACTCTTTGAAAGTTCAGTCTCAGCCTTCTGATCGTCTGCTAGAGAGGACGCTCTGGAGCTCCATGTACCGTGAGGGAGACGTTTCATTGGAAGGTCAACCAGATCTCGGTTTGATCTTTTCATTGAATCTGAATTATTTTGCGAATTTATTTGTTCAACTTGAGTGCAATCGTGGGTGCATATTTCCGAGTTTGAATTTTCATTTGACAGACAATTACGTTCGTTTTCGGTATTTAGTTTGTCGAACTTATTTTCATCAGAAATTTGTTCTTGGTTTGCCTCGATGTTGTCTGTATAAGATGCCGATACGGGAGGCAGGGTATGTGTTTCTTCAACATTCAGAACTTTTTCTGTGGCATTCAAGTCTTTATTCTCAGAGACCGAAATAGCTTTACTACTACTGGAAGTTGTTTCATTTAATTCTTTTTTAATTACACATGAATCGTTATTGGTAGAAGAATTAATAGATGTTCGATTACCAGACTTGTCTTCCTCTACGGCTAATGGTGCAAAAAATTTGTTGAGCTCATGTTGTGTCAAACTACCATCTTCTATATTTCTGTCATCATAGCTTTGAAGCTGTATTTTTTGGATTTCGCTGATATACCCCTGCTTATCAAATTTTGTTTCAATTACCGAAGGCGTCAATGGTTGTAAAGCACTATCTTTTGGTTGGTCGATTATTTTCATTTCATAATCACCTTCTTTGCAATCAGGAGGAAGAATAACACTTGGGCACGTCAATACGGGGTGAGAATATAATTTTTTCTTAAAAATTTGGTCCGCTGTTTTTATGTGAGTAATTTGTTCGCATTCCAACAAGATCGAGGAATCTTGAGTTTTTATGCTGTTCTGTGTGTGTTGAGTATTTTCGGAGTTTTCGGTATCTTGTCCAGAAAACGGAAGTAAAATTTGTTTTTCTTGTGGCGTGCTCTGCTCGGAAATGACAATTTTCTTTTTCCGGTAAATGCTCAGAGGTCTCAGAAGAAGGGTTGCCAGGATTCCATGCATCTGACGACCAAAACATTGTAATTTAGACATAATCTAAAATTCACATCTAAATATGTTAAGACTCTTAACAAATGTAAACTAAAACTTTAGGACAATACAGTATTGTACGTTTAATTGGTATGTCTGATAGAGCTAAGAAATAAAATTTGTAATAGAATTAGATTTAGAAGAGAAATTAATCAAAAGATATACCTTATACACACACACAAAATTAAAACACCTGAACGTCCCTTTAAAATTGACAAAATCCTAATTTCTGCCTTTTTATATCATCATCATCTTTTTCCGTTCGTGCCTAAGACACATGGGACAGATAGAATCCATCTGGTTCAATGACCTTGCCATATGAGATTGAGATATAGTGTGGTCAGCATTATGCCCAGTTGCCTTGGTTTCCCTAAGATGAGTCAGGTAGCCATCAGAGTTGGATGGACTTGCGTACTACTTTCAGATTCAAGCCGGGATATGAACTCTATATTTTCAGGTTAGCCGGTATATGCTCTACCATCCGACCACGCCATGTTATATTGGGTACTGAAACCATTTTTCCATCTAGGCCCTTTTGGTCCTATTAAATTGACACAGTTTTTATTTTGCGTTTATGTTGTTAAATACTTTAAAGACGTATCATTGACTAGTTCAGCGTTTTGTTGGTTTCTAGAATCGCTATCCTAGCATTGGCCTTTACACTAACCTTTGAACTATCCTTGACTTAATTACGGACCTTAATCCTGATCTTAATCGATACTAGCAGAAAAAAACTCATTGATGTACTACAATACCCCACTAGCGTTTGTCTTAGCACCAAGTAACCACTAGACTCACCTCAAGGCCGGCTATCAACAAGAAGCTCCCCCGGAACCCGTAGTTCTCCCGCAGATAACGCACCAATGGAGGGACAGCTACGATGCCGAGACTGCCCCCAGTGAGACCAAATGCAATAGCAAGAGCTCTCCGTCGTTTGAAGTAGAATCCAATCAATGTTATTGTGGCAATTAGCGTCAGTCCCTTTGCTATACCTGTGATATTTAGGAACGTAGCATTAAATTCGTATCTAGAATCTTACAAAACTCAAAGTAACAATGAACGTAAATCCATTTGCTATACTTATAATATTTTGGGCCGAAAATGCGTAGCATGAAACTCGTCTTTGGAATCTTACAAAACTCAAAGTAACAATGAGCGTAAATTCTTTTGCTATACTTATAATATTGACGACCGAAAATGTGTAGCATTATTTTCGTATTTAAAGTGTAATCCACTATGATTATAATAGGGTCCACCTTAAGCCCTTCACGCCACACACGTATTATTAAGTTTCTCCTAAGGTTTTCTTATTCCCACCTTCTCATAACTCACAAAACGCCGATCTAATAATTGCACGGTGTCTCCTAGCGTTTAACATACAAGAAGCAATTAAAATTTAATCTACCCCATGTCAAAATATGTATAGATACTTTGGTTGGGTAAATCGTTAAGAAGTGTTCACGACTTACTTTTGATAAAATTTGCAATTAAAAACGAGGTCAAATTTTGGCTGACGACAAAGAAGAGAGACGCCCCTACGTTGAGAACAGCGGCGCATGTTTCCACGCATCTATTTGAGAAGTGGAGTAGAAAGAAATTGGCCGAGAGTTGAGCTGTTGAAAGAAAAAATACATCCTGTGTCATACAATTCTAACAATTAAAATTGTTCCCTTTATAATACAATTCAAACATTCTTTATTTTTGCGTTTATTGAACATATGATATGCCTCCATAAGATTTAGAATGCTTTGCTAGGCTGACAGTAATCACCTGTATCGATACCTTAGCCCTGGCACCAGTCCTGATACTATTACAATAGGATAGTGTGGTCAGCATTATGCCCAGCCGCCTTTGTAAATAAGATGCCCATCAGAGCTGGGTGGACTTCTTCTTCTTCTTCGGTCTTAATTTTAGTGTTGGAAGGGATCCCTCTCCAACACAATTAAGGATACGTGTCAACTGGTTATGCGCCATTGTGGCCATTGACTCCGATTTTAGCCTGCTTTTCTTTTTGGATTCGCTTCCATAGCCTTTGTCCAACCAAGAACAAATTACAAGAACTCTTGTTTGATTTTGGAGTTGTCTCTCCTAGAAGAGTGGCTGTCCCCAACTAACGAGCCTCATCTGCCCGACTGGGTAGACTCAATGACGTCCTACTTTCAGACTCCTCTAAGAGTCTTGCGCTCTACCTCTAGGCCACGCCGTCCAATAATTACACGCTAATCATTACTCGTAGATTAATTATTTAACTACTGGATAATTATTATTGTAATTAATGATTTAGATACTAGGCAGAAACTGTTTAGTTGTCAATTTTTGCTACTCTGACCGGAGTCTAGCCACAGCCATATAACCCTAATCCTGAATCATCCATGTTATTAATCCTAACCCCGATCTGAACAGTGATAACTACATACAGAGGCGTAGCGAGGGGGGGGGGGGAGGGTGCGGACCGCACCGGGTGACACCATTTAGAGGGGGGGTGCATATTGAAAGTTTGAGGGGGGATGCAAATCGAAAATTTAAAGTTTGTCCCCGGGAAGCGTCGCTACGCCTCTGGGGGGGGGCCATTAATTGCCACTGGTCGGATATCAATTTTATTTTTAAAAAATATTGTGAAGTCGCTAAAATACGCGGCTCTCAGTCGACACCGGGACTCCACAGTTTCCGTTACGAAAATGGTGAATGCTTTAACAAAAGGAAGACAATTGCGAATACTAAAACAAAAACAAAAAACATTTTTTTTAAAAATGTTTTTTTTTAATAAAAAGTAAACGGACATTTCGTTGAGGCTTGACTGCACTAAAAACCACACGTCGTCACGTCTGTACTGTAACTTGTAAACAACTTTTAGAGAAACCTGGCCAGTCTCGTGCTGTACCGACTGTATCAATAACTAAGAAGCTCTACCAAACGCTGCAGGTTTGTTGTTGGGATGTTAGATATATATTTTTCAAATATTTAATGAGAAGTAAAGGTGACATTTTTTTGAGTTTACTAGAGGGATACAGCATGTTTTATTTTAAAACTTTACTTACGTGCGAGGAGTCAAACAATTTAAGTCTAGCACTTCTGATATTTTCCCTTCTATAAGGAATGCCAGTATTTCAAATATTTGATAAGAAGTAAAGCTGACATTTTTGTGTGTACTGGTGGGATACAGGGGTTTATATTTTAAAACTTCACTTACGTGTGATGAGTAAAACTATTTTAATTTAGCACTTCTGATATTATCCCTTCTATAAGGAATGCCAGTATACGCGTTGAATTGAGGGAGCCGAGCTTAATGAAATGGGTTCCATCATTATTATTGACAAGGAAAATAAATACGTGTTTTTTTCGATTTTGCTTTTACTACGGCCGGAAAATAATCGCAGACCTGAAAAAAAATTCAGAAATATAAAAAATTTAATTTTATAAAAATGTTATAAAAGTTTCAGATACAGAAATTGTACTTCTAATAACAGGCTAGCTCCTATGTGACATGGTCTGCTTGCTTTTAATTAATTGCTTATCTTTTTGATGTTTTAAATTCGGTAGATTCTATTCTGTGGTTAAAAATGTGATATTCAGTAGTTATTTCCCTTATAAAGAGTTGTCTACCTTATGATCAAAATAATTATAACACAAAGTATAGGTAGTTATCACATTAAAAAATGATTGGGCAAATATCACATTATTATGTAGCAAGCATAAAATAAACATTATTCTAACATTGATAATAATTGCATCTATATGTTATATTCAATGTTAAAATATATTGATTTACATATATATTCAATTAACTTTAACCATACGGATCCAACAGAAAGTGTTACGGTGGGTGTCAATTGTGCTGAACAACATGTAGCTTTGCGCAGTGGCGGTACCATAGCCAATGAGGTTTTACCGAGGCGTGGTTATTGCTAGTTGAAAACTATTCCCAATACCCCGCACAGACGACCTTCACAGGTCGGCTCGTGCAAATTTTGGCGGCTCTTTCGGGAGCCTTAAAATTCAATGTTACGAGTGGATAAAAAGTAAATGTGTCACGGTTATAAAATCAACTAATGAAGTTAGAGGTTGTTACTGTTACATCAATAGCAGTGTTTCTTTCAGTAGTTCACCAATGGTCGTGGGTTGGGAGAACTTAGTAAAGTATATATTCGTCACATAATTATAAAGTCTATTTCATTTGAAAGCGTATGTGTAAGGGAGGGGGTGAGCAGTGTCCCTCAAAGAGATGCCTGAAAGAACATCTGACCACTAGTCGGATACAGAGGCGTAGCAAGGGGGGGGGGCGGGGGTGCGGACCACACCGGGTGACACCATTTAGAGGGTGACACCAAGGCAAAAAATAGTAAAAATATATAGAGAAAAATTTGAGGGGGGGGTGCAAATCGAAAGTTTGGGGGGGGGGGGGTGCAAATCGAAAATTTAAATTTTGTCCCCGGGAAGCGTCGCTACGCCTCTAGGGGGGTGACACCATTAATTGCCGCACCGGGTGACACCCGACCTCGCTACGCCACTGACTACATACAAACTATACAATAAGCTTCAGCTGTTGTATTGCCCTATGTACAAATTCAAAGAACCAGCTTTTAAATAATTTTAAATAAACCTAAAATTGTAAATCCTAACAATTCAACGTTAAGCTTAAAATGTACAATTAAGTCGATCTTGACTGATTTTTGTACTAACCGCATTCCCACTACAAGATTATAAAAACTAAGACCATAGAACAGAAAATGACAAAAAACACTAGTTGAAGCAGTAGTATTTAGGCTAGCACTTGACGTTCCTTTTTTTATATAAACGGTTATCGTATCGAGATAAACAAAAACCTCTACAAACTGTTAACTATTAAGTAACGGTGCAGTTATGAGATGAATGGTTACAGTACATTGATTTTGGTATTTTCTTTTTTTCATAGCCACTAGCGGCAGAGTGGACAAGACCACTGTTTCTTTCAGGTATCTCTACAAAGGGGGGGGGGTGGCGCTCCTTCTCCACTTCCACCCGAAGCACATCTACCGCCCCCCGCCCCAACGAAATAGAATTTTATAGAAAATATTAACTTTTACTAGTGTGCCCCCCTCCCCACCCAAAAAAAAGTTTCAAGTCTGAAAGAAACACTGGACCTCACTTAATAAGTATTCAAAGTTAATGAAACTAGAGTGTAACATACAAGCTTAAAATGGGTTCAATCGAACCCCAGGGGTTCGCTGAGTCAGTTTCGGGGGTCCGGCGGAGGTCAAGACACACGATTAACTCAAGAAGGATTAAGAAGGATTAGGTGAATGCGCATATGAAACTGGTAGGGTTTGGTATCCACAAAAAGGTTAAGAACTACTGGTCTCTACTCTCCGCCTTCAGTTTATATGAATAAATGAATGTGTCTCTTTTTGTATCTAAATTAATTAGTGATTGTGTCCCTTTGTGAGAACAGTTGTTTCCCTTTGTGGGGTTTACAATAGGTATTGAATAAGTTTTAACGAAACAAGACCAACTTACTAGCTACACAATAGAGCAAACTCCCGACAGAAAACGTGGCCGAGATGACAGGGACTGTCGTGTCTAGAGTCTCCGAGATTTCTAGCAACAAAACAGACATCAGCTGATCGTACGCGGAGTAGACGAAAAACAAAACGAAACAGCCTGTAAAATAGAAACAAAGACGTCTTTAACAAAGTTGAAAAGGCTTAACTTTATAAACCCAGATCTCAAAATAACCGAGCATTTACCATACCTACGTTGTCTGACGGTGTTAACCCTTTAGTTTCCACCACACTTAAAACCCTTCTTTGCCCCGCTTATCAAGGCAATAAGAGGAGGGGCTGAAAGTTAACTATGCTAGGAAAATGTTTCCAAACCCAATAAAGATGCACAAAAGGTAGCATATATTTAGTTCGAGGAAATGTTATTAGAAACTGAAAAACTTGACAGATACTATTTTCTTTTAACTAAGTCACGGGAACGGAGTGGCCTTGCGGTAGATGGGTACCTAACTTATGTTTGAGAATAGTGCTTACCACACTATACCCTAATATGGTCACATAAACAGGTGAACTCTACTTCACTTGCCCCATATGGGAGCTTTTTTTTAATGAAATTTGTCACATAAGTACATTTTACTTTGTGGCTTCATTAAATCAACAATGAAAACTTACTAAGAGATATCATCCAGGCCCAGCCTTCATCATAGGGTACGTCAAACTCCTCCCCAGGAGTGCCGCCCCCTCCATCACTTCCTGTTGGTTCTTCCAACGAGTCTGATTCGCTGGTGTTAACTTCGTCTTCATCACAATCCTCGGCATTGCGCCTTGAAAAAGCACCGAGATATTTAATCCTTGAATGGCTATGATCGCTATAATGGAGCTCTTGAGCGTCAGAGTTACCTTCTCTTTCATTTAAAATGTGAATATCCTCCTTAGATGGTGTGTTTGAATTTTCTAACATTTTTTTAAAGTTTATAATATTATATTTTACTATCCCTAACAAGTCAACATCATAATAAAACAAATTATTTAAATATTAAATATTAACATTTTTCAATGTATAATATAGTATTGTTTTAAATCGCTAAAATATTCACATCACATTAAGGATAAACTTAACACTAAATTATTAAATCATTTCACACCGTCATATGCATCTATTATTTGCTATCTTATCACACGACGCACATTTACAATGATGCGAACTTGATATTACGGATTTTACACGCTGACATACGCTTCACGTAAACCGCGTGCTAGGTAGCTATATCTCGCAAAGTATGTGATTTTAGTGTTATCTGATTAACCATTACAGCGGGGATTCTCAAATGATAACAGGCTTTTTTTGTCAAAGATTAAAGTTAAACTATTTTTTTAATCATGTGGGGGTTTTTTTAAGTGTACTTTCCGTGGAAAAAAATATAAGTTTATCCATTGTTTGGAAATTTGATTTTGTAATTAAATTATTTGAAAAAGTATTTAATTTTCTTGTAATAGTTGAACCTTTGTGGGTGATTGAGTTACATTTTGTGATAGCTTTCGTATAACTTGTGCTGGGCTGTTGATTTTGCTACCCGTTATCTATCTTACGACACACAAACACATGATATTCCAGCATTTGCGAGTTATCTCTTAGTAGTCTGGCTAATTGTACTGTACAAGTACAAGATAAAAAGAATTATTAGGAGTACACATTTTTTATATTAAGATCTCTAAATTGCAGAGTCATTCAAAAAATAGGTCATTCCGATTGGCGCACGCACTTTAGTCTTTATTTCAGTGTGATTTATATATATATATATATATATATATATATATATATATATATATATATATATATATATATATATATATATATATATATATATATATATATATATATATATATATATATTACGGTCAAAGCGCAAAGTCGACCAATGGCTGGTTGATGTGCACATTGACCAAAACCTCTACCATTCTTGATTTCGGCTATTTTGCGAACTGGTTAAAGGCGATCAGCCAACTTCCTGTTTAAGTTAAAGGAAATGTCAGAAACAGTCATATTATTTTACAGTTAAATCTGTATTATCGTTTGGTGAAAGAAATTGAACTTTTATGACTTTTAGAATTACATAATAGTTTGTTATTTTCACACCACTTTTATTGTGCCAGCATTTGGTCCCCGGTCTGTGATTGGTTCTTAGTGATTTTGCTTCAGTTCCCACGTATGCATATGTGAGCAGGTCTTTGTGCAGTATAGAAAATTACCTTCTGAAACTGAGATGCAATTGTTTGATAACACTATGCTATGTTCCTCTTTTGTAGAAAGCGCACTATATTCATTACAACTGCTAAGACGCGTCGGTGATCACTGCGAACTCACTGTCAAAATCTGGTATACGTATGAGTACATTACAATAGGCCTCATCCCTCATCCGAAAATAAGTGTGTTTGTAGTGAGTTTGTAGTGAGTTTTAGTGTATTTTTAGTGTGTTTGTACCAACTTTAAAAAGTTGCACATTTTCAATATGCGGCCGTGATGACTAATTAGATAGTCAATTCTAAATTCCTTCTTTAACACAAGCTTTAACCTACAAGAGTGAAAATTAGTGGAAATTTGTGAATTAAAATAGCTCGCAAGAGTTAACTTTAAATGCACGTAGTGTTAATTTATTTTTTGGTTGGAATGCATTACATATTTCTGAAGGTTATTCATTGTTATTGGAATAATGTTAAGCATAGTTCTCATTTCATACCCAGACATCCATAGTGCAGACGAAGAAGAGTTCATAGGTCTCTTTATCTCGACAAATGAAGGGATGGTGTGGTCAGCACTAGCCGCCTTTACGCTCTCTAACGTGAGTCAGGTAGGCCTACCCATTAGAGCTGGGTGGACTCAAGAATGTCCTACGGTTACAAGTCCGGACCGAGATCCGGACTCAAGACCATCATGGTAACAGTATAAGAAGGTGACGTCCAGACTAGCAGTCGAGCTCTACCACCAGACCAAGTCGTACCTATGATTGGAAGTAGATGACGTAAAAAAAAGTTCCATTCTGGAAATTATGAGAAGACTACCGTGGTCGTTATTTCGATGAGACCAAGAGGTTATTGCTTGAAAATGTGATTGTTTATTCTTCTGCTGAACTGGAGCAAACGTCACAGAACAGAGATAAATTGATGTTCTCTTGCAGTGCCGTCCTTCGTGCAGTGGGTTAGGCTAGTCCCTTAAGAGTCTCATATAATCTTTTTTTTTGTGATAAATACTATAACATAAAGCGTTTAGTATCATTAAAAGAGCCTAGGAAAAATAACACAAGCGGGCACTTCTGCATACTTTTAAATAGTTTCGTCTACTCAGCAAACCACGTGGTCTTGGGACCAGAAACCAGGCTTTGGTCCCCTTCACGGCCAGTGTTTCTTCCAGACTTATCTGTTAAAAGTATATATTTTGTATATAAATTCGATTTCTTTTGGGGGCGGGGGGAGCGGTACACGACTTTCTTCGCCGACCCCCCCCCCCCCTCCCCTGAAGAGATGCCTGGAAGAAACACTGTCCCCGGCAACAACTTTGTTTTCGGACCAGGTTTGTCCCCTGTGCCAAGTTGCTAGAGAAGCATCAACTAACTATCGACAGGAATCACAAGTTGCACGATCACATCCTCCAACCTAAACATGCTAGGGCATTTTGGCGCCCGTTGAGCGTATGTTACTCGGATTAACTGAAAACAAAAATCGGTTGAGAAATCAACTGTTGTCCTCGAATTGTGAAGCCGCCTCGTCGTTACAAAGTGTTGACAAATTGATATGGCACTATAAATGGGACATCATGGCTGTGTGGAGAACATAGTAGGCCTATCTAACTGGCGATCGACCCCTGCTGGGGAGAAAACTGCCCTCTCCCTATAAGAAGAAAATCTACCTACCCTCCCCCTCCCCGAACAAAATGGAATTTAGAAAATAAATACTTGTACCAGTGTCCGCCCCCTCCCCAAAATTTTCAAGTGCCCTCCTCCTACCCCCGGACAAAAAAGTCAGAAAGAAACACTGAAAGTAAACACAATCCCCCATTACACATGACAGTACACTTACACTTAAAGCACAAGTTAAAAAGGATAATCAAGGGAAACTACTCTAATTTAAATCACTGTTATGTTTACTAGAGAAAGATGAACGATGACTGGAATCTAGGCCTAGTCTAGAATATTTAAGAGTATTGTCTTTGAATATTGACTGGGCATAAAAAGTTGCTAATATTTTGTCTTTGTATGAGTGGTAAGATTTTCTTCCAGAACTCTTTTTGGTCTGGCCTTAGGCCCTAATTAATAATTTAATTTAAATTATGTTTTGTAAATGGGGGGGGGGCACCAGGACGAAAAATTCAGTGAATTATTCTTCTATCTTTGTCTAGCCAGATCTTCTATTGTTATTAAAACGTATTAGATCTAGATCTAGATTTATTATTAGAGTATTAGTATTAGGCCGTATTTTAATTTGACTTTGTAGTTATAGGCTTTTACTTATCTAGAATCTATAGGCATTGGCCTGATTGGCCCTTGTGGTTGGAATTTTAAAAAAAAATGCACCATGAAAATTCAAGTCTGGGTTGGGGCACCTTACTCAACCCTCAACATTACTGCCAGTCCACCCCTGCTGATTATAATTTAATTGAAATGCATTGATACTAAAATAATCTAGATCTAGTAATATCTAGATCTAGTAATAGATCTAGATCAGTCTACTGGTGAGCTGTGGTTCACGCTAAATATTTACATTTGTAAGGTTTTAGTGACGGCTATTAGGGGCAGATAATTTAGTCTGAAACGATTTTAAACTATGGGGAGGTAACTAAGAGGAGGCTGCTTTCACGAGGGGGGGGGGTGTAGGGTAGGGGTTGGGGGAAAGGAGGGTGGGGGTAGTATCGTCCTTAACGACCTACTGATAGTGTTTTAAAGCAAATATTTTCAGTGGCAGCGTTGGTACTGTCGAATTCACAAATTATGAATTACTGAAAAGTAGAAAATAAAACAACTAAATACCGGCGTATGATATGCCGCGGGTCGGCTCGTACTATATATTCTTTTGTAAAATGTAGGCTAATTGACTGTTCGTTTATTTTAATGATAATCTCTACAGTACTGATCTAAAATTCTTGTGATGGGTAATATACTAATATAGTAAAATAAAACTATTAGGCCTGTTTATTGTGTATAATCAAAGAAAAAAGTGTGCACATATTTTTTTTTTGAAAATATATTCTTACTCTTCATGTTATAATTGACTTTTTTCAGAATGCAAATGTCAGTCATGAACCCAAACTAGCGGTCAGCCAAGCTTGACCATAGGAGTAGGAGCAAGAAGTAATTAGTTATGGCCTCAGGTGTTACTCCTATAGGATCCAAAGCAGATCCAGTTGATGGTAAGTAATATAAGTAGGCCTAATGATAAGAAATTATTATAATCAAAGAATGCATTGCTTTATTTATGAATAATATGCATTGTCTTATTTATGAATTAAAGCATCACAGCAGAAATTTTGTCCTTGAATATGTTATATTCTTGTTCTATCTTAATATGTAGGCCTCATTTTTGTGTTATGATAAGTCTTGACCTTTATCTCAATACAAAAAAAAAAAACATTTTTTAACCATTCTAGCATTCTATTTCTAGATATTTCAGTAAAAAATATAGAATCTTATTGCTATTACTCAATTTTTTAGACATAAATTATGATGAAAAACCTAAAAGACTGTTACTGCAATACAAATTCCCCCACAAAGATGGTGACAATATTACTTTTACTTTGGAGCCAGATCCATCTAAAAATGAGTAAGTGGTCATTTATTTTGTATTTTCTTTACTAATAATAGTAATAAGTTTGCAACAGTTTTTTTTTTCTTAGGTCAATTCATGACAGGCAGTGAAAGATAATTGATAAAATCAGTATACCTGATTGAGCAGTACATCAACAACTTATGATATGGTAAGCAACGCTGAGAAGATGAAGCTCATGACAAACAACCCAAATTGTATTATGGGAGATACAGTGGCGGATTAAGGGGGGTGCTGAGGGGGCTGCAGCCAGGGGCCCCCGATTTTCGGGGGCCCCCAAATTTCCTTTTTCAATCATAGTAAATTTCCCTTTAAAGTGAAATTTTTGGGTTTTTTTTTTTACTATAAAAGCCAATGTTTAAATATATGAATCACAAGTTTATTTTAATCTTTGTTCAAAATATCAAATTCGAGCACATACTTTCATATAAATACAGCTCGGAAAGCGTTCGCTTATGACAATAAATTGGGTTACTTTGAGAGTTAAAAACACAAACAGTGGTCGAATTCTGACCCATTAATGACATGAATCTGGTGTGAACACTCTATGATTTAAACTTTTAAAAACACTTATAGGCTTTTAATTTTAGTGAAAGTTAATATCGGATGTACAAACCAGGAATGACGTTCTTTAAGTGGACGCCAGTGGAAATCCAACTTTTTGTGGGCCTCATAAATGGATGACACCAAAGAGGATGGAGGTGTTGTTTTTTTACGCTCATGTCGTGCTCACTGTTTTTAGTTGGGCCTTGTTTAACCTCTGTATGTTATTAATAATTTCCTACATAGAGTGGTTTGAAATTCTTTTTTTTTCCTTTTGCGTCTGCATGCAAACAAGTGCCAGCAGTCTTTGTTGTCTTCTCTATAACGACATTATAATATTCTCACGTATATTTATATTTGTTCAATGTTAGTCTGCATTTCCAGCTTTCTCATGCCCAATATAAATAGGTGAATGACAGTTCACCAGAGGCGTAGCGACCCTTCCCGGCGCCCGGGGACAAACTTTCAATTTGGCGCCCCCCTCGAGAGCAAACTTTCGATTTGTAAACCCCCCCCCCCTCAAAATTTCGATTTGCACCTCCCCTCAAACTATTTATAATGCAAAAATGAAGCTAAAATGACATTTAAATTTGTTTTTACAACCCATTTTGGCGCCCCTTATGTCGGCGCCCGGGGACATATGTACCCCCCTGGCCCCCCCCCCCCCCCCCCCCCCCCCATCGCTACGCCTCTGCAGTTCACATATAGTGGCTCAGGAGTTTGACTCCCATCAGCAGGGCAGGCCTCGACATAGTGAACTCCAACTAAATAGGAAATTGTGGACTAAATCAGTCTCACGAAGATGTTGGTTTGAAACACTATATGTTGGTCGCTTATTCATCCGTAGGCTCTATCCAGGTTTTACTTCCCCCACCACCAGACGCGGGACATAGTCCTACCGTCTGGCACCTGGCTAGTTGATGGTCAGAGGTCTAAAGCTTCTACAGGCCTAAAGTAAACAGTCATATGTTTAGTACTGCTGACGCAGCGGATGGATCTCGCCTCTCTGTGTTTGTTTTTAGTGTGTGAGTCGTGGTAGTGGGGTGGGGCAACATATAATTATGCTAAAAATGAGTACATATTGGTTAGATGTTAGGGGATCGGCGTGGTCGAGTCGGTAAAGCTCATGGATACTTAACCGAAATTTCTCGAGTTCAAACCCGCGGGTAGATGAAGCTCGTTAGCTGGGGGTAACCACTCTTATAGGAGAGACAACTCCAAAATCAAACATCTTCTGTAGTTTGTTCTTGGTTGGACAAAGGCTATGGAAACAGATTAAAAAAAAAAAGTAGCTGAAATCCGAGTCAATGGTCTCAATGGCGCATAACCAGTTGACACGTATACTTAATTGTGTTGGAGGGGATTCCTTCCAACACTAAAATTAAGAACGAAGAAGAAGAGAAGAAGAAGAAGAAGATTAGATGTTTGTATCCAATTTACCGCTCATTGAACACAATTGACAGCTTTCTAAATTAACAGTTTTGTAAATATCGGTGTCGAATGTTCCTATAAGTTATAAATAATCCATTATTATCTTGAATAATATGCAGATTAGGATTATATATATATATATATATCTATATATATATATATATATATATATATATCAGGGGCCCCCAGAAAGTTTCAGCCCGGGGCCCCGCCCAACCTTAATCCGCCCCTGGGGAGATATGGAAGTAAATGGTCAAAGATTGGTTGCCGTTGTCGAGTTGGTAAAGCTCATGGTTGCTAAATCGAAAAGTCTCGAGTTCGAACCCTCTGGCAGATGAGGCTCATTAGCTCGGGACAGCCACTCTTCTAGGAGAGACAACTCCAAAATCAAACAACTGCTGCCTTGTAGTTTGTTTTTGGTTGGATAAAGGCTATGGAAGCAAATCCAAAAAGAAAAGCAGGCTGAAATCGGAGTCAATGGTCTCAATGGCGCATAACCAGTTGACACGTATACTTAATTGTGTTGGAGGCGTGGTCGAGTCAGCAAAAAGCTCATGGTTGATAAAAGCGAAAAAGTCTCGAGTTCAAACCCTCTGGCAGATAAGGCTCGATCCCTTCTAACGCTAAAAATTAAGAACGAAGAAGAAGAAGAAGGTCAAAGATTAGAGGAGGGCTACTCCTATAAGTACCTTGGTGTCAGCTTGTCTGACAAGGGAACTTAGCTGGAAGTACTACCAGAATTGTCCAAATGACCAGAGTACTTAGACACATTTGTTGTGACAGTCACTGGTCATACCATCTTCATATAAGGATCTGAGGCATGGACACAATGCGGAATTCCAGGCACTAGAAATGAGATGTTTGCACAGACTTCTAGGGATCATACACAGATCATGTAAATAAAGAGGTCAGCTATAGAATCACCAGCATCACTGGTCCTTTTGAGAACTTTCTAAGCATTGTCAATGGCCTATCAAACACAATTAAAGCAGGAAACATTGTTAGAGGATAAGGCCTGAGTCAAACAAAGATGAAATTGGATGGAGGATATCAAAGAGTGGACTGGGCTGTCGGTTGCATAATTGCTTAAACAGCAACAGACCAAGAAATGTGACAAAGAGTTATGAAAGTCAGCTGTAGTGTCCCAACGCCCCTTAGGGTTATGGGACAATTGATTGATCAAATTTACCCACCTGGAAAGAAAAATTAAATTTAAAAAACTAGAACATAAATGTCTAACAAAAAGCAAGCTTAATTTCACTAGAAAAGAAGCTCTGCAATGTGGATGTGTCGCTAAAACTTAGTGTTAACAAATTTTTAAAGACAAATTTCATGCATGTTGAAGTTACTTCAAGTAACCCAACTATTCCAAAAAATGAAATTTGGTTTATTTCTCCAAGCAAGACCTGATTGTCCCCAATGATCAACATCTTATTTCTGGCTTGCATTCAGATGCTCTTTTCATTAAAATTTAGGCTTAATGTATGTTTAGTTTCATTTTGTAAATTATTTACGTTTAAAAAATGTATGCACACATAATTAATAATTGCAGAATGAAACACTGAGTAAAAAACTATTTGTGTTCATCTATTCTTTACAGGGGTGTAACAGCAGTTTTCAGAGTGCATAGATCAAATCCCATGCACACTGATATACTTGACAGATCACAAAATATTCCACAGTCCATAGTTGATCAATTCAAGATATCTGATAAAGTAAGTTCAGCTTTAACTTTTTTAAATGTTTATTTTAATGGATACATTTTAGCTATTATGTTATTGGCAAATTTTTAGTGTAGCTTCAGGCCCTAAAATATTGAAATGAATTTTCTTTTTTAACACTTTAGGTACCATAAAATCAAATCATTATATAGTGTTTTCAGCATTTAACATTTGATAACTTTATTTTCAGAAACTCAAGAAAGGTGTTATAAAGCTCTATAAAAATAACAAAGATATAAATTTAGCACAGTATTTTATTCCAAAACACTCAAAATCCAGTGATGAAGAAACAGGATGATTTTTGTTTTAGCATGCAAAATTAGCAGTTATTTAAGAAAAAGAAATGTAACGGAAGGATATACTAGACTGTTAAATACCAGAAATACAGTGGGTCAACTTTGAATGACATTCAAATTTAGAGCCCGTCTTAACATTATGGCTAAAAATTCATCACATCAAACAAGTTCAATTGGGATTCAAGCTCTGAATTAAGAAATCTGTTAGCTTGGATTAAGCAAAAAAAATTCTGCAAACAGCATTTATCAATTCTGCTAATTCCTTATGAAGTTACCCACAACTTGACCTATTGTGTTTCTTATCTTCCATATATGATGATGTAATGTAAAGTTTTTCCCCTATAAACTCAAATGCCTTATAGCAATGTGTCTTTCCTGTCAACGTTTCTCATTTGGGCTTACCTTCATGGAGTCTTTTACACAAATGTTTCTGTCGTCTCATTCAGGGCCATTCTACTTGTTAAAATCTTGGTTTATTAAGCAAATTCACTGCTTTGTTTCATCCATTTCCATTCTGCTTGTATAAATCTTAACACTGGCAATTTCTATTTACCCTGAGGAATAACTTTAGTTTTCTGTATGATGTTAGCAGAAAGACTAACACTTTTGATGTTGTTTCTAGGTAACTATGAACGCTGAATGCAAGAGATGAATCTATTCATGTCTGCATAATTCTGGTTGTTTTTATTTTCCAAACTTTATTTGTCAAAAATAAAAACAAAGTTGTATTGTTAGAGGCTTGATAATGACAGAACATTTCCTTATTTATGTATTTATCAAATGGTTCATAAGATTACATGCCCACTTATAAAACATATTTTGTTGGAATATTAGTAAAATTTAGTAATAATCTTGGGTTCTAGTCTTTATGTAAATCCTGTTGACTCAGGTGACAAATGCATTTACCTATACGTCTATTCTAGCTAGCTTCATTTGAGCTACACAATTCCTTCATAGATGTAGTTGGAATCAGAGGTTCTCAAAATCTAAATTTTCTGAGTTAAATACCCTTTTCCTTGCTTTATAAACACTGTTTTAACGAATGTAACTATGTTAAGCGCGACTCTATCACAATGAAGAATAATATGCATGAGTAAGATAATTTTTACTGTTATTATTGCACACTGTATCTTCTCATTAATTTAATTTTCAAAATTTATTTTTACATTGCTAATAATGTAAACTTTTTGTAATTTTAGAAATTAATTTGGTTATGCTATGCAAATATGTTGTGATAGTTTATCAATATTTTGTATTAGTTTTTAAAGTCGTTATAAGTTTTCTTTATAAACATTAACATGTAAAGCATACTATTTTTGTATGCACATATCAAGAGTATTAAACCACTATTGTAATCTCAGGTCTTTATTTTCATCACCTGTTCTGTTTTATGTTCATTCATTTTCAGACAGTGACAAGATATGTAGCTATATACAACTTCAATATTAATATTATGTAAATTAATGTTAAGTAAAGTTTATTGAATGCTGAAATTTATTAATATTAAATTTGTACTACCATGTCATCTTACATGTACAAATATTTATGTATTTTAGATGTGTTTGTGTGACTTGTGTGAAATTACTAAATTTTAAAATAATGTTTATGCAATTTTTTTTAGTATTTTGTCATTTTTTTAAGGACATACTCTAGTTTGCAGTTATACATTTTTATTTTAAAACAAGACAAAATGGAGTGGTTTTTATTGTTGTTTTTGTTTTTACACTGAAAGTGTTTTATTTTTTCTCAAAATTATAACAAATTTAGCTCAGTGTTTTACTTACCTGATTGAATTTCCACTTTACATAATTCAAATAAAAGAATACAAAAAGAAATTTTTACCACTTAAACTGTGTTGTATTTTGTGACAAGTGTTTTTATTATTATTGTATTAAGGTCAGACATATGTCATATGGTAAGTGCAGCAATAATAGTAACAGATAACAATGTTTATGGCATACTGTAATTTTAGGAGAATATTATCTTTTTGGTTTTGAAAAGAATGTTAATTTTAGTTCTTATAACAAAACGTGAAAAAGTGTAGTCATTTTATTTTCAGAAATGATTACTGATTATAGATGGTTTTCTCTGTTCCCATTTCCCTCTTCAGAAAGTGTGAAAGTAGTGGTAGAGGTGAAATCAACAAATGAATATGAAGGAACTAAGTGACTTAAGGGAAAAAAAATTAAGAAGGTCATACTCAGATGCTGGTATGCAGTATGATTATAATAGAGGGGGGGGGGGGGGGGGCCACAAAATAACTTGTTGAAAAAGTTAAAAAAAATGTGATTTAATAAAATATAAATGTAGTGAGTTCATGTGACATGAGATAAATATTTATTAATTAAATAACACACTTTCCATTGTTATGCAAATACTATTTTACAACAAAATTTACCTAATAAATAAAATGCAGTCCTATGGCACATAACTGCATGGGCATAAATATTTAGATATTCTTAAGCAATCTTTGACTACATTGATAACTTACTGTTGATAATTATAAATGGAGAAATGCTGTGGATTTGCAATTATAATTGTGACTTGACAAGCTGGTGTTAATTGTCACATTAATTAATATGCACTAAAACTAATTACAGTGTTCCCTCTTTTAAACCCATAGCAAAAACTGATTTTCCGCAAAGTAGGAACACTATACTTATTTTAGAACTTGTACTTAATATGCCATATATATATATATATATATATATATATATATATATATATATATATATATATATATATATATATATATATATATATATATATATATATATAATATATATTTATACATTATTACTAAGCTTACTGATTACACTGTTGTCAAAACTAGTCGATAAGAATCTTTCAATAATAATCAACAAGCCTAGCTGAAAAGTAAATTAACCATATTTATTACATACTTCTTTGTCATGTTCCTCACATTGAATAAACTGCATAAAAATAATCTGCACAGTAGGCCTGTATTATCAGTGTGAAATGCACGAATTTGCAGTACTTACATATGATTATAAACTAGACATAGATTACATACATTCCGGGACTTAGACAAGGCTGTGTTCCGTAAAATACTTATACCTCTCGTAGTGCGGTCATTAGATGAACCATTCAGCTGACAGAAGTCAGTGACACCGAATATTGATTTATTTGCACCGTTTTTAAAATCAAGACATCATGAAAAAGAAGGTAATATTTGACATTTTAAATGTAATTGTATGTTATTACAGTTACACATGAATGTAATTTATTCAAATATACCGAGAACTAACGATATTTAGCCTAAAATTAGATTTAATTTACTCTGAATTTCAACCAAATTTGAGGAGTTTGCCCGTCAGAGTACCGAACTCGGACCTCAGACCAGTGTTTAGTGTTTGGTTAGGCCTGAGTGTAATCGAGTGTTAGCCCAATCATACGCTGCGCGATGCTAATCTACGACCTTTTGGTGTCAATTCATAGACTTGAGTACTGAACAAGCTTGAGGTTGGAATATTTTATTTTCACATCATCATTCTTTTGCTGATGTTGCAGCTCGCTAAGGCTGAGCTATGGGTAATCTATCGTTTTGGGTATGTAAAATCGCCCGCGGCTTTTTATGTACGAAAACGTTACCTCATTGTCAAGGCTTTAATAGAAGTATATTGTCATACTTTTGTGTCAAATATTATAGATAAATGAATAATAAACCTAAATCAATGGCTAAATATATCGATATAGGCCAGAAATTAACTTTAAACAGCAGTGTCTGAGAGCAAGATTTGCTATATAAACAGCAGCCATTTGTAAAATAGAGTGGCTTCCCCCTGAATCTGGCGCTAAAAGCTTATAAAAATAAAACTTAGACAAGATGGCTGCTACAGTAAATGAGCATGGTTGCATCTGTTGGAAACATCGCTAGTCTTCATTTATTACGGAAAAGTTTTAATTCAATTGTTTAAAAACAGGTACATAAATGAATCAAGGAAACATTTTTAAATTTTTTAAAACATAAATCCTCCTCAAAATGTGAAATAATTATTAAAATTTAAGGAGTCACCTGTTTTTCACATTACAAATCGCGGGCGATTTTACGTACCCAAAACGATAGATTACCGAGCTATGCTATACCGACTATACCTGTTGTTTTGGCTGTTAAGCTCCAATTTTGTGTAATTATTTGCCACTTCATTTTCACCTCCACTTCAGTCTATTTTTCAACTGACTAAACTAATGTAATGAACACAACAAACATCAGGAAAACATTACTTCTTTAGGGCCTATTTTTATTAGGCTGATTTTTAATTTTGTTTTAAGTGGCTATTCGGACCCGGGTCCCTATAGCCTGGCCACTATTCAGAACCGGCATTAAGTTCGTTATGCACTGGTACAATCCGTATAAAAATTATACTTTTTATGTTTATTTGATTTTTCAGTTTCTTGTGGATTTGCTACTATTTTGTTGTTTTATTGTAATTAGTTATGTGGATTTGCTAGCGTTAGTTCATGTGTCGCTTTTTAAAAATACCCTCTATTTAGCTCTATATACAAAATCATTAAATATTTCAAAATTTCGCAAGACATCGTGGCCCAGTGGAGAACGTCATATCTCCCAAATCTTGGTTAGATACTGGTTCTAAGCTATCCTTTTTGTGAGAAGTAAAGTGTAGTTAACTAAGTTTAATTTTCTATCGTTGAGTTGTTTGCACAAGTGTCTTTTTTTTTAATAGATTCTATATCTTTTTCTAGATTTAGGTTGCTCCATAAATCGCCCGCTCACGTTTTCTCGCCAGCACGAGAAAAATACCGATACGTCTAGCTAGGGTCACTCTGAGTTCAGATTGGTTTAGATGAGAATAGTGTAGGCGTATAGCATACGTCATAGCAAGACCATTGCTATCTGAGCTTGTCAAGATTTGTCGTTGTAGGCCCTTCCTTATTCAGCATAACTGGGTTTTTTTTACTCTTGAAAATTATGTTCATTTTAAGATTTTCATGGATATCTGTAAAATACGATAATTACATATTGTTTTAAGTATAGCGCCATATACCTAAAAATACATATTGTTCCCTTACCTTATCTGCTTTGACAAATGTATCCGTAGATCCTAAACTCCATACTATAGAGTAGGTTGTCGCTTGACCTCTTTTTTTTTTACCATCGTCATGGTAATGATGGCTGCTGGAAATGAGGATAAAGTGATTCCGTTTGTTTAAAACAATGTTCTAATCGCTGAGATATCGAGCAGGGCATAACAAAAGTAAGCAAAGTGTGAATTGCTTTATTTAATATTACTCAAAATATTGTAAACTATAGAAAATTTTATATTGCTTCCTAATAAAATAATTTCATTGATTATTTTAAAAAACATGCAGGATAAAAACAAAACATACAAATAATAATTAATAATAACTTGATCAAGACAACAGGTAACTAAGCGCATTTTGCCCGCCGTGTATTTGAATGGGAGTACGACACATTACTGCTGAACTGCGGTGAAGGATCAATCACGTCACAACATTCCTTAAAAACTAACCCACAGTGTCACTGAATTTCAGTCATATCATTTAGCCATTTAAAAACAAATGCGTTTTTTCACAAATCATTTTCTAGGCTACCGATTAAATTAGAGAAATAAAATTGGTATCAAATAAAAGGTGGTTCTTCCCCTAGTCTATACATGTGCCATGTGATGTCCTTGTTTATTGCGTTCTTGTCACAACCATAAACACTTTTCCAGTTGCATAATTAAAAACAAGTTAAAAACATTAGAATATTGCTTCATTTTATTTTATTTCTTTAAATAAAATTTAGTTTATACATTTAAAACATCCACTGTTTTATTTTCAAAAAAAGTCAGTATCATTAAGTTCTCAGTATACCGCTGAAGATACTGATATCTTAGGCTTGGGACACGCGGAGAGAGAGAGAAGTGCGCACATGGGTTTTATATATTGGGATGAAGTGGGGCAAACAAAAACATGGAAAGATATAGTTGAAAAATGAATCCTTGATGGAGACCATTTGATAGGCAAACCCTTTTGTTATGGCTAAAATTTGTTTCTATTTCCCTTAAGGAGAAAGGCACTGAGTTAAAAATTGTCATGACCAGTACATTGATGCAATATCAAGAAATATGATCTAATTATAAGTTTATCAATGGTGATCAACAAGGAGGGGGGGGAGCAGGCAGTGCTGCTCTATGGCTCAGAGACTTGGAGGGTTACGAAGACAAATACTGATGAGCTACAGGCATTCGTAAACAAATCCTTACGACATATACTTAAAATTAGATGGCCAGACAAAATATCAAACAAAGACCTGTGGCAAACTTTAAAGCAACAGCCATTAGAGACAGATATCAAGGCCCGTAAATGGGGATGGATCGGACACACATTAAGAAAAGTAAAAGAAAACATTGCAAAACATGCTTTGGAATGGAATCCCCAGGGAAAAAGGAGGGTGGGTCGGCCAAGGAAGACATGGAGTAGAACGATTGAAGAAGAGGCGAAAACAGCTGGGCTCACATGGGCACAAATAAAGGGGGTAGCCCAAAACAGAGTCCGCTGGAGATATGTGGTTGCAGCCCTTTGCTCCCCAGGGGCCACAAAGAAATGATGATGATGAATGACCATCAATAAAACATTTTAGTACAATGTCTTCTCATTTTTCTAGGTGCTTTTGATGGGCAAGAGTGGGTCTGGTAAGACCAGTATGAGGTCTATTATCTTTGCTAACTACATTGCAAGAGACACCAGAAGACTTGGAGCCACAAGTATGTTTTGTCATCTTTTTCTCTTTGTTTCAAACTAGTAATGTCAAATATATTCATATGCTTGTGTAGAATTAACATACTTATTTTACTTTTGTGCCTAAAGAAGCTAAGTCAGCATCAGTACTGCTAACAATTATATTCAAGAAAATTAAGTAATATTTTAAAATATTTCCTCGTGATCTATAAGCTTACTTGTCTTTTTACAGTTGATGTGGAACATTCACATGTTAGATTTTTAGGCAATTTGGTCTTAAATCTGTGGGATTGTGGTGGGTAAGTATGATTGAATTATCAGAAACAGGTACTGCATTCACTAATCCAGTCGTTGTAACTTCTGTTGATATATTATATAAGCGAGCACTATGCTGAGTACTTTCCCTAACAGATGTATAGAAATTTTGTACTTTGAATCTAAGTATTAATAAATACTAAAGTAGGGAATTCATTTAACTGTATAACATTATACTGCATGGGATATATAGTTCTGTCAAGCATTATCAGTCTCAGTAACACCTGTGCAATATGTGAATTTGTTTAAAATTTGTCTTTCAGACAGGAAGCATTCATGGAGAACTATTTTGCCTCACAACGAGACAACATATTCCGTAATGTCGAGGTTTTGATTTATGTGTTCGATGTTGAGAGCCGAGAGCTTGAGAAAGACATCCACTACTACCAGTCATGCCTAGAGGCCATATTACAAAACTCACCAGAGGCCAAAATTTTCTGCCTTATTCACAAGATGGACTTGGTGCAGGATGATCAGAGAGAAATTGTGAGTTTCATTTGTTTTGAAAGCTGACTTCGTTCTACAAAATATTTACCTGAACAGTGTTTTATTTAACATATCTCCTACTTCGTACTTAAGTGTCATGTTGGATAGAATTTTCTCCTTCTTAATAAAGTATTACATGTCAACTTGTGATGCGTCATATAGGCAGTTGACTCAAATTTCAGCCTTTTGTATTTTTTTTTCTTTTTGGATTTGCTTCAGTAGCCTTTGTCCATCCAAGAACAAACTACAAGGCAGTGGTTGTTTGATTTTGGAGTTTTCACAGCTAGATGGGTTGCTATCCCCAGCTTTTGAGCCTGATCAGCCTGTGGACCTTTTTTGTTTAGCAACCGTGGGCTTTACTGACTAACCAAGGCACACCCTCTTAATATTGAATGATCTAACTTATTTGTTATTATTTGCTATTTGGCGCTCAATAAACTGATCTTTAATCTTGTTCTGTTCAATGCGGCTATGTTATGTTGAATCTTTCTACTGTGTTCCATCAGATCATTTTTGGTCTCTCATTTGCCATACTTTTCAGTTGTAGATTGTCTCAGGGAAAAAAGCTGCTTAAAACTATTAACATGACCAATCTCTTGCTCAATGTCAGCAGAATCTATTTCAACTCAACTTACTTGTATATTTACACAGCTCATTTTATACTATCTCTCTGTTTTGTCCTCAAATCCTGCCAAATTTTTAATGAACACTAAGAAAACCTGCCTGCATAGTGTCTAGATCATATAATCTGACTTGTTCTTTCAGTTTATTTGAGTTCTTCTACACATTAGTGGTCATTTAATATGGTTTGTATGTTTTCTGCCAGATTTTTAATGAACGCCAGGAAGACCTGAAACGTTTATCAAAACCACTTGACTGTACCTGTTTCGCTACATCTATCTGGGATGAAACTTTGTATAAGGTAAAAAATAATTGACTATCCTGTTAACTTAGTCTGCATGCTGATTGTATTTTTATGATGTTTTTTTTTACATGTTTCCCCAATTTTCAGGCCTGGTCATCCATTGTTTATCAACTCATTCCAAATGTCCAACAACTAGAAGAAAATCTGTCCAACTTTGCTGAAATTTTAGATGCTGATGAAGTGTTATTGTTTGAAAAAGCCACATTTTTAGTGAGTTGTTTTACCTTTTGTAGTTTACATGATATTAATTCACTTTTACATTATTATTAATTAATATAAGGGAAGATACGGAAATACTTTCAGTACTTATAAAACTTTTTTTCTGTATAATTTGCTTAATACTTATAACTTTGTAGCAAAGTTTCAGCATATTTGTCGCTTAATCAAAATTGATCCCATTCTTTGGGTATTCCTCACAAATGTCATACATGAAATTATAATTAATGTGACATTAATGTAACATTAAAAGCATTTAAAAAATATATTTAGCTCTTAATTTGTTTTTAGATGAAACTAAAAATCAGTTTTGTAAATGTTCAGAATGTGCCAATATTTAATTAAAATTTTAATTTGCTGATTGTTTTAAATTGTAGGTGATTTCATACTGTGAAAGAAAGCAGCACAAAGATGTCCATAGGTTTGAGAAAATCAGCAACATTATCAAACAATTCAAACTAAGCTGCAGCAAGATTGGGGCTTCCTTTGAGAGTATGGAAGTGCGTAACTCCTCCTTTGCTGCATTCATTGAGATGTTCACCCCCAACATGGTTGTTATGGTAGTCATGTCTGACACATCTATTCGTAAGTAGATTTGGGGTTGTTTTTTTATAGGCCAATGTTACACATTCATATAGTGGTTATTGCTGATAATTAGGTTTAGGGTATGCAAGACCTCTTTTAAATTTCTACTTATATTTCAAGAATTACCCTTAGAAACTAAACACACTGTTTATTCATTATTCAATTAGCCCCAAATATTATCTTAAGATCAGCCTACTCAATCCCAGAGAATTACTGACAACAACATGTAGAAAATTATTTCATCAGAATTGATTAAATATGTAGGAAATACTTAAAATAAATACTTTTATAAATATGAAATAGCACTTCTTTTAAATGTGAAAGCAAGTTTGACCATTCATCTTCTGAATAGTCATTCTCCCCTCTACTGCATAAATAAAAGTAACCAATTTTTAAAAACAAATTGCACTGTGGTTTTTCTAGGAAGCTTTTGTCCCTGCACTCAATTAACCCATTTGAACAAATAGAAAAATGTTCTGAAATTTTATGAGGTCTTTCTATGACATTTTATGTTACAGCTTCTGCAGCAACCCAGCTGAACATAAAGAATGCCAGAAAACATTTTGAGAAGCTGGAAAGCTTAGTAACACCCCACAGAGGAATGGGTGGGAATACAAGATAGGCTTGATGCGAATGCTTCACACTTTTTGGACATGAATTATAATTATTTTTTATAAAAAGGAATTTTTTTATCTTGAGATTTCTATAGATAACTTTTTTTTTTTGTTAAAAAAATTAGACAACATGTTTGTTTCTTTATTTTATTTTTTTTGTTGGATCCCTTTCTTCAATTTTTTTTTAAATTTTATTTTAATGTATATAAATAAGATTTTTACTTAAAAAAAAAAAGAACTATTCACCCTTTTTTTTTTTGTCTTTGAAAAAAGTCATGTACAGAACTTCGAAAAGAATTTTGAATTATTAAGTAGTGTTTATTTATCTCTCCCCTGGTGTTAACTGTTCTGAGAATTTTTTTTTTAATTTCTAAATGTGATGTCCTTAATGAAAACTTGCATTCAAATAGATTTTACTACTGTAATAACTGTAAAGTGTGTATTCATCCTTGAAGTAAATGTGTACAAAGTTTACTGTGATGAACATGGCTGAGTATATTTATAACAATAAATTATTTGTGTGAGAGCTTTGACTATCTGAATGAACCCATCACTTATTTTAGTATTACTTGTAGCATAGTCTTGTTGTGTATGAGGGTGTGTATGTTTCAATGATCATCCCTTGTTCTAGTATTAATTTTAACTTACTCCTGCAATGTACGTACTGCTTTTTCATACGTGATATGTAAAGTGTAGTCTTTGATGTTTTTTTTAACAAGCATTTAAAATTGACTTTTTTTAAAATTCTGATTAAACATTTAAAATGAACAATGATGAAAATGGTGTACATAGATTAGGTGCTTATTAAAACAGTGGCAGAATGGATTTAAGGCTATTAATTTTGATTTTATTATCTTAACTGTAACTGTTTTACCACAGTAATACCGCGTGGCCTAGCGTTAGAGAGCTAAACTGCTAACCCGAGAGTCTCGAGTTCAAATCCGGTTCAAATCAGTGGAACGTCCCTGAGTCCACCCAGCTCTGATGGGTACCTACATCACGTTAGGGATAGTAAAGGCGGCTGGGCATAGTGCTGACCACACTATCCCTTCATATGCCGAGGTAAATGAATCAGATGAACTCTATTTCATCTACCCCATGTGTCTTGGGCACAAGCGGGACTAAGAAGAAGAATAACTTGATATGATTCTGCAGGCCTGTTATTTATTTGCCAGTGTTTTTATAAGGACCATTGATGATTAAATGCTACAACAGTACAATTATCTTCAACCCCAGATTTTGAGCATCTTGGAGAAAATACTTGTGCTTTCTTTCTACCTCAGGATGATGCTTTCTAAATCCCGGTTTCCTCACTGCTAGTACTGACCTAGTATTAGCACTTGTATGCTATGTAATTAGATGTGTTCTATTTTTTGGTCAAAACTTTTTCTTTAAAATGAGAACTGAAGTAATAATCCTGTAAACAGCACAAAACCTTTTGTGGAAGTTGTATTTTGTATTTTTTATCATTGAATATATAAATACTGTAGTTTTAATGAATACTATTTTTTTTAATAAGATTTATGATTGTGTAATGAAATATTGATTTTATGTTTGTATCATGTCATAAACTTACATAAAAGATGTATTGTGAACAAATTTATAAAATAATTATAAACTTCTATTTTCCATGTTGTACAACTGATATTTTGTCACCATTGATATTTTGTCACTATATTTGATAGATGACATGATTGTTGTTTGTTTGCATGCTGATTTGTACAAGAAGATGATGAGTTCTGTGTTGTGTTGGTATTATGTCCAAATCAGTTGGATGTGTGGGATTAATGTCTTCTGATTGATTAATTACATTTCTGATGCATTTTTAACCATTAAAACTAATCAGTCTAAAATTGTGGGTGTTGGTAGTTTTTTATATCAATATTTTGTATTGGATAAGTTATTTTATTGTTCTAGGTTATGGGTCTCCAAATTTTTCAACTCGAGGGCCGCATTGACTATCAAATAGCAGTTCGGGGGCCGACAACACACTCAAGATCCAAATTTTAAAAAATCAAAACATGGATGTTGTTGTCAATTATTTTTTAAAAATATTTCATTCATGTATTAATTGATAACACATTGATATCGATAAAAGCACAACGTCCACGTAATTTGAGCAGGATTCACTTAAATCATCATTTTTTTCTGCGGGGCCGGATAAGAGCGGGCCGCATTTGGGCCGTAGTTTGGAGACCCCTGTTCTAGTTGAAGCTCATGTGGCTTAAAACCCAGCTGAATTTAGTGTGTGACACAGGGTTTCTTTCGGGCATATGCTCCGATGAGAGGAGGGGACAGGTACTGGTTAAAAGATAGATGTATATATTTTTCGATTTCGTCCCCTTGTTTCAGATATTCTTTTCTTCAACCAAGATTTTTTTAATGTGTGACGTCATTATGCAAGAAATCAAACCTTGGTTCAGGTTTATCTTTATCGCCAAAGAAAATTATATTTTCGTGTTTATGGTGCTCAGAAATATAGTCTACAAAAAGATAATATATTGTATTTATGCCTCATGAAACGTCACATTTTTTATACGTTTTAAAAGTCTGAGCTACTCACTATAAGTAAGTCGTATAGAGATTAACTGTATTAAGAATCTGTATTAATTTTGACCTAATCCAGATCTCTGCCTATTGTGTTTGAGAATTCATATTCTAGACGTAGCCTTTAGCAACTTTTTCCGCTTGCCTACAAATGGAATGAGGCCTACGGAGACGGATTGCCGAGAAGTAATTTACGACAAACGAAATGTTTAGGGGAACTGCAGGTTGAGAATAACCACTTCTGTACTTGATCATTTTTGGGGTGGAGTCTACTGCCCTTTCTCCAAACTAAGTAGAATTTATATGGAAAATATTTACTTTACCCCCCCCCCCCCCCGGAAAATATTTAGAGTCCACCCCACCACAAAAGTTTTAAAAAGTGCCCCCACTCCCCTCCCCCAGAGAAAAAGTCTGAAAGAAACACTGGACGACATGGTCTTGCTATAGAATGGAGGCCTCAGTTTGACAGCTCACAGGCAAAATATCTCACAGACTAAATATCTCATGGATAAAATATTTCACTGACTAAATAACTCATGGATACAATATCTCACGGACAAAATATCTCACAGAATAAATATCTCATGGATAAAATATTTCACTGACTAAATAACTCATGGATACAATATCTCACGGACAAAATATCTCGCAGACAAAAAGCCAGATCTCCACCCCCTAAAATGACGTCACACCTCAGCCTACAACCCCTCCCCCCTCAATATTGCAGTTGAATTTTTTTTTAAATACAATATTTTTCCAAGATCTTGTCTGAACTCTGTTAACATAGAATATTTAAATCAGTTCCTATTACAATTTATTAAAACAGTTTAAAATTCGTTTTCTAACATTGCTTTTTTATAATGCCAAAGTGTGACGTCACACCATCTGAACACACACACACACCCTCCCCTCATCACACACCGTCACAAAATTAAGGATCCCCCTCCCCACTTCGAGTGTGAAGTCATTTAAGGACGACCCCTGATGGCAATGTGTTTGTGTTCATGATGCACCAATAACAATGATTATGCTTTTTTCGTAAAACATTTTCACGAGTTTTGATCATTAATGTGGTGTTATTCAACTTTTTATGTCCTTTAAATTTTCAACGGAAAGCTTTGTTGATTTGGTTTGTTTGTTTTTTCGTTTTGTTTTAAATAATATATAATTTATTACGCTAACTCCCACTATTCTGTTGTCTAAAGCTTTTTTTTTTTTACATATCTCCCTATCAGTATAAATAACGCCGTCACATACTGTAAAAAAAAAAATGACAAATACATGATTTCTTATAAAAAGTGCTTTACTTTATTCTAACAAAAATAAAACGATTTTTATTTTATGCCTACTAATTGAACCGGTTTTGCAATGTTTACAGTAATGTATACAGTAATCTCAAGCAGTTCCGTTGTTCACCTTTAAAGAAACGCTAATTACAAGCAGTAAGACGAACTGCGGAGAACAGTCGAACGCGCGCTGTATTTTTCTGTAGCAGAACGCAGAATATCGAGCTGCTCCCTCGAAGAAAATGATGTCATTTACTACTACTTTTCCCGCTCTCGTTACGAACGTAATGATCAAAGCGAGCAGAAGAATAGACAAGGGAGGCTATTCTGAATTACAGACAACTGTTTTGCAATTTTGAACAGCTTGTTAATGAAAAGTTTTTTTAATTAAATATGAACTCGTATTGTTATTTCGCAATCTAGTTATTTGACAAAGCCATCTTGCTTCGTACACCACGCCCCCCCCCCCCTCCCCCCCAGCGTTCCTTAACACGCGACTTTTCTTTTAGATATAGTGGCATTAACAAGCAGAGTTTCTTCCCGGCATCTCTTCGGCATCCCGAACGAAATAAAATTTATATAGTAAATATATACTTATAACAGTGTCCGCCCCCCCCCCCCCCCGAAGAGATGCCTGGAAGAAACTCTGCCCCCCCCCCCCCCCCCCGGAGAAAAAAAAGTCTGGAAGAAACACTGTTAACAAGGCGTGTGCTCTCCCTGTCAAGCTTAGTCCAAAAAATTGTTACTTGTTGTTTTTCGTCTGGTCGTTAACCACACAGTTAATTGCTGAAGAAGACCTTGGGTCGAAACGTCCACTGTACCTGTAATTGTTTTTAGTTTGTGAGGATGCTAACACTACCTGTTTTGTCACTATGTGCAAGTATGATCTAAAACACGATGAAAAACTGCTAATGAAAGTTTTGGTGCTAACAATACCTTTTCGACGTAAATTGTAAATTATAGATCTATGTGTAGGCCTATGTTACATTATTAAGAATTTTAAAAATTCAAACTAACTTTGAATTTTTTAATATTTTATTCCTTTGACGAATATTAAGAGGTTACTCTAAATATCATACTTCGTTTTCAATGCTTGTACAGCATGTAGGCATACACTTAAGCTAAGAGTTTGATGCAGCGAATAAATAAACTATACTAGATCTATCACTTTCTGTGATGACGCTGAATCTAGAAATAGGTCAAAACAGAAAGGAGAAAATGTAGAAGTTAGCAAATAACCATAGGTCAAGCAGAGGTGAGCGACCTATTCTGGCGCCCGGTGCGAACTATCGATTTTGCGTGTATAGTTTTATTTACAAAGAAACTACACCCCCTCCCGATTTCGGAAAAGGGAAAGAATTTTTTTACTAGTCACAATCCCGTAATAGTTTTTATTTTAGTGACAAAATTAATTTAGAAATAATTCTAATTAGTCTGTAATGCCAAGTAGTAGTCTATTTCTTGAATAATTTTGATTGTGTATAATTCAGTAATGGAGCTCTTAGGGAGATTCTTTTTTTCTACTTCGTTTGGCGCCCCTTTAGGATCGAGTCCAGGGTGGCGACTCACCCTAGCTACGCCTCTTAGGTCAAGCAGTTGAAAACAGAAACAAAAAGTAAGAACCAACCAAATAGACTGACCATTAAAAACAACCGGTCGCGTGTGACGGTCAGCTGATCGGTGAAGCATTATGGCAGTTGATCATTCAAAGACGTATGAAGCAGGGAGATTAAAGTCAATTAAGTTGAGAGTTTGGAGCTTAGATTAGTTAGATTATAGTTGAGGAGCAAATCACTGTAGTAATAGAAAGTTCAAGTCACTCTTATGGTAGGAGTAATGTGTAGGACAGCGAAATTAGGATTATGAATAGATTGTTTGTGTATAATTATGTTAAATAAACTTGGAAATCTTTGAGATGCATGTTATATTATATATTTACCATTGGAGTAATATGTAAGGGTTTGATGGGTATACGAACCCCCCCCCCCCCCCCCCCCCAACATACATATTACGGTGTAAAACCACTACTCACCACACTTTCCTTTGTGTTTGACAAATAAATGTGGCTTTTTTAGACTTAAGTTTAGCCGGTTACTTCTTTAAGGTTAAGTTTTTGGTACTCATGCTGCTGTACAGTTTTAAACTTTTAAGAACTGTTAGAGTGAATGTATTCAGAGGCGTAGCGAGGGGGGGGGGGGCGGGGTGCGGATCGCACCGGGTGACACCATTTAGAGGGGTGACACCAAGGCAAAAAGTAGCAAAATATATAGAGAAAAATGATAATTCCACTTAATTAAGTCATTAACTCGAGTGTTAAATAGTCTTTTAAGAGGTGCAAATCTAAAGTTTGAGGGGAGTGGGGTGCAAATCGAAAATTGAAAGTTAGTCCCCGGGAAGGGTCGCTACGCCTCTGGGGGGTGACACCATTAAGTGCCGCACCGGGTGACACCCGACCTCGCTACGCCACTGAATGTATTATATTTTCTCGTTTTTCCAGTTTAGTTGTTTCTACGGTAACCTTAAGAAATAGTGTAGGCCTACTTTCACGCAAACAATTCTAAAAACAATTACAATCCCATCTACAACAAAACACTACAAACACACATAGCATACAACTCACCCCCCCCCCCCACACACACACACATACATCTATACAACATAAACACCTTTCCACACATCTACACACTAATTTTTGTGTTCATTACTAATATTTTTCTCCGAAGAAAAACGAAAATCCATTTTCAAAAAACTGATATTGATTATCAAATTTCTTCCCTCTAGTCTGCTGTTCAAGAGAACTTATCCTACGTAAATTGATGATAAGTGGATAAGTGTCTGCACGAGACTCGGTTGATAATCGTCCTACCACATCGGAGAGTTCTTTTGTTTGTGTGTCATTTTCTTAGAGTGTTTAAAACATTTTAACAGTTTATTCTCTCTCTCTATTCCGTCGTACTGAATGATTGTATGTGTTGATTTAAATTTAATTAATTAAAACGCATTTTGC